CAGGGAAAGTTAAAAATTGTGGTCTATCCAAGCTACATTCAAAAATAAATGCAAACAGTTCTAAAGATTAATGGTCAGTTCATGTTTACATTAAATATAAGTATTTTCACAGAATACCATATTGCAAATGTAATAAACTATCCTTTGCCACATTGGACAAATTCACATGTTTTCGACAACAAAACACAACCTTGTGACAGCCACTAAATGTTGGCACACAGCTTTTATATTCTTAGTTCAATATCCGTCGCTGTTGTGCATCCGAAATCCAAGATGGGGTCAAGTGTAATACCAACGAATTTCATGACCAGTGCGTGATCATTCACACATTGAGTCATTATTTGGTGGCACACACTACTCAAAGTCTGCAAATTCGTGATACACAGGGACTGTATTTAGTGCAAGTTGTCACTAACTATCATCACATCCATGTTTATTTACACCGCTGGTTGTAATAACTCGGGAGTTTGAAAAATATATCTGGAGCTATTTACTTAGGAAAAATGGGTTGTTAATCGTTTAAGGATATCAAGCTGCCGAAGAATAGTAACTCTTTGTATCTAAATATACCATATTCAGATTGAAGCAATACACATTCTACTTTGGGAATACTTACAGTGAATTATTATATGCATAAGTGTACATCTGGATATGCCATCGGTACTGGCAGTTTGTATATCCCACCACTACTACCTTAAAGTATCGTCATTTGATAAATTTTTTCTCCCATGCTCACAGACTTTTACATTCGAGTGGTTTATGATATCACTCTACAACGAAACAGTTTCAGCCAAATGACTGTACAAAATACTGAATGCTCACTAGGTTTCCATACTTTTGCTACTCAATCACTTTATCCTAAAGAAAAAGTTAAGTTCAAGATTCATAATCAACAAAGAAGCTACATATTATTAAGATGGTTTGGATGACGAGTTGCATAAAAATAATAGAAATTCGCATATTTAAGCAAAACGCTTCTGCTTAAAGTGCTTCGTTTGACATCATTAATTTACAGGAAGCTGTACACTTTTTTCCAACTCATGATTCTGTGAGTCTGTATATATAATGCCGTCAATATAATAAAAAATTAGATCACACATTACTAATTTTTCTGTGGAAAGTGAACGAGAGAAACCAAGAAGTAAAATTGTTGGAAATGATTTCTAACGAGATCATGAGTAGATACTGCTGAAGCATTCCAAAGTGGAAGGAACCTGAAGGTTCAATAACCTTTGATTATTAATATTTCGCCAACTGATGTACATAAGGATTATTCTGTTATCCGTTTAGGCCTGAATGTCTGATTTAACTTTAAACACATTAATTCGGAGAATTCGCCTACCTTTTAAGTTAAAAGGTAAGAAGCTAAACGGATTTAGACAGAAAAATAATCGTCAAGTTTTGCTGTGCAGCTTTTAAGTCTGATAAACAAATGACTTCATTTGGAGAACCATTCAATGTCATTTATCACCGGAAAGCTGATTCGTGCTTCTATGAGATTCAAGGTCACGCCAAATACCATGAACTAGCAGAAGTAAGAGTTGATGGGCTAGTGCATTCCATCCCAGTGGCTGAACTATCAACGAGCTCGCCATCCCTGATGGGGTATGATTATTACTGAAGATTCCCAAGCAAGGACGAAATAGCATTCCAGTACTTCCTGACTTGCAAAGGTTCTCTAGCTGTACTCGGTTCCCAATCGAACTACAGATAATTAATCAGAGTGCAACATCTGCTTGTGCAGTAATCTGCTACAAAATATACCTACCGCTTGAAAAGTAGTGTAGAATTTCATTTACAATGAACTTTTCAAGTGCTTAAAACATCACGATACTAATCGTGCATTTATTCAGTTTTCACACTGCGATTCTTAATATCTTACAAACGATGTCTATTCAATTAGTGATTAGAAGGTTTTAAGAAGATACATTTGCATTTCATACGCCCAGTGGATTCGAATATATAGAATATAGTCTTGAGTGTTTTTATTGTTTTGAATAACTAAGAGTAATATCCGAAAACATAAACATTGACATCTTATGTATGGAAATATCCCAGGATATGGGAAATTTGTGTGAATGTGTGTACATCATCAATTAAAGAGACAAGTCAAGCTGATAATAGTCCATTTTTGCATTTACTGTTCACTTAATTTGAAGGTTATGTAATAACCTACTAATATAAATAAAAGTAGTATGATGCCTCACATAGAAAATAGAAAAGAATGAAAACTGCTGTCTTGTTGGTAAATGCAGCAGCAAGATAAGCAGAATAAAATTCCGCTATTCCTATTATTTATGCGTCTTCTGTAAAGAAACATACTGACTCACAGCCAAATTACAACAAAGTTACATCTTGTGAAAGAGGTTTACACCATCTGATAAACAGCTGAAGGGAAATAACACATTAGATTGACATTCAAGCTATTGCAGTATTCTGTGTCCATAATTAAGCTATGTGGCTCCGAATCGATAGCATTGATGTGAATTCATTCACATATTATCGTCATTTTTGACTCCTATTTTGTTACACAGTAAAATGAAGCCTTTCTTTATAAGCCCCTAATGTATTTGTTCGTCTTTCTGATGACCTCTTGCACCACTACTTGATAGTTCTAGTTTCTCTGTTAATGATGCCTCTTGATAAGACCCTAATACAATGATATAAGAATAAAACTTGTGCACTGTGGTAGATTATAATTCCATTATGGGTAAAATTTATTTGGATAAGGTCTCACAGTGTTATACAGTAATATTACTTGATGACGTTTCGAGCACAATTTATTGCTCATAATCATATCAAGGTACTCACACAACTTTCTAACTTCGTTTATAAAATTCCATTATTTTTCTTTTTTTTTCATCTCTTGATTTGATTGGTAGGAGTAGTATTTTCCATATTTCCGGTATGAGTGATGAGTCATTCCTATTGCATGTGTTGGTTGTAGACTGGATGAACAAAGATTCAGTAATCAACCTCTCTCTCCACCTACCTAGATTACCTTTTAGAATTTTAACCCCCTCCCATCCTATTGTGTGGTTGTGTGCCAATGCATGCATTGCATTCGGTAAGCTTTTTTTAAATTACTTATCTTCTCGGGGTCAACCATTCTTACCTTAGCTAAATTCTTATGTTCTGACAATCTGACTACCCCTGACCTACTAGTTTGACCTATGTAGTTGACCTCACGGTCATTGCAAGGTATTTTGTAAATTATATTATTTTGTTTAATTGGGTCTACCGGGTCCTTTAGTCTACAGAGCTTGTCGCATCTGAGTGAGTTTGTAGGGTTAAATGCCACTCTAATTCCTGCTTTATTGAGAATGCTACGTAGGGTCTCAGATGTCCCCTTCTTATATGGTATAACAGTATATGCCTTATATTCCCTCTTATTTGTGTTATCATTACTAGTTTCACAGTTATTTTTATTTTGCTTTTGACCTTTTTTGATATTCCTAATGAATTTTACAGGATAGTTATTTGATACCAGCGCTTCTTCTATCTGTTTCATTTCATCATTTAGGTCTTTTTGTGCTACTTATTGCTATTGCTCGGTTTGTTAGACACTTAACTAAGCCAGCCTTTACAGACAATGGGTGGGATGAATTAAAGTCTAAGTATCTATTGGAATGCGTTGGCTTTTCATAAACGCTACTGTGACGTCTACCTTCTTCGATTCGTTTGATTTTACAATCTAACATAGCTAATTCTCCTTGTTCATTTTCTGATTCAAATGTGAATTTTATTCCCTTTACCAGTGAGTTTATATGCGTCAAGAAGCTAACACTGTGAAATTGTCATCCACATATCTCCACCATATTTTTGGAGTAAGATTAAATGTATTAAGAGCCATATTCTCCCAACTGTTCATAAATATATCTGCCACGATAGGGGATATTGGTGATCTCATTGCTACACCCTCTGTTTGTCTATATATTTTGCCTTGGAATTTAAAGATAGAAGATGTTAGGCATAACTGAATTCCTAAAATAATTTCTTCAATGGTTAACTTCATCCTATAAGTGAGTTCAGGATCTGCAGTTAGTTCTTTTTAACTGTTTCTAAGGCCATATTGATTGGTATGTTAGTATAAAGACTAGTTATATCAAAGCTAACCATTGTTTCATCATTCTCTAGTTGAATGTTATTTAGTTTATTTTTCATCTCATATGAATTATTTAGTCTAGAGTTTGAACGACTTCTAATGAGGCGTAATATTAGATTTAAGTGTTTTGATAATTCATAAGTAGGGTATTCCTAAAGTCTACTACTGATCTTTTGAGGTAGCCTGGTTTATGTATTTTAATAGTACCATACATTCTACTCGCATTATTAGTTTTAGGCATTAAATTAAACCATTATATAAAGGAACTAAGAAAGTTGTGTGAGTACCTTGATATGATTATGAGCAATAAATTGTGCTCGAAACGTTATCAGTAAACATTATTGTATAACACTGTGAGACTTTATCAAAACAAATTTTACCCATAATGGAACCCTAATACAATTTCTGATTATCTCACAAACACCAAATACTTTTTAAACACTGAATATCAAATGGACTCTGAATGAGCAAAATATTTGAAAAATTCTAAGTAAAAAACCCAGCTAATAATAATAATAACCCTAAATGAAGGTTACAACCACAGAAATAGTGTGGCTCCTACATTCCCTTAATATATTTACACTGGAATATTCCGAACATTTTGGGATGAAATCTGCTTAATATATAAAAATAGACTGGTATTATTTATTTTCATCATATTAAGCGTCTTCACTGTTCACCAAACACTACTGAAACAAATTACTAACAAACACAGAAACTACCTGTCTTTCAAATGAGGCGGGAGGATAACTTGAGTTGTGAATTTAAAGATTTATCTTGACTCGATAAAGTGCACAATGTGGTTTTGTTATGTTTTGCCAAATGAGTACTTCTCACGTTTTACTATTCTTTATTTATATGTCCTCATAAACTCTTTATATTTTTCTTATCACAGCCTGATCGTTGGCATGACTACACAATGTTTCTTTTACACTTGGATAATCTAATTAATCACACTTCAGAAATAGCCTCTCAGGATACCGAAATATCATTCAGTCTCACTATTCCAGATTCTCTAAAAACAAAACAAACTTCACCCACTGACCAAACAGATTCATATCCACAGCCTTACCAACGCAACAGTGTCTCACTCAGGAATATTCTCGATCTAACAGATGTTCCACGAAATCGATTGAATGCATATTGTGGATTACTGAGAGATATAGCAAGATATATTGCACGTGACGGTTCATCCACAAAAAATCTTGAACTGGCAATGACATATGTAACTAGATCCCAGAGAAGAGCAGAAGAATTCGCTCACTTCTGGTCTCTTGTTGATGCAGATTTCAGCCAAATTTTTAGTTCAGAAAATTTGTATGAAGATAAGTCACTGTTCGGAAAGATAATACCACCACCAATAACTCGAATGGTAAGTCATTCAAATATTTTAACATTTTGTCATACAAAAGCTTATCATGTTTAAACGATTTGTATCGAAAGTGATGTTTGAGCAAATTATCTGCTATTAGTTGACATGAGTACTTTCCAAGTATTCGTATCAATCAGTAGTATGTGTCATTGTGAATGACAATAAATTATTCACCGTAGAATCACTCAGTATCCAAACATTGTGTGCTTCCTTACCATCTAAAGACAGCTAGTGCTATGAAGTCTGTGCATATTATACAAAATAGATTACTCTTCCTACTGACAGATTTGTAGAAAATCACTAGTTCACTGATCTTGCAAATGTAATAGTAGATTAAAAGCTGCTGACCTGAAACAGAAAACTGTTAAAAGGAATGAGAACTACTTGCGGTTTGATAAAGCCTATGCTTCGGAAAGCATACTGGTCACTTCCGAAGTCACATTATATTCTTCCTAGACGTATGTATGCAAATGACACTTGTTGACAGTTTTAGAATGGTAAAACACAGAAAACTTAAGATACAAAAGCTTGTTTTGCACAAAAGGCAAAATAATCACAGTAGTCAAATTGTTCTCACATGTTATCAAGTGATACTCTGAACTTCACTCAAAGTTAAACAGTAGGAATATTAAACTTTATTTTCCTGCCTAAATGAATGTAGATCTCTCTCCATTTCATGAAAATTATATGATACCTGCTCTTAGATAACAAGTTGTTTGATTCATTATCCGTTCATGGTTCTAAGGTGATTTTTCGGAAACTTTTGAAACATTGACAATTTACAAATCAAATAATAATAATGAACAGTCTGATACCGTGGATTTCTCGGCATATAATGTGAAATGTTCTCTTCGCATTGCATAGTTATAGATTACAATAATTACACACCTTCATGACATGCACAGTCATATTAATGTTCCCTTAACTAGTAGTAGAAATGGTGAGGATAACGACAGTGTATTGATGATGGGAAGAACGGAAACAACTGGTTTTTACCATTCCATCGCTTTTTTGTTTACATAGAATGCGTACTAAATAAAATATCATCGAGGTTTATATATATTTGCTCAACTTAAAGTTTTTTTTAAATTGCTTCTTGTCCTGCCTGAGTAGGTGCAAAGTGAAAGTTGTGGATAAGGAGGGTAATAAGAGTCAAGTAAAATGAAATCCATCATTTTTTGCATAATTACAAAAGCATAACCACTAACTTATGGAGGATTTCAATGCAATGCTGAGCAAAGCGAAAAAATCGCACTTCTTTATTGGATTCGCTTATCTGACTTCATATGTTAAACAATTATATGCAGCTATTCGAAAAACAGTTAAAGTTAACACTTTGAACAAAGCAGTAATCACACACGGTGCAAGATAAAACGCATCCATTGTTTATTTAGTTGGTATCCAATCAGTTGTCTACAACACAAACAGTTGAAAAACTCTTTAGTACACAAGGATTAGTTTGTCTCATGTTTCACCACACAATGATATCGATTAGAGAACCAATAAACACCAGGGAGTACTCGACATCTGTTTCATTCTAGTTTGAAACTTGTCGGCACTACACATCCACCGGTTCGGAAAAAATCAAATTCCTACAAAATAACCCTTCAAAATTAATCTGGTGCTCGCTAGTGACTAACTACACGACGAAGTTGACTGGACTTCTAATGAGAAGTTGAGACTATTGGGGTCCACCGTGTCAGACATGAGGACAAATATTCACCAATCACATCGGTTGGTGGTCGCGTCAAATCACCAATTTGTAGAAGTTGGAATTCACAGATTATTGGATAGGCTTTCAGTTGGTGAATGGTGTTCAAGCTTGTCTTGTGACCAGAATGTTAAGGGTTGGAATCCCGATGGGTGCATACTTCTGAGAAGTCGGAAACTAAGATGAACTCACTTTTCAGTACTCTCTGATTTCCAATAGTTCCCTAACTGTCATCCATCTGTGAGCAAACTTGAAACTTTTTAGTTTACTGGAGACAAAATGAGGCACAATAATCAAGAGCGATCATGGCATATAGATGAATCAAATGTTAAGTTGGCAAAATGTAGAGTATTACTGTAACTGTATGTGTAATATGATCTAATTTTCTCGAATGAATGAGATATTGATACCACTACATAGCCCTAAAATTTACCTATGTCAATACCTAGTTGTAAGCCTTACTGCCCATTTTTGCTTAAAGCAATTAGCTGCCTTTATGAATTTCGACAACACAATAAGAAGACGTAGTTTAGTTTACACGTTTCAGATAAACTCCGTCTTCTTATTGTGTCGCCCCATTTTGTTTCATTCGAGAAAATTAGATCACACTAAGCATATAAGTACAGCGATATTCTATAAATTTACCAGCTTAACATTTGGTTCGTCTGTATGCCATGATCATTCTGAACTATTATGCCATAATTTATCTCCAATAAACTTAAGTGTGTTAAAGCAATAACAGAACTGTAAAACTTCATTACCTGAGTTGTGAGCACCCGACGAGATTCCGACTAATTGAACAATGGATCCGTTTTATCATGCACCATGAGTTATTACCACTTTGTTCAAATTCATTAAGGGGAATTCATGTATGAAAGTAAACACTGATTAGTCGTATACTTTGAAAACATGCAGATTTCATACGAAGCTTCCAATGATATATGATTTCTTTAATCAAATGTATCAGAGGCTAACTTATACTAGTTTGTTATCGACTGTTTTATCAACTACCCTGAATAATTTGTATCCAATCCCTATTGGACCTCTTTGAAAATAGTTCATGAAAATGAGTTCAAATACGGTTACAGAAAAGGCAAAGCACTATTGATTTGTAATGAATTGCAATTTGTAAAAGTGTGTAAACTATTAGAAGTTCATAAGCAGTAAAATCGCAATCTGATGAAATTTAGTTTAATATTTAACACTGTAAAAGAATAAGATTTCATCGAAGTTGGAATTACTTTTGTATAACGCCTTCTTCGTTATTTGTTGCCACACAAGATTTCGCGCTATTTCATGACAAGAGTATTTAAGGTTTTTTTCCTTCACGTTCCCAATGGAACATAGGGCTTCAAGCTAGAGGCTTGAAGTTTCTGTAGCAGTGTTTATTTTTACAGGATGGGGTTGCTAGCCTCATACCCAACCTTTCCTCTTTACCAGCATTATTTTATTGTGCGTCGGTGGCATAGTGGTTTGGACGCTCGCCGACCATGCACATGGTCCGGGGTTCGATCCCCGGCCACTGACGCACTCCTTTACCTCGCTAACCTAGAAATAACGCTGGTGAAGAGGAAAGGTTGGGCATGCGGCTAGCAACCCCATCCTGTAAAATAAGCACTGCTACAGAAACTTCAAGGTCCTAGCTTGAAGCCCTATGTTCCACTGGGGAACGTGAAGGAAATTTTTAAAAAAATAAAAAAAAGCATTATTTCTGGCGTAGCGAGGTAAAGGAGTGCGTCGGCTGGGGATCGAAGCCCAGACTATGTGCACGGTTGGCGAGCGTCCTAACCACTATGCCACCGACAAGAGTATTTAGCGTGATATGCCATAATCTATTGAACTATTGTGCACAAAAATATTTAATGCAATTTATAACTTCAAGCACACTGGTGGTTCAACCAGGATATAAAATAATTTTATAGAAATTAGTTGATTAGTTGCATGAATTACTAGTGAATTTTCAATTCACCTTTATAACTCTTTCCACTTTTCTCTATTTTAAGACGGATATAAAAATTGGCGAACACAAAAACGTCCGAATAGATGCTGGGGAAATGAAAACAGAAAGGCTCATTCTCTTGCCAGATCATTTATTGTCAGCTAAATGTATCAGTGCAGATCAACCGTCAGTCAAATGGAAATTGAGCAGAATAATTAATGTAAGAATAAATGACATGTTTACCGACATGACTACGAAACAATCAATTTTTCACATTTAAAATGTCGACCGATGAATAAGAAGAAAGAAACAGTAGATTACACAATTCTCTGCATAGGTTAAAAGTGTGTCCATAATTTTTCCATAAGAACATCACATACTTATTCCTCCGAAGCTCTTATAGTACGATGGAATTTATAAATCCAGGGAATCTATCAAAGTCGGTGACACCATCTTTACCACATACATTAATTTGGAAAGTCGATGTGTGAAAAATGACTGTTCACTCATTATTACTCTTCATTACTGATCTTGAATGTCTAGAAATATAGACGAAAACCTGTCGTTTAAAAATAGAGTCAAGGCAGCGTCTTAGAGAGAAATTCCGGAATATAGTAACTTTATTTCATACAAATATGAGCAAAATTATCAGTGTGCCGGTGGTGGGATGCTTACCAACGACATATGTGGCTGTAGTTCCATTCTCACCCAAAGCAATAATCAACCTCACTTAAGCGGTAGTAAGCTCGATAAAGAGACAACTTTGACTTAATCTAGATAAAACCCTTATTTTTAAATTCGTCATCCAAAGGTCTTATTGCTTGGCTGAAAGTAGAAAGACCAAGAATTGAATATCTTTAGTGTCTTTTGAATCTACCGCTACTCACTATCAAGTTATCTTTATCTTGGCATATTTAATGTCGTTTACCTCAGATTTTTCATATTTCTAGCTTGATGAAATTGTACGAATTAGCCACTGTTTGGCTAATGGTATGGTGGCCTTATTTTAGAATGTACTCAAAAGAATGGTGTCACTGAACTAAAGGCTAGAACACTTATACGCAACATGGTTCCCTAGTGTCCTACATTGGATGTTAGCAGAAGTTAATCTCAAGAAACGTAAATTCTCTGAACCACACGCAAGCAAACACAAAAGCCTTTTTTCACGACTTATTCATTAACTTAACCAAGGATGTAAATATATACCCTGATGAACCAAGAAGGATGTTCACGTTTTAACAGTTGGCCATGAGAATTAGACCAGCCATGAGAGTCAAACTACAAAACTGACCATGTCAAAACCAACTGTTTCAATATTCTGCAGTGGAATCGAAAACCTTTGGACTATAAATAAAGATAGAATCTTAAAATCAGTATAAGAAAGTGACCAACAGTTGACCTAGTTTTTGTAAATTTTAGTTCATTGATTGAGACAATAGAATCTTTGCGACTTGACAGAATGTTGGCTTTTCCTAGTCAAAGTATAAAGCACAATTTTCATTGGAAACTTGTTTCCTTACATAGCTTAAACATTTGTATTTTAAAGCTTGATGAAATACGACTCGGGGATTATGGCAATGATGGAAAGGACCAGACATCATTTGAATTGTGGAATATATCAGGTAAAGACCCGCTGAAGTTAATACTGCATATCACCTGCCCTGACGTCATCAGTCGTAATGCGTGGGTTGAGGATATGAGGAATGCAATTAAAGAAAAAAGTAAGTCTCGGAATTTAAAATATCACACTAATAAAACAGCCATTCAGCACATATATGTTACCGATTTGTTATACGAGTGGTAACTAAAACGTAGGAATGAACTATTTTTATATATGCTACTAACAGAAATCACTGGTTGGTAGAATATATGTTAACAGAAATCAGCCTAAAATAACTGCAATTCAAAATATAGTGAAAATGTTTTTATGGTTTAAACTATTCGATTTTCTCTGGACTGTATTTTGATTTATGTAAGACATGTGACTGTTATTCGTGTAAATGATCGCAAGAAAGGTTGAAGAAGAAACCAGTCAGTGTGGAATTTACTTTTTCAAAATGTAACCGTATTTGATAAGTCATCCAATCACCTACTTCACTCATACAGTTACTGCCTACGAGATTGTTGTCTGCGTTTAATTTCTTAGTCGTTTTCTGGAACAGTTATCAGCCCTGTGTGATAACCGAAGAAATTCTCAACTCTGTTAGAACCTTTAACAAGATTGGCGTAGTTATACAAGCTATCTATCAAAAAACAAAAATTTAACCGCTTCATAAATAAGGTGATAATATTTTTCATTCCCTACACCTACATTTAGTATTGTCGTATTTTCTGGCAGTTACACTGGGTTATGTCGTTAAAAAAATTAAGTTTAAGTATGCGGTATGATTTCTTCAGCAGGAGTTTCATGACACCAACTTGTCTGGTGCACTTGTTAGGATTTCGGAGGTCGAACGTTTAAATAATCTGAACATTTCTAAAGGAATGATGGGCTGACTAATGTCTTTACTAGTTATTTTAGTTTACTACTGAAAGTTTCCGGAAATTCTGTTTTAACATCATTATTTGTGTCGGATAGCAGTGGGAACCAAAAGATGGACTTCGTGAAAAAGAATTAGACATAGTTCATGCTCACTTAAGTCTTTATTGATTGATTAGAGATATGTGTGAATCAAACAACTGTTTTTTCTTACAAACAACTAGAATTCATTCGCCATTTAGTTTATTGTATCATTATTATTATTGTTCCTTTGGGTTCCGAGTGGAACATAGGGCTCCAACAACACATCTCCACTTTGTTCTATTTTCTGCTGTCCTCTTTAGTTGAACTGCCAATAATCTCTCATCTCCTCCTCGCCCGATATCTTCTATCTATCACCCTCGAAGCGACACCTCGCTCGTTGTTTCCCATTCGGTTTCCACTCGACGGCCTGGCGCTCGATATAATTTGTCATAAAGCTATTGAATGAGATTGATAAAGATTTGGGCACTGCACGCCATAGTGTTTAAGTGGTTTCTAAATTACTTCTCCGTCGAAGGCTTTTTCAGTGTTGATGAAGTTGAGGTACAGATTAGGCTGCTGTTCTAGGCTTTGTACGGCGATGATGATCCGCACTTGATTTACTTTTCTCCAAATCCAGCTTGTTCAAGGCGGAGGTCTGCATCCAGTGCATCTTTCTCTCTCTCCAGGTTGTCTAGAGTTATTATTTTGCTTGGTGTGGACAAGAGAATGATTCCGTACCAGTTCTCGCAGAGGCTTAAGTAGTCCTTCTTTGGTAGCTTGACAAGGTAGCCCTTCTTCCATTCCTTAGGCATCTTTCCTTCCTTCTAAACTTATTGTAATAATGGCGTCCGAATATCTACTGCTATCTCTGGGTTCGTTTTCAATGCTTTGGGGGAAATTCCATCTGGTCCTGCTGCCTTCCCTACTGGACTTCAGTAGCATTCAACACCTCTGCTTTCGTTGGAGGATTCGTGTCCACTGGCAGTTCCGTGAGTGCTGTTGGTGGTATTTCTGGACGAGTTGCAGGTGGTGTTCGATTCAAGAATCCTTTAAAGTGATCAACCCATTGTTTTATTTGTTTCTCCTCCTTGGTAATCAAGTTCCCTTGAATATCTTTTATGGGTTTCGTCATTTGGGTTGATCTTTTCCCGTATAGAGACCTGGTTATTTGATATAATGTCCTGAGGTCTCTTACCTGCGCCCTGCCTGTTCTGCTTCAATTGCCAGTTTGTCGTAAAATTGTCTTCTGTCTTTCCTAGCGCTGTTCTTCACTTCTTTATTCATTGCAATTTACAGTGAACTCAGCTTCTACTACTGGTGTTCATCCATGCATTGGATTATCTTCTGCTTCACCGTCCTCCTCCTGTACTAACTTCCAGGTGTCTGTAGAAAACCATTCCTTGTGTTGTCTCTTCTCTCTTCCTAAAATGGATGTACACGATTCCTTGAACATCAACTGCAGAGAGTCTCAATGTCCTTCCAAGCAGGTTCCCTGGGTGATGCCAAGTAGAATCTCCGACTTTGCTCTGATATCTGCAGTGAAGGCATCCCTTATGGTTTTGTCCTTCACTTTCTGAATGTTGAACTTGAATTACAGTGGTCTGTCTCCATTTTTTTTAGGATTTCAGCTTCATCTTGAATGTTCCTTGAACTAGATGATGGTCTGAAACAACATCTGCTCCCCTTCTTGACTTTGTGTCCGGGAAACTGTCTCCACTTTCTTGAGCAGCACTGATATGAAGTCCATCCGGTTTGTGGTGTGTCTGTCAGGTGAAGTCCATTTCGCCTTGTGTATGTCTTTGTGCTTGAACACGCTGCCTCAGATTACTAGATCACTGAAAGAGCAGAAGTCTGCGAATAATTCTCCGTTCTCATTCATTTCTCTGAGCGAGAGCCTCTCGACCCATGATGAGTTCTTTTCCTGTATTATCTGCTCCCAGTTTGACAATCATATCGCCCATGAGGATTTCGATGTCACCATTTGGGATGTTGTCCATTACTGTTTGCAGTTGTCTATAAAAATCGTTCTTCTTCTTCTCTTGTTCAGCATTGTTCGTAGGTGCACAGCTTTGGATAACTGTACCCTTCCTTCCTTCCTTCCTTTTGAATTGAATTTTGGAGTCATAATCCTGGTTGAAGTCGGTTAGAACTACAATAGGGATTTGGTTGAGACTGCTGACATCATGATAACCACTCCCTCAGTGTGTTCGTGGTTGTCATCTGGATAACCGTAGTAGATTACTGACTCTCCAGTTGACAGTTCCGATAATCCACATCCATTCCATCTGCTCTCGCAGATTCCGAGCACTTTTATACCATATCCTCTCATTTCGTTGGCTACTTGAGCAACATTACCGGTTTCGTACATTTTACGAACATTCCACATCCCAATTTCTATGTTTGTTTTCATCAAGAGAAAACACATTGGCTGACTGGTTTACCGAAGGCTTTCATCAGCCCGCATCATTTCGCCTATCAGATTCCAGAGGAGAATAAGTTGTTGTTTTTAATATTTTTCTCGTGCGTTGAAGTTTCTGTGGCATTTTGATTGGTTTACTGGGGTAGGGCCACTGGTAAACTAGGCGAGATTAGCCTATTGTACTTCAGGATATTTTCAGACAAACTCCAATCAGTATATTAAACTTTTCCGGAAATATAGACTCACTCATGCTACAGGGAGTTAATCCACTCATGTTTTAAGGATAAGATACCGCTTTCAGTCACCTCAGTGTGTAGCTATCAATTTACCTGCTCCTATGGGGCAAAGTATACTTGCCATACACATCGTTCGAAAACGTAACTTGAAACGCTATCCAGACTGGCCAGCCAGGGATGAAATGAAGAATACCAGTAGGTATACACCGGGAAACCTTGTCAACTCTGGACACTGGCCGCCCCCACATAATGGCTGCACAAGTTTACACAGAGTTTCCCAATGTCGCATTAAATGAATTCCAGCGAGCCAGTTATATTCAGCTGAATCACTGATCATTTGGGACCTGGAACCTACCTTTGAGTTCAAAAGAATTACGTACACTCACTTTATCGTCACGAGAGTAACATTCTTTCCATAATTCTGTTTCATTTTACTATTTACATTTATTATTATCTTGTAATTAGTACTACTACTATAGTTGTTTATTACTAGGACTGCATTTCTCATACAGATTTTGTATAAACAGTTTACCTTACTTTCATTAGCTTTGTCCACTTTGTCCATCTAGACTGATGAGTTATCTTGCATCCTTATAACCTAATTCCAACTTCCGTCTTTTTTCTAATATCCACTTAGTCTTCTTTTTCTGATTTCATCTCAAATTCGACAGTATCTGACTGGCTTTGTAAATACTTTGTTAAATATAAGTACGATTATGCAGTTCATGAAAATGATTCACTGAGAAAAAAGTTGTCTCCACTCAAGTTTTGTTTTGTTTTTGGCTCGATATGCAAATGCTCTGTTCATTGAAGATCAAATGGTCAGAAAAGATGAGTAACAACTGACTCGAACAACTAACTACCAAAGGATCCACTAGCCAACAAATATGCAGAAAAGAATGAGGACTGATTCTACAGACACTAAGAAGTCTGTTAAGTAACATCATTCGACGGGCCCTTGAATTCAACCCGAATGGAAAAAGACGAGTTGGGCGTCTGAGTTCGACAGAGAGGAGATGAGGAAGTGAAAGCTTATACGCATTCATAGAGTTCGCTCAAAAGAAGACATAGAACAGAGTCAAATGGAATTGTTCTACTAAAGTCATATGGTCCACTAGGAACTTACTGGTATACACTGACAAAAGAGCTTTTTTCTTTCACGTTCCCAAAGGAACATAGGGCTTCAAGCTAGAGGCTTGGAATTTCTGTAGCAGTGTTTATTTCTACAGGGTGGGGTTGCTAGCCTCATGCCCAACCTTCCCTCTTTACCAGGTAAAGGAGTGCGTCTGCTGGTGGTCGAACCCCCGACCATGTGCATGGTCGGCGAGAGTCCTAACCGCTATGCCGCCGACGCACGACAAAAGCGTTAAAAGATTGCATATTTATTACAAGATGAGTACACAGTTGTATATTATATAAAGTTGAAATGAAACTCTTTACTGAAGAAATCCATATCTTTATGATTTTAAGACAGACCACTACACTTTTCCATGACTTACTTAACTAACGCTTCACGAGAACAAACTGAGTTTATTTAATCACATATCTAGTTCAAGTCAAACTAGATACCATACTTGAAATAGTGTTTATCCTATTTAGATAGGTGATCACATTCTAAATGAATGATTATGTTCAAACAAAATACTAATCAGGTCAAACTTAGTAAGACAAATGGCTTCTTCCCATTGATTAACTATTTTAATGGTAATAGTCACTATATTTCACTATTCTATCCAAGATAATAGCAAAAGATAACTGCTCATTTTGACAAGTTCTTCTTTAGAGAGAGCATAATCTACTGTATGGTATGCTGGCTAGTGAAATTTGCAAACAGAATTTATTGCAAACTATCATTGAAATATTCAGCGCATTACATAACATGGTTTGCGTAAGAAGTATCTATATTACGATATCTAGGAATGATTTCATATAAAAGATTCACATAAGGGTTGAATATCTCATCAGACTTCACAATTAAATGATAAATAGAAACTTACGAAAAAGTACTTCCAACTTTATTTCATCTTAAAACAGTCTATTGAAACAACAGTTAAAGAAATCATTTTTGTTCTGATTAAATAAATCTGATAAAATATGAACCCTTGTTTATTCCAATAGAAACGAATATGCAGCTTGCTTTTCTTTTTATCAGTATACCATGGATGCTGCTGACTGCTTTGTGAATATCAGGTGCAATATTTAATGACTAACGTGGGCATTGAATACTACCTAGTCTGAAGTGAAAATAGCCAACATTTTATTGCTCACTATTATACGTTTTGTAGATTTGTCCACTTTTCTACGATAACTAATTTCCATGCCGAAAACACAAGTATGAAAGGGGTAGAGTTTTGCAATAGAATTAGAACTACAGCTGACCTAGTGGACTGTCTGAATTAATGATTTGAAGCAATTACACCTACGGAAATTGTGAAGTGAAATAGTATCACAGACATTACATAATATAGACTACCCACCACAGGAACCTTCAATTCATTTGTGACTCTTATGATCAATAATTTTTCGAGTTAGACTACGGATTGATATCACGGAGTAGTGGACAGCTGTTTCATCCCAATTCGGGACTCATCGGTCATATGTCCAGTGGGTGCGTACTAGGATAAAAATGGCTGTCCAGTACCTCCTGGTTTTCAATAGTTCTCTAACTGATATCACTCCGTAGTCTAACTCGAAAAGTAAATCAAATCCTTACAAATCAACTCTTGAAGATCAATAATATTTATTATTTTATGCCTAGTGAGAGTAAAATTGATAGGTTTCCCAATTTTCTTTTGGGAAAACAGTACACAAAACAGTAGTCATCTCAGAAGAGGAAATTAGGTCACACCTAATACTAGTAATTAGCAATAAAATGATCAGACATAAAATTTTTAACCCTATCAGTCGTATCTGTGGGTTATTACATGGAACTCTATGCAATACATACCGTCTACTCAATTATCTCAGATAAGTTGTGTGAAGTCGGATCAACATGTAGGTAATTGTTTCGCTATTAGCAATTGTATAAATGGAATACATTTCATTATTATAAGGAACTTATCAAGAATAAAATAATAATAACAATCCATATATAATCCATTGGAAACTTGTATCAGGGGTATAAAGAGTGATTAACTCCAAGTAATTAAATTATTTAAATTTTATACACACTTTCATTGAGCATTTTGTACCTAAGCGAATAAAACAAAATTTCTGAAGTCATGATTAAGATAACACTGTAGGTAATTGTGCGTATTGAACCTCTTTAGAAAACAGCGTGACTACAAATTACAGGGCATGGGTTTCTGGAAATTAATATACATTGATTTTATGTATGCATACATTTTCAAACCTTTTCCACTTTCTGATATTTTGCTACTTCCCTGTAATCGGTTTACCTTGTCAAGCATTTAGTCAATTCTTCTTTTTCTTCCCATTTGTGTGCGCACAGGCACATGAACTAATGTGTGCCTATAAATCATCATACTAGATATAAATACAACCATGTATCTGAAAATCACATACATACGCACGCTTTTGCTGAATATTTGCATGAATACTGGAAGGAATAGAAAATGTGCATGTGTTAGACTGTGCCTACGCCTCCACGATCGATTTCATGTTTATTATTCCTATAGCACCAAGAAATAAGGTCACCTATCAGAAACTAAGAGACATATAAACACGCGGCTTGTGATATATATATATATATATATATATGAATAACTATTTCGACTTCAATTTAAAAAAGGAATACATCTTATTCAATTTATTTGGAATTACTTAATAAATTGAACATTGGATAGTTTTTCTTCTTCTATGACACTACTTTTATCGTTCTGCAGATCAAATTTTATGAACCCCTATGCATCATTATTCCTTGTGTAAGATGACAGTAATTCCTTTTTTTCTGTTTTTGAAAACAATATTCAAACGGCGTGTTTATTTCGCTAGCTGAATGCTCCATAGAAAGTACGAACGTTGATAAGTCAGTTGTTGATTCACATATAAAAGCATTCTGGGATCTACAGAAACGCTACACTGGAATAATGGAACTCTCACCTTGTCGCAGTGAATCTGTCAGTGAAATATACTTTGATGCACTAGAAAATGTACAACAAGCGAACTCACAAAATGTTGAATCATCACAATTTTCACAAATAGATAAAGATGTTCTCGTAAGAAGTAAGTTCATTATTAAAATTTATTTCGAAATTTCGAGAAATTAATTACTAACTTATCCTTCAGACAATAGTGTTGATTACAGCTTTTTGCTAACCATTTCATAGTGTTACCAAATCCTTGAAGAGAAAGTAAGAGTGTGTACAGGTCATTTTCATCTGGTATTAAAAGATCTTGTCAATCATTTGGAACACTAACATTCATTAACTTGTAGAGTGAATAAATAAAATACTCGTCTTAAAATTACACATCAGTCAATGTTGATTTTGAATGACTGCTTTGGTCCTGTTATTTCTTGGAAAGTCCTTCTTAAAGTCAATTAAATACCTGAACTAGAACCGGTTGTTTAATATCAGTAAGTGCACGCTCACTTAAGATATTTTTCCGGGAATTTACGTGTGCAATCACATGAGCTCTGTGACTAGTACTATCACTTGATATAAGTCGGGTGTCATTTATTGATTCATTCATTCAGCTACAGCATTCGTTTTCATAAAAAGCTCTGATAACATTTACATCTTTGCTATTCATTAACACTAAAGTTAGATACTTGCACTGTACCAGGGGACGTAGGTTGGTAACCTGCTGAGTACTGCTTTTCTACCAGTTACGTTACTAGTTTTGACTGAAAATATGCAATCAACTCAGAAAGTTTTCGTTTACTTGTTAACAGTGTGAAAAGAGAAACCACACGATTACTATCAAAACTAATGGTACTAGATGATGTCTGTAGCTGTTAGTATTGCTTGTGTGGCTCAGTGTTTAAAAGCACGGTTGAAAAAATCAAGCTAACTGACTACTATGTGGTCTTATTTTATTCAAGTCTGCAAGTATATATTACAGCTACTATTTTATGGGAAATACAATTACCTATTCAATGAAAAACTGACTAAACACGTGAATATGCCAAACACATAAGCAAAGCACCAACAAGGCACGTGTAACAGCTGTTATCCACTATTCATTATTTTTATTCAGGAGTGCAGAAAGATAGCAGATGTAATCAGCTGAATAAAACACTCTTAAGTAAATATGTCAGTGAGTTCAAGTGAATTCATGAATTTTAAGGATACTTTTCTTGATTACAGATTTAAAAAATTCACCTAATGTACCTTATGATTCTCAATGAAGTTAAATACGATCTAAATAAATGTGTTTATGTTGTTTTTCATAACTACTAGAAAACAACTGTTGATCGAATACAAAAAGATAAACAAGCAGTTCAGCGTAAAGGATGTTTTCGGCGAATTCATTTTCTGTACCTCTACAGTCACACTTATGTCAAAGTCACAATCTTTACATGAGAGAGGATAGTAACAAAAGTGATTGATTAGTTGTCATAACCATAGTTGTTAATATTACTCGGTGCATAAAAGGAGCTGAAATAGTGTGTTAGAATTGCAGGATAAGATAAATAATTTAAAGGGTTCTCACCATGATGCGCATAGAAACGAAGGAAGGTGTGACATTACGTAAGAGTTGGAAAGAAATACAGGAGTTATAAAGAGTTACAAAAGAAACATTGACCAAATTGGAACAAAACAACAAAGCTGTTGCCGTGGTACTAGAAGTGGTTGACACTTTTTCTTCTGTATGCATTGCTCCAGTTTCTTCATCTGAATGATTAGAGCTTCGGTGGTGCAATTGAGATTGTATTTGGCAGGTTGTTCTTCACTTTGCACATTACTTTGAAGAAGGCATTTCCTGAGACTGAATGACCAGTGCTGACAAGGTGTTCAATTATTACACTTCTTATTGAGACACTGCTACCTTTTTGTAACCATGTAGGATAGTGTTCTTGAAATCTTTCAGATAGGATACTTATCAAATGACCAATACTCCTGGCTCCACAGGAACAGATGCACTGATATATGCACACAGAAGTGATCAGATGCGAGGTCTTGTCCTTAGGGCTTCTTCAGACCTGTGGACATCCAGATTATAATACTCAGTGTTGGTGAGAACAATGTTACTCTATAAGATGATGAGACATTTCTCTTATGCATACTGCAGGTTTGGTCTCTCTTGAAATCAAGGTTCATGTAAAGTTTTTTCAGGACGAATGTTCGGTTTTATGCTCTTGTCAACGTATCTTGGTGGGTATCCATTCTGGATGAAGCAGGTGTAATTCTTTTTCTGGAGCATCATGGATGCGACTGGCAAGGGATTTAATTGGATTACTTTTCCGTTCAGCAGGCACCTAACTGTAGAAACTTGTCAGTTGAAAATTCCATTTTGGTTTCTTTATGTTCCGTCTACTCATCTTTTTAGTTCAGCTTCAAGAAAGGGACAACTTATCACTTTTGGCACTATCCTTTTTCATGTAAACGCTGTACATAAGTGCGATTGTACAGGTAATGAAAACGATTTCTCCAGAAAGAACCTCTTCTTTGAACCACTTGTTTTGTCCTTTTCTTCAGTGACTAACTGGAAATTATTCATGAATGATCAATACAGACAACTATCTTCTGCATTTTATTAAGTATCAAAGATGCACACATTCGAATCCAAGTAGTGTAACAGATCCAAAGATTTAAAGACAACAGAAACGAGGTGTGAAGCTAAAAAGGAATAAATATTTAGTCAGGTTGACGCAAATGATAACATCACACTTCATTGTTAAACACTATACTCAAATTAATAGTAATAACCAAAATATACTTAACTCATTTTAATCAAAGATAAGCTAGTAGTGCTCAACATTTTCTGGGTTTATGTAGTTAAAACGTGTCACATACACACATAGCCTTGGACAAAGTTCTCAAGAAAATACTGAATCTTTAAATGTTTAAAGTTGTATAGACAAACAATTATTGGCCTGTGTAATGTTTTTTCGAACGTTTTCAGAAACGGAAACTGCCGGGTATACTCTGGCCTTTGTCTTTTGATAGTGAATACTTCATCATCAGCCTGTTTGACGTCTTCAGCACTTACTTCAGTAAGAAGTTGGTGGAACACCAAACAACTTTCATTCCGAGACATAAGGCTTTTTTATTTCCATCAGAAAAGTATGAATGTTTCCTCAATGATTACAAAATGACTAGTAACTTGAGTGCAGTCACAGAATTTAGCCGACCGACAAATAAGAAGAAACAGTAAATTACACAATTTTCTGCATAGTTTAAAAGTGTGTCCATAATTTTTCCATAAGAACATTACATACTTATTTCCCCTGAAGCTCTTATGGTGCGATGGAATTTATAAATCCAGAGAATCTGTCAAAGTCGGTGACACCATCTTTATCACATACATTAATTTGGAAAGTCGATGTGTGAAAAATGACTGTTCACTCATCATTACTCTTCATTACTGATCTTGAATGTCTAGAAATATAGACGAAAACCTGTCGTTTAAAAATAGAGTCAAGGCAGCGTCTTAGAGAGAAATTCCGGAATATAGTAACTTTATTTCATACAAATATGAGCAAAATTATCAGTTTGCCGGTGGTGGGATGCTTGTCAACCACGCATGTGGCTGTGGTTCCATTCCTGGCCAAAGCAATCCTGAACCTCACATAACTGGTGGTAAGCTCGATAAAGAGAAAAAGTTGCGAGTGAGGCTAGCAATTCCACTCTGTAAAAACAGCGTCATCGCTACTGTAACTTCAGAGCTCAAACTGAAGGCCCTATATGTGCGTCGGCGGCACAGCTGTTAGGACTCTCGCCGATCAAGCACGTGGTCCGGGGTTCGATCCCCTGCCGAGGCACATCTCATATCAATGGTCGGCCTGCAAAATTTGGGCTACCGATATCACATGCTGAAAATTCCATACTTGTACCAAAAACATGGTGTGGAATCAAGCTGTAATCAAAAAAATTAAAATTATATTTCACTGAGAACGCAAAGGAATGAAAGAAGAGTGAGCAACACCATCAGCAAATAAATAATACTGTAGCATTGTGTGTTATATCAAATAAAGTTATTCCACTATGGAAAAGCCAATCATTTCAGTTTGATACTTATGGGAATTCACCGATTTGCTTAGATTGAAATTGCTATCATATTATTTACTTAGAAATACAGACTACATTTACTTCAAAACAGAATAAAAAAACCTAATTTTCTATTGGCGTTCTATTCAGTAAGCGTTTGTTTACATTTCAGCTTCTATAAATCAAAAATCTACTTCCTCATCATCGTATTACACTGCTGATGAACCAATGGATGATAAAGACCGAGCAGTGTCTGGTAATCTATTTGGTAAGAATTTTTTGAACCGATTAAAAGTATCAAATTCCATACAAAGTTTTTCTCTATTAACCTTAAAAAACAAATTTTTGTTGTTCCCAGTAAATAAACGTTTACATAAAAGCTAACAATATTACCGGTGAGACTGAAGATCAGAGACACTGATGGCTAATAACATTAAGAGCAAACAGAAACGAAAGAAATAACTGCTGATCTCAACCGATAGCTTATACAAATCTTGATTACTTCCGTAGAATTCATCAATCAGACATGGGCGTTTTGACTGCAACAGCTTCAGCAGTGTTCAACGATAACGGCACGCCCACTGTTTTGCTTGTTTTGTAATGTGACATGGCAGACACTACTAGCCACAATTTTTCATTGTAATTTGGAGATATTCATCCAGTAGTTGCCATCAGACTGGAGATTGACATTTAGATTATACGATATTTGTAAGGATTCGGATTAGTTCCCATGTAGGTTTAGTTGTGAACATCAGTTAGTAAATCATTGAAATTCAGGAAGCAGTGAACAACTGTTTCGTCCTAGCTTGGGATTCTTCAGCGACGCCCACCCACAACTCTATGACCTTAAGGGTACTATAACAGCTCGTTAAACACTTAGCCACTTGGACAGGGATTCATTGCTCCCTGGTTTCCAATGATCAACTAATTGATGTAGGTTATGTGAAATTAATAGGAGTCCCTATACAACACCCATAATCTGAATTATTAAGAGCAAAAAGCTTCATTCAAAATGCAACGAAACAATAGCTGAATTAATTCTTCTAAAGTGGAATGAATGTTGTAGCCAGTCAGTACATAGCGAGCCACTGATGATTACGTTTATACATTTTTTTCAACCATGCCTTGATGCATGCAAATCGATAGCAGGTTGTTCACGTCTCTAATTAATCTGGTTCGAGTAAATAACAAATGAAATCTACATGAGCGCTATGGAATTCTACACCTTATAATAACTTATAAAGAATACGCTAATTCGAAATTCTCTCATTCGAGTGAGACATTGGTGTGCTATTCTACAGTAATTAACCAATTTGTAGTTAATGCACCAAAATGATACAATTTAACGCAATAAATTTTCTAAGTTGTGTTAGCTGAGAAGAACATATAAAACAAAGTGAATCTATTTCATCTCATTTGATATTCGTTTCCAGGCTTTGTAACAGGTAGTATCTAGAGGAGACTAAAGGACGAATAATATTAAGCTGTGAAACAGTTACCCAAAACGCCTCCATGGAGAGTGTAGTAGACAGTATTAGACGACAGATGATCTTTGTAGCGATCACAGCATCAAATGACAAGTCTACATGAAGCAGTCTACAACCGAAAATTTTCTTTAGTGACATTTATATTCAAGTGACAGAAAGAGTTTTAAATACTGTCACAAATCCGAGTAACTGCTTCTAGCATTCAACAGTAAGCAAAAAAGACCACAACATTACTTTATTTGTCCTTAAGACTATTTTAAACTTGGTGCTTAGTGAACTCCTATTAGCAGTGGATTTCTGATAATTCGCCAACCGATAGACGTCAAATGAAGAAAATGATCTACATAATTAGACAATTTAAGAGATTAACTGCAAAAGTGATACTCCAGGTTGTCAATTGTCTAAAGCATTCACTCAAAAGTGACTGACTTTGGAATATGCTTCATCTAAACAGAAGAAAAATTACACTTTGATTAACTCGAAAGATAGCTTATACTGAGAATATTAAGAGCAATTCTATGGTAATGTCAGTTGAAACGTCGAGTTCTGGAGAACAAAACGGGTTTGTGGTTTTCGGCAATGAAAGAGAAAAAATTAGGAGAGAAAAACATGCCTTCATACCAACTAACTGATTTCAGATCTTCAGAGACTCTGCTACCGTTTTCTTCAAACATACCGATGTGCAGAATCAAAAACTATTGTAATATGAAGCAGAAACTTGTTTCTCTTGTCTTTCTGTCTTAGAATAAACTGAAAGTTTATAATGCTCTCTATTTTTATTGTCTGTTGATACTTGGTCTCCTGGATCTAAGCTTATCACTCACTTTCACATATATAAATGGGACTTTTTCAGTTAGGGTCAATTTGAACTTTACGTCATAATTTACAGAAACAAATGTGTATTGTTCTTGCATTTGAAACATTTTTAAGAGGAACCAATTGTATGAGACATTTACTTTATCCAATTTCTTTTATTAAAATAGAATCATATTCAACCTTGGATGGTGTGCAAACGCCTTTTTCGGAAGATCAACAATCTCTCGCTGATTTTCAAATGAGTCCAGATGGTAAGTTGCCACCAACTTTCTGCAAATCATTTTTATTTTATCTTTTAATTGGTACGGGAATAATTAAAAGGAATTCTGGAACTATTTTGCTGCTATACAAAACTAGTTAATAAGTAACTGAAAATTAAAGAGCACTGAAAACACATTTAGCCCTAGAGCATGAAGCTTAAGTAATGCTCACACATGATACTACAAAGAAAATTTATCTCAGTATTTTCATATTAAAGGATTCTAAGGAAACAATGTGTTCTGAACCAGTTTGATTATGGACAGATAATGACTTTAGAAGTAAAAATGTCGCTCTGTTAAGCAACAACTTTTCCGATGTCCTCATCTATCTAAATAATGAAATCAAACATTTTCACAGAATAAAATCAGGTTGATTTAATTGCTTTCTTATCCTAATTTAGAAAAATCAGACTTCAGATGCTACACAATCCTCACATTTCATTACCAGGTTGTGCAACCTCAATAAAATAATCCGAAGCCACAGACTTACATTTTCTAGAACACCAAGTTTTGTTTGCTGGTGTATGGTAATCCCTATAATGAACATCGGCTGACGTGTTTAGGTATTTACATAGTTTATTCAATTTTGCTCATAATTTAAGTCGCCATAGTCTAAAAAATCAAGAGAACTTTAGTTTGAGAAACTTCTATTATGTTCTGTGAAATATAATATATACTGGCTTGACGTGGAAAGGAACTAACATGCATGAGGGAGAAGTGAAATGTCAAATGGTACTGAACACCAGTTAAAGGTCCTCAGCTAAATAAGCCCGATTGAACTACCGATCGTTATCTGATCCATTATTTCCTACACTTTATATTAATCTAACTATTTACAGGTCAAAAATTGCTCATAGACATATATATATACATACATTATATTATTGTTTGTATATTAGTGAATAAAATGAATTTATATAACAATGTTTTTGTTTATTAAATTTTATAGTTCGAGGAAACCTATCACAATTGTTACCAAGGTCATCTTTGACAGGGAGTGAAACACTTATCAAACAACTGACAGTAAATGCAGGTGAACAAATACAATTCAATGCATCATTTACTATATCTGGCCCAGTCGCTTACGAGACAAGTTGGTTTATGAATGGTGCTCCAATGAAACCAGACCTGGGGGCTGATATGATATTGTCAGATCGAGACACACGCCTGCTCATATCGAATGCAGACCCTTTGGTTCATTCTGGAACGTATGCGTGTCGATGTCGTCTTTTTGAAGGAACGGAGACAGCTGTTTACTTTTGTGTCAATGTTCTCACAGCTAAGATGAATTTAAGTGATTCAAATGAAAATGAGTTAGACCAAGCTAGACGGATGAGTATGAGTCAGCCGAAAATTTTCTATCCAGTTACTAAAGACCTAGACATAGCAGTTGGGAAACCACTGACAATTGAAGTGAAAATAGATGAGGAAAATGCTTTAAAACTAATAAATAACAGTAAAGAGAATGTTCAGGTGGATTGGTATCAAGATTCGACTTTACTTAAATCTAGTCCAATGTGTGAAATGATCAAATCCAATGACCGTTTCTTTCTTCATTCAACTACCAGTCATTTACAGCCTGATAAAATATACATGTACACTTGCATGTTAAGACTTCCTGCTAATTCAGCTATATCCCCGGCTCCAAGTTTAACTATACCAGTGCGTTGTCATTATCCAACAGTTGAAGAATTAGAAAATGAATTCAAAACTAGTAATCAGAATAATACTTCAAAACCAAACGGCATTATAACTCATCCAGTTGCGCTTCCAAGGGATGAAGCATTCCAGTTGAGTGTACCTATTCAAAATGACTCTGAAAACCATGATTATGTGATATGGTGGACACGTAATGATAAGTTATTAGCAGGCAGTCATTTGCCTACAAAAGACTGCGTCTATGAATGTATAGCTGAGCCTAAAAGAGAGAAAAACCAAACACTAGTGAAACTTCTGAAAAGTTCGACGAAAGACAATGATTCTGGAACATACAAGTGTTGGGCAGTTTCACAATCAATAAAAAACCGTAAAATTCATCGCATAGACGTCACAGTTAAAGTGAATGAAAAAGAAAAAGATTTGGATGAAAAAAGGTACGAAGAAGAACGCGAAAAAGACGAAAAGGAATCTGAAGTGAATGAAGAAATGGTTATTGTGGATGACGCCGAAACCGAAAGTCCTGTACAGCAAGATAATAAAAGGATCGATGACACAGAAGAGAATATTAAGCAACGGAATGAAAAAAGTGATAATGCACATTTTCCAGAAACTGAATTACAGCTTCAGCATAAAGAGAATGAAGAAGGAAAGGAGACTGTGGAAATGAAAGAAAAGAAAGATGAAACACAGAAAGTAATAATAGAGTTCCAGAAAGTTGATTCTGGAAATCAGAACGAGGAAGAATACAAAGAAGCAGAGGAGAAGAATTCTTCAGAGGAAAAAACTAGTGAGCAGATAATTCAGATACAGGACAAAACATTAGAAAAGAAAACTGCTGACAGAATATCTGTTGACAACAACGAGTTTTCGGATAATCATGAGGAGCTGTCAAATGTAGAATTATGCATGAAAGAAAAACCCAAAGATGAAAAACGTCAAAAACCGGAAGAGGAAAAGAGTAGAGATGTTGATTCAGAATCTAAACAGGAGGAAGAAAAATATACAAGAGGTGAGAAGGAAAAGTCAGGAGTACAAGTTCCAGAGGTAGCGCCGAAAAGTGAAAATGAAATAATCATGAACCAGTTAGGAGACGAAGATAGGACAAAAAATAAACAAGAAGATGAGACGAAGCATCGCTCAGAAGATAATTATGGAAAAACAGAATTGACACAGACAACAGAAAAGGAACACGATGCCAAAAATAAAGACGTAACAGAAGAAGAAAATAATGCAAACAATACATATGTGAAAAAGAAAGCATCATTGAAAGAAGTCGAATGTATGCAGCAGACAGAAGGAAAAGAAAACCAAGAATATCCTTTAACTTCTCAGAATTCGAATACGGAGGAGAAAAGTTCCTTGAAACAACCAGAAGACAAAATGACAATCAAAAATGAAACTAAAACAGTTGATGAGGTGGATACGGAATTGCCACCACTGAGAAACAAAGATATCACAACAAATTTGACAACTTCTCCTGATGAGAAACAGATAAAGAGCAATAAATCTAAACGTAAATCAGTCGAACATGGTGCAGATAAAGCAGAAAACCTGGCCAGTGAAGTCAAGGCAGTGATAAACGAAGACGAGAAGCAGAAGATTTTAGAGGAGAGTGTTTTATCGAAGGATGACCAGGCAAAACCTATAACTGCTGACAGTGCTACAGACAAAACAGAACAAATTGACAATAAACATATGAAGTCTGATAAATCTAAACGTAGGTCAAGTAAACATGTTGATGAGGCATCTGACGTAAAGAAAGGCGAACAAACTGAACAAGTTGATGATAAAAAGAGAAAACACAAAGCGAAGGAAAAGGCGGTAAGTGAATATAAAGTTGACACTGATGAAGATAAGAAGAAACTGCCTGTAGACAGCAATGCCGAATCAGTGGACAAGGTTAAAGAGCATAGTGAGACTAAAACTATACAAGAGGTAAATCAGAAACGCAAAGGAAGTGAACACAAAGTTGACACTGATGAAAGTAAGAAGAAACTGCCTGTAGACAGCAATGCCGAATCAGTGGACAAGGTTAAAGAGCATAGTGAGACTAAAACTATACAAGAGGTAAATCAGAAACGCAAAGGAAGTGAACACAAAGTTGACACTGATGAAGGTAAGAAGAAACTGCCTGTAGACAGCAATGCTGAATCAGTGGACAAGGTTAAAGAGCATAGTGAGACTAAAACTATACAAGAGGTAAATCAGAAACACAAAGGAAGTGAACACAAAGTTGACACTGATGAAGGTAAGAAGCAACTGCCTGTAGACAGCAATGCTGAATCAGTGGACAAGGTTAAAGAGCATAGTGAGACTAAAACTATACAAGAGGTAAATCAGAAACGTAAAGGAAGTGATATCCAAAAGACTGAGAATGACCTTATGATGGAAAAGTCAGACAGTGATACTTTATTGTCTCATGGTCCTAATATAGGAGAAGATAAAACCGCTTTCAGTGAAGTCACTTTGGATAATGAAAAAGCGAAAAAGGAGTTTAAAGCATCAGACAATGAGAAAAAAGAAACTGAAAACAGTGAGAGCACAATGAACCATGAAATTTTTGATGCAAAGGCTAATGCTAAGGTTGACCAAGCCAGAGATTTAGCATCCAAAGAACAAGATGCAATGGAAGAAAAGAAAAAAAAGAAAGAAAAATCAAGAAAATCCAGTAAGCAAAAAGAGACGGAACGTAAACTTTCAAAGGATACAATTAAATTAGATTCAGATTTAGGTAAGACATTTACTCCACTCAATGAACAAAGTGATGACACAGCTTTGCTCAATGAATACCAGCAAGACAAACAACCACGCAAAAAACATCGCAAATCGGTGGTGAAGACTGAAAATGATGATTCAGGAAATAAAAAGAAAATCTTAGATGATCAGAAAGAGTACACGGATATTACTGAAGAGAAATTGGCGCTTGATTACGAAAAAGAAGGTAACGAAATCAGAAATTTGCTGGAAAGTCAGGAAGTCAAAGAATCATGTAAGTTAACGGTTTTGAGGAACATGGTACCTTTTTGTTATACGAATTTATTGATAAAATGTCTGACCATCAATAAGAATTCTCAAGTGTTGGTTTGCAGGGATTTGAAAAGTTACAGGTTTGATCAAGAGATGACGTCAGTTCGAACCCTGGTGGGTGTGTTCCCCTGAAGAGTCTCAAACTAGGACGAAACAGCTGTCCAGTACTCTGTGGTTTTCTAATAATCCTCTAACTGGAGTCATCTCGTGGTCAAACTTGTGACCAAATATAAATATTGTGGGGCATCATAATCACCAGTATAGTAGTTAATTTATCATAGTTTCTATTCATAAAACTGTCTTCCTCAAACAACATTGTTTCGTAGGAAAGCGAAAATATCTCAGAGATTTAGCAACTGAGATGAGAAAAATAGTTCGCTGATGGAAATTGTAAATAAGCAAAATATAGTGAGAAAACCGGATTCAAGATGTTTATAGGATTCATCTGAACTTTTCAACTGTATATTTTGCATATTCTAAGTAAAATTATGTAATGCAATAATACATCTGATATATTCTTTCGAGCTATCTTAGAAGCACGGAATACTGCGAGTACTAAAGCTCAAAAATCCACAAAAAGTGTTTCCGTAAACGCTGATAATTGCATCGGTGTAACTAAGGATTGGATGTGATAAAGTCATTGCAGAATTTACGACAAGATAAAATCCAGTAACAAGTTATGACATAATTCGCATCAATTCACAATATATAATTCATTCTGCGTGACATAAAGTGATGTAGTATACATAACTGGATGACCTTTTAAACACCATTTATTGATCATATTCAGCACAGTGATATGACATGATATTAGTGATATAGCCAGAGTTTTACTACGAGTAAAATGCAATTTAATCATTAAATGTGTTCACACATCGATTAGATGCATACAAGCTGAATATTTTACCCATATAAGTAATCATTGTGACATACTTGCTGATAAGCGGAAAATAAACTGTAAAAATCTATGTGAATGTCCAAATTATAAAAGATGTTCGAATAATAAATTACAATCAACACAGAGGCATCTTTAAACCGTTAGGGAAAGTAATATTCATGAATTTAACGGTGAATTCAGACACAAGCAAAGGTGCATGCGCAATTATCTCAAGGGTTATCCAAACAGGATATGAGGTCAGTGAAAGCAAAGTAACTAATCAAAATTAATTTGGAGGTAGATGAATATGAACACTAGGTTACGCCGTAATTAAGACACAAATTTGAAAAAAAATAATAAAGCTAGTAAGTCAGTATCCACAGATGTACTAACAAGTTTGTAATGCATAATTTCAGATTTGCTGTTAAGATGGCGGCAGATTCAGAGATTTGAGGTAGTCGTATATGTTCTGCAATCCATTTAGAAACCCGCTTCTCTTCATTCTTCCTACCTACTTGCTACCGCAAATACATCTGAATTCACAAACACATTTGGCCTTGACGTTAGCCAAAAGCTCGTTTAGTTCGGACCATATAACTGCAAAGGTTGTTTTATACAGCAGGACCAGTTTGGCGATTGTATGAGCCCCCGTTATATATCCTTTTATCCCTATGATAATTCCTTCTGCAACCTAACCACTCTGAAATACTAATGTAAAGAAACATGTCTTCTTTTTGACTCCTCCTTCCTGTCATTGATATATTTCGGATACTCATTGTTCCTTAAACAGTTTATGATTGAGATTGATATTATTTTATAATACTTATCTTGAGAAAAGCCCTCCTACTCTCTAGTACAGTGTTCTTACTAAATCTCTCTGGTAGCTTACCCAAAGAAAACTGCTGAAACTTTGGTACTGGCCATTCCAAGTTGCTCTAAGGTAAAGTGCTCTTCGCAGGACAGCAGTGAACGAGTTAATTTACCTTCTCTAGAAAACTTCTGCATTTGAAGCTTCATGACTTTATCATGTACTTGATGTAGAAGGATACTGATCATGTGATAGGAACACAGAAAACCAACCATATATATCTTTTTGCATTAGACAGTATGGTATTCGGAAACATTTTTAAAACAAAATATAAGACTGAATATTTATTTTTATTTTGCAGAATTAAGACTATTCTTAGTTAATGCAACCTACGAATTCAGACTGACTTTTGGCTGTTTATATGCATAGGGAATAGACAAATTATACCCTAGATTGTTTCTTATCATGTGTTAATAAACAGGTGATGCGAAGCATTAACAGAGTGGAGTTTAACGTAAATTTAGATATTATGAAAATTACATGCCGGTGTCAGACTATACATACAGTTTTTCATTCCTTTATTTTCCCGGTGGAACATAGGGCTGCAAGCTTGAGCTTTACAATTTTGGTAGAAGTGGCTTTCTTTTTACGGGGTGAGGTTGCTTTTCTCACGTCCAACCTTCCTTCTTTACCGGCCTAGTGAGGCATAGGAATGTTTTGGTGGGAGATCGAAAGCCAGACCACGTGTGTGGTTGACGAGCGTTCTACCTCTGAACCACCGACGCACATACATACATCGGACCATTAAATTTTGAATGTGCTCTTTAAAAGACAGGTAACAAATGTTGAACTTCATAATGCAATTTGATACGTGGTAACTCACTCAAAACAATATTCAGTGAGTCAGAATTTGAATAGCCTGTAGAATTAACGTCTGCTATCATCAAGCTTGAAGATATCCATTGCTGACAAGGGCTAACAACCGTGAAACTTAAGTATGCGACTTTCTGAAGGCCGACTTTCGAAAGCTGAGCATTACAACGCCATATGGGTGTTATAAGTGGAATTCAAAACGAAAATTAGGTAGGCACAAATGTATATATATACTCAGTTGAAGATCATATCTGATACACGGTTTTTATAGTATCTGAGCTGTTTAGACATTCTTACTCCTACTTTTAATTATTAGAGCTACACTAATTAATTTATCTATCTATCTTTAAGCGAGACATACTGCCTTTATCCTCATGAGAAGGATTATACTGTTTCCTTTACGCAGATATCTGTTTAGAAATAAACCTATCCCATAGATTTCATCCAAAGGACTGCTTCGTGTACACGTTGATTTTTTAATACAGGTTTGTTGTGCAAAGACACTGGCTATTATTTAATTCAATTTTTAGATTTTCCCGTCGATTGATTGGACCGAAGTGCTCGGTCTCAGGTTGACATGTCGGCTTCTTGTGCAGATGCTTCGACGATGTCTGGGCATGTAATTAGAAGTTAATTGGTGGATGGTGACTAGCAGTGGAATCCAGGATGCGCATTTCGTCCTATTTGGGACTTGTCAGTTGGATGTGCCTGCATTCCACAGTGAGTGATGATGTTCCCACCGAGGATCAAACCCAGCGCCCATAGTTTCAAACGCCACTCGGTCCATGACAGCCACCCCTTGTGCAACAGATCATATCAATTATTTAATTCGAGCCTCGGTGGGAATATCATCACTCACTACGAAATGTAGGTACATCCAACTGACGAATCCCAAATAGGACGAAATGCGCATCCTGGATTGCACTGCTAGTCACCATCCACCAATTAACACTGGCCATTAGGTTGCTGATGAACGTACTGACTTAATAAAGCGAAAAGACATAAAGGGTTAACTTAAATGCCAACTATTTCATTAATTTTTCTTTGAGAATATGAATTTCTGATATCAGTTCATTTCAAAATAACCTGTAAAAATTCGGATTCCTTATTCTTCATCATTCTCATCAACAAAATGTGATTTTATTTACTATTTATAGATATGAAAAACCAGGAAATGGAAATACCGTCTGATTTGCTTGATGAAGATAAGATGTGTAAAAGCAATGTAGTCTTCTTAAAACCAGTATCTGATATCAATAAAGAAGAAAGTGTACCCGTAAAACAAGGAGCCACAGTTAATTTAACTACTGAACTTGACACAAGTGAATCTTCTGTCCTGCATCCTAATGACATTATCGCCTTAAAAAATGGAAAACCAATTGAGTTCAGTGAAAAGGAGATGCCTATACTAACAATCAAGGATAATCTAATCAAATTAGTACTCGAGGAAATATCACCGGAGCAAAGTGGAATTTATGAGATTGGACTACGTCAGCCAACAAAATATCCATTGAAAAGTGGTGAGAACGAAGATGAAACACTTGATGAACCTACTTCTTCTTCTGTCATTCCATTTGCACGATTTCCACTTATTTGTGTTGAGCCTAATGAATCAGTATCCAAAGATTATACTATCAAGCAAATTCAAGATGAATATAAGCAACCGAAAATATTTTTAGCTGAATTATTACCAAAGTATGTATGTATGCAGGGTGAAACAATGAAATTAGCTGTTGAACTGAAGAGCAACGTTTGCGTGAAAGATTTTGAATGGTTGGTGAACGGGAAGACAATAGACGTAAGTTCTCTCACTAATGCTCTGATGCTATGGTAAACTAACATTTTCAGATAGAAGTCCATCATCATACACAATATAGGGAAGTTTGAGATTGATAGTCAAGAAATTAGGTTCTATTGAACACAAATCATCTCTGTACTATAATGCTTCAAATATCTTCTCATTATTCTTACCCTCGAAATAGAGTAGTATGATGGAAGTTTCACTGTGACGCTTAGGTACATTAAGTCAGATCTGTCCATAACTGAGATTTCCTCTGAACCTCGGAATTCAACGAAATTCATTAATATCTGTGATGTTCACTATGAATGAAAATAGCACCAAATGACAAGTGTTATAAATCAACACAACTAGTTCACATTCAACTTCAACATCACTTCGAAAATGTACCGAAATAACCTTAGAGGACAATAGCCCTCACAGGACAATTCGATAAATGCTAATCCTGCCTACCAACGAAACATTATTTCTCTCAGTATGTTTGTCTTAGAAATAAGTAATTTCATTCTAACATTATCACAGGCGTATTGGTTTTGTGAGCATGAAACTGATTTTCGCGTTCTTTTCTTAGACTGACTAGATAAACAATCAGTGCCATTCTTAAATGTCTAGAAAATACATAGAAACAGTAACCATTAAGTAGTTTATTCGAACTTTGCAACTTTCTGACATGCAAATGTCATTATCTACCAGTAGTAGGTGTGCATTCACAACATCACTTAAAACTTCCTATAATGACAACTCACGTAATCAGTTAAACAACTGAACAATGAGCCAAATTCGCTTAAGATGTGGTACTGATCAGTCTGACAGATAAAACTAATTTTTACCTCTTCAAAATAGACAATAATTTGAAACCAAACACATCATCAAGGTTTTTGTTCTAAGAATATATATTAGCCAATGATCAATCACATCGGGAAAATTGACAGTTTGAATGAATAACAGCTGACACTACTTTCATGTGTACTGTCTCTAACAGCCCTGAAGTCTAGTGCATAAAGCCTTCGCATTTGGAACTATTATATGCTGAGTTCTTTCCATACTTGAAATCTAGCACTTCCTGCTTACAAGTTGCAAATAAGATGAAACACTTATCTTAAATTCGATTGCTGGACACCATCTACCGAATGATATTAGTTTGCACCCAACTGTGCAGACTTTCCAGCCTGTTTCTTTTATTTACAATGGCACTAACAAGCTCAGCATAATTCGCTTTTTAGCTTCCTCGTATGTCAACAATAGTAAACGGTGATGGCTATCAAGCACACCCAATAATCTCATTTCCTTTGGTTTCATAATTGTAGATTCATCAAATCATAAACCAATAATAATATTTACCCAGCATATACATATACATACATATGTATACATATATTTACCCATACAGCCTGAATCAAGTACAGACTTCGTTGTATGGCAAACGGGCAACTGGATTGCATTAACAATACCAAATGTTCGTGCAGATTTAACTGGAACATACACGCTGAATGTGGATACTCCTCGTGGTCGATACACCACGACATGTGATCTGTCAGTGAATGGACAGAAAAGACAAACTACACCATATGTTCCATCGTAAGCTATTTTTCTTATTGATTTTGGTCTAGAAATGTATGTTTTAATTTTTTTAAATATCATAATATAAAATACTCTGTCAATCCGAATTAAAGAGAAAGTGTTAGATAGACTGTGAGGCTTGCAATACATTAACTCAAAAAATCCTCAGTATATTAAGCTACCTTAACAATGATAAGTTCAACGGGAATCTCAAAGTAGGAGCTGCTGAGCAGCTTTTTCGTCCTAGTTTGGGATTCTTTAGTAGCAGGTACCTATGACTCTGATCCATATCCTTCAGATTACGAAATGAGTACAGTTCTATTCAGTCAGTAAGTCATGATCTAATGGCCCATGTATCCCAACTCCTTGTTCATTTGACATGTACAAAATATCTTTTTCGTAGATTTATAATCAATTTTTCTTTTGCAAAGTATTATTTGTCATTGCTTTTGTACAAATGGAAAATGACCTGAGACAAAACTAATAAGTATGAGATAAATTGAATTCAGTTGACCACTATAATTGTAAGCTTTCAAAAGCCTATGTTGTAGGTGAAGAATTACAAACTGTAATATGATGATATGACATGACTAAGGAAATCAGTAAGGAATTTTCAGCAACTAACCTTGTTCACCGGTATAATAAACCATTTCATTATATATTAGGATAACATGCTTACCACTAATATGAACTGTGATCAAGATTTGACCGAATAGTTCCAAAATAACTGGGCACCGAGTGAGAAGTGGACACTTGTAAAAATTATATTTGTAAAAACTCAGCGAAATTGAAATGAGTAATTCCAAGGTTTCGTTCGGCAAACTGGTCCGAACTTCTTCAGGGAAATTAATCGAAATTAAGATAACAGAGTTTTATATACAAAAAGGACATCTCTTGTTTTTAAAAACTTTGTCCAATCATATAAGTCATGAAACAGACATCGACATGTATAATAAACAAAATTGAATGAACTGTGATCAAAATTTGACCTCAGACTTTCACAATTTAGTCTACTTTTGCAAAAAATTATATTTGTAAAATCTCAGCGAGATTGAAATGTGTAATTCCAACGTTTCGTTCGGAAATCTGGTCCGAACTTCTTCAGGGAAATTAATCGAAATAAACATAACAGAGGTTTATATTTAAAAGAAACATCACTTGTTTTCAAAAACTTTCTCCAATCATGAGTCTTTCAACAAGTATAATAAACAAAAATTTTTGAGCTGTGATCAAAATTTGACCTCGGACTTACAAATATTAGTCTACTTTTGTTAAACACCTTAAACGGAGTGTACTTTTCATCAGAATACGTTCAACTAAAAGTTCATGTTAGTAGATAACTGAATATGAAAATATATGTGTATATGCAGTATACAATGGTGTGTGAGTGTGTGTATGGGTAAACAGTCGTGAAACATTTGTTAACCTCTCCATAAGAAGATATAGACAATCGGGAATTTAGACCAAGTGTGATTAATTAGAGATACATATCAATTTTTCATTTATTAATCAGGATTTGCCATGTATCAGCTAACATCACACCTTCACATCTGTTCAAACTGTTGGGATTTACCCATATATGTAGGGCTTTTGCAGTCAATCTTTCTTTATACGAACGGAAACCATTCTGTAGAACCTTAGTCCTAACAAAGTCGATTTTGTTCCCCGTTTCTATCGAATGCAGTGTAATCGCTGATCTGTTTTCTAGCTTCTTTATGTCTGCAGAGGTGTTTGAAATCACCTTTAGACATTGTTTATGCTCTTTCACTCTTATATTTGCCTGTCGGGAAGTTTCTATTACATATACGGCGTCACAGTCCCTACAGTTGATCTGGTACACACAATTCTGTTGGTTTTCTTCTTTTTTATCCTTAACCATCACCAGTGATGAGCGTAAGGTGTCAGTTGCACGAAAATAAACTCTTATGTGATAATTGTTAAGGATTACTGTATCTCATCCGATGTTTCTTTGTAGTAAGGAATCACCGCTGTACCAACCCAAGTTTTAGCAACAGGTTTCGATCTATCCTTATCTTCACATTTTAAATATCTTTTAATGAAGGCTTTGGGATAATTACTTGATTCAAGAGTGGATTGAACCAATTTTAGTTTCCTGCCGATCTCTTCCTCCTCAGTAACTAGTTCTGTTAATCAGATTCTTGGTCACAGTTACTTTGGTGGTAAAGGGGTGTTCTAAACAGTAGTCTTTGTATCTGTCCGAATTTGTTGGCTTTCTGAAAATGTTTATTTTAAGTCTACCATCTGGTTTTCTTTTAACTAAACAGTCCAGGAACGCCAAATCATTCTCTTCGGATTCAAACTCTTTGGAAAACTTAATGGTTTCTGACATATTGTTTATTAAGTGAAAAAGTTCATTCAACAAACTACGTCTGAATATGACGAAGGTATCATCCACGTATCTTAACCACATTTTTGGAGGACTAGAGCATCTCATAATTGCATTTTTTACCAATGAGTGCATAAACAGATTGGCGACTAGTGGAGACACTGGTGATCCCATAGCAATGCCTTCTGTTTGACGGTAAATAACCCCTTTAAATGTAAATAACGCCTTCATAATTTCATCTGGATTTAAGGGGCAACCAGCACTGAGTTCGTTGTCAGAACAAGGTAAATTATAAATAATACTTAAAGAATCATTAACGGGAACATTCGTGAATAATGAATAAACATCAAAACTTGCCATTACTTCATCTTTTTCAATATGAGTTAAGTTGATTTTACCATGTTGAATTCCATATTCTCCTAATACTTACAGCAGCTTTTGGACTGCTGTCCACTCAGTTTTTGCACTTGTCTCTTTTATTTCTTTTAATATGATAAGTTGCTGTAATGCGTTTAATTTATATATATATATATATATATATGTAAAGTTTTAGTGAATAATGCCCATGAAAAGTAAAACACTCTTTAATGAATTACTTTTTCTTTAAAAGTTGACAGCTAATGCCTATGTTCACGTTGACTATATGCATGAACAAAAACACTATCACAACAACTCAGGCACGATTTGATTTATAAAAGAATGCTGCACTCTAAGTTACTAACTTTAAAAAATAACGATGATGTCACAAAATGAACCGTTTCAGATAACTCTAACTAACTTTTTACCGTTATGTGTGCGCGGACGAAAAGAACGTTTGATAAGTGTTACATTTGTGGAGTAAAACAAGACATTAGATTTTCAGTTTTTTATGATAGAAGTAGTTTAGTCAGACTTCAAAAAAGCAGTAATGTACTTTCATATAACTTTTCCCAGCACGCTGAAATGTTTAACTTTTATGACAATGATATTTATTTTGATATTTGACTTTTTTAGTCAGGTAGAAGGACTTAAACCATTATTTACCAAGAAACTTCAAGACTACACGGCTGAAGCGAATGAAATCGTTAGACTGTGCGCGCGTTTAGTTGCAGAACCACCCGCAACTATCATCTGGTAATTCAATTTATTTTTTTACAGTATACCATTCTTGTACTTTACTGATTAAACTGTGTACTCTTGTGTTGAACCAATAACTCAGAAGCAGCTAAAAACAATAGTGAAGCTTTCTTTCAGACAATATGTGAAGATATGGTACAAAAGTTTACAGCGTATTTAGTTCCAAAATATTTCCTCTCCATACAGAATTTACATGTAAAGCAACAATCTGAAGTAATCATTTGTCGTAGTGTTCCTTCAAGAATTGCATAGCATATAGCGGGAAACTAATTAATTATGCGCACGAGTTCAAACACTGGTCATTTGATGTAATTGCACTGTTAAAACAATAGAAAGTGCAGAAGAGTTCAAGCATTTTGATGGATGGAAGTTCTGGTAGCCAAGTGATTTAAACAGGCTGCCCTGGTACACATTATTGTATAAATTAGATTAAAGTTAAAATGCGGATAATACTGATACATATATTGTTATCACCCTAACAAACAATGCTGTCCCCTACAGTCTTATCAATTAATGTATAAGTTTTTAAAATAATTTACAGAAGGTGATATTGAACTGATTCCCAAGGCAATGATACCAGACAGACTGTATTGTCCGTAAGAATATCATTTTAACGGCTTCAGTACTTCGTGGGTGCCTTAGTCTGAATAGTAAGATACCCAAAATTCAAAAAGATGAGCATCTAAAAACTACTGCACTCATGTATATGAAAGAAATAACAAAACTGTCTGTCACTCATTTACAGAAGATCATAAACGATTCATCAAGCCAAAAATAGTAAAGGAAAATAACACCATCTAAAAGTAATTTAGTTGTTTCTCACGCCGCACTTTAGATACACCATAATAACTTAGAATGTATACCTGTACTAGTTCCTGTGCATTCTACACGAGCTTATTGATTAGTCATTATTTCACACTTATTACGTCATGTCAACTTCTACCTCTTTTCTAACTTCCAATAAGTCACCCCACCTAGGTTGCACCTTACATTAGGTAATGCATTTTTCAAGGACAAAGTTTACCAGTATCTGATTGGTCTAATGGTTTCTTTGTTAAATATAATTACGATTGTACAGCTCATGAAAATGAACCGTCGAAAAGGAAATTTTCTTCGCTGTTTACGCCATTTTCTTATACCTGTTTTTTATATATGACTCCACGGTTCTTTATTCATACTGTGTTTTTCAAGTGGAACTTAATATAATCTACGTAACTACACATATAGAGAATTCATGCTCAGTAAACACAAGTGATGAATTTTTTGAGTTTGTGTGATGGAAAACTCCCTTTAAACAATCTTGGTAGTTACTTCATCATTCAAAATTTAACATGCTGAATGAACCAAGTGATAATAATCATAAAACTTGGCATTGTAAAAATGTATAATTCCACTATTCTAGCCAAATTCAGTTCATGCGGTATTACTGAATAGAAAATATTTCTGGTACAATTTGTTAATCTTAATCATGTCACTTTCGTGAAATCGTGCACAGATAGGATGAAACAGCTACTCAGTGCTACCTATTGTACGGATTTCTGTATCTCATTTCAACTGAGAAGTAGATAAGCCTGAAAATCAATCATATATGTACATTCTGACAGATAAAAAGAAATATTTGATTTGTGAAACATCAGTTTCCAATAAAACCTATTTAGCTGTGTACTAGTACTACCACACGAAGATATTCGTTAGCCCTGACAAAACTTAAAAAATCTTATCGAATTCCAACCTTTGAATAATAAATGCAAATATTTAGTTTCTGAAGGTTACTTATTTTAAGAGCATCCTTGATTAATGCTTTCATATATATATATATATATATATATATATATATATATATATAGCCAGCAATAAAAGATATCATGAAATTTGAATATATATAATCGTCAGCTCAGTTATCACAAATTGTCCCACATTTTCTGTTGACATATGACAGATGTATGCATCCAAAAACATCACTTAGAAGTAAAAAGATAAACGTTATTTGTTACCTATCAAAGTTGTTTATCGTACACTTATGACTTACATTTCCATTTTTGTCAAAAATCATTTTAGGAAACACAATGGTATCCCAATTAAAGATGATAACAGAATTAAAATTTATCAGGACCATGTTAATCCTTCAATTACAATTCAAAATGTGAAAGATGAAGATTATGGTGAATATTCGTGTGTAGCAACAAATGTACTTGGACAAACGGAAACCAAAGCAACTCTCTATATCCAAAGTAAGTACTTAAAAGTTTCTTCACTCTCAGTTACCAGAATACCAGCTAATGATTTAGTGTTTATTTGAAGTTGTATAGATATGACTTAGTGGTATATTGCTGTCAAATATTTGATACAAATCTATGTGGTCCAATTTTTTAGTCTACAGACTAGTAGAGAAATCCATACACAACAGTGAATAAATACGGTCCTGCTGGAATAATTGTACTTCCATATGTATATCTATATACATTTATAGCGAAAAATATCTACTTTTGATTCACTAAGACTCGCAGTTTTTCCGTTATGTATAAGTATAAAACTTGGGCACTGTGGTGGAGTATAACTCCATCATGGATAAAATTTTATTTTGATAAATCACACAGTGTCATACAGTAATATTAACTGAAGACGTTTCGAGCACAAATTATTGCTCATAATCATATCAAGTCACTCACACAACTTTTTGCTTGATTTATATACATGAGTCATAAGTCATGAGTACTGATGTAAATAAATGAAGGAAAAAAGTTGTGTGAGTGACTTGATATGATTATGAGCAATAATTTGTGCTCGAAATGTCATCAGTTAATATTACTGTACAACACTGTGTGATTTATCAAAATAAAATCTTATCCATAACGGAGAATTTGTATTTGCTGAATTCAGGCAGACGCTTTAACTGAAATATAAAACCCATATTTCAAAGAGTCGATTTCAATACATTTTGACTTTTTAAAGCATTAAGAACATCGTTTTTATATATCTAAATAATAGTTTTGAATTGAATTGGGTTAGTAAACGGCAGTCATAAAGGTGTCAGATGGATCATTAATACTATTTTGCATCATCTATTTGATACATTAGATTGAGGTGGTCTTTAAAATAACAGTGATTCAGGATACATGCTATTAAACACTCGTAAGTCCAATCGAGCTTATCATTATAGACGTATTTACCTGCACATCCTCATGATTCTTGTTTGAGTTTTTTTCTTAAATAGCAATGGATGCGATACGGCGTGCAGATAGGCCTTGTTAATAAGTAATACCAACTATTGTGAATCCCAGAAGCCGAAAACCAAAAGTCCATTCTGGTTGCTTGTAAACATTCACTATGAAGTCAAGTCCCTTAAATAGTTGCCGATATATCTTATCTGCCACTTTGGACAAGTTATGACATAAAATATTTTTCAGTGATTAACCAATAAGCTTCCATATTTCCATTTATGCTGCATAATAAATTTTTTTCATTTAGATAACTTCTTTGAACCTGTTGGTCCCACAAATGATGAAAATAAAGATTCAGAATGTATCGCTGAACCTACAAGAGGCTCAGGTAATGAAATATGATGATTCTCTTTATTACCTGAATGGTCAATAACCATCCCTGTAATTGTAAAATAAATCCATTTTATAAAATTTTATTCAAAGCGGTAAAACTGGAGGGTGATGTGAACTTATTTGTTTGAGAGCATTTCAGACGCCTAAACTGCATAATATTTAAGGAATCTCTACGAAGGATTTTTCCGATATGGCTTTTGTTCAAGTCAACTATTAAATAACTTTCTTCATTTCCTTGATAAAATAAAAAGAGCATTTGAAATTAACATATATTCGGGGAATAAATGTGGCCTCAGTAACTGCTTCTGCTTCAGTTTATTGCGTTGAAAGGATTAGCTTTTGCAGGAATAGCAAACTCTTCAGCACAAGCAACTCTTCAACCAAAAGCTGCTCTCCGCATTGTTCAGAAGTCGTGCTTAATTTTCTTTGAATTTCGACATTCTTCCTGAAATCTAAATCCAGTGGTCATTGATTTCGAATCCTATAACATCATGGGCTAGACTAATCAACAAAATTTAAAGTAATTGCAAACCATTATTCAGTCTTTTCAATCTAGCGAAAATGGCAGTCAAGCAAACTGTATATGTCATTCCACTTTCGTCTTCATATTCATATACCTGGATAGGAATCACATATTAAATGATCTGATGATCCACTGGTCGGAAAAATGCAGACATTAAAACTAAAGGGTTTTAAGAACTGAAAGCTATCCTTAAAGATATTGTTCTGGAAAAATCTGGTCACCAAAACACTTCGAAAACTAGTTCTTTTCTTAGTCATCTGGCAGTACAATAAAAGGTCAACTGTGGTACTTGTACAGTGGGTGAAGTCAAAGGACACTACGCAGCTTTAAAAATAGCCTGTCACACTTTAGCAAATGAAGTCATACTCCATGTGAACAAAAGTGTAGAGGAGAATTAATTTCAACCTGACACTGCGAATACCTCCCAAAAATGTCAGTGTAACTTTCAAAGGCAAGCGGCACAGGAAAATTATCGTTACAACTCAATAATCCATAATATTAGAAATAAATTGTCATCTTCATAAGCACTTTTTTTCTCGGAACTGTTTATAATCAGTACCATTTAGCCTTACAAAGTAAATAGGTCAGTATTTAGCATAAACTTTTGTGAGGATGATTAATCTCAAAGTACGTCTCATTATAAGCTTAAACATATTTAGGCAGATAATTCCTTCAAAGATAAAGATATTTAAGTTCTTCAGCCCATTATTTTCTTGAAAACAAAGCAGCCGAGTTCGACATGATGAAGGGAATTTAGTAAAGATTACACTTCAGTAAGATTGAAGGAAGGGAAGGAAAAGGGAATAAATAAAACTAATCAAGGATGACAATAAAAATATTGAGCTGCTGTACCAAAGTTTATCTGAATATTATTTTCAGCAGTTAGATTTCTAATGCAACCTCTGAATCCTCAATTACGCATTAGGTCAGTTCAGTTGAAAAATGGAATAGAACTAGCATACAACACTCTATCAAGACTACCCTAAAACATAAATTGAATAAACCTAGGAATTTCGAAGTGTTAATCTCCCATTCAATAACCGAATGCTGACATATTTGCCAGCATACCCAATGTTTCCTTTCTCATCCTCCTGTTCATTTGTTGATTCACTTTTCTGAGGAGTCTCAAGTGAGGATAAAATAACTGTCTAATGTTCCCGTATTTTCAGTAACTCCTAAGCAAATTTCAGTCATTGATGGACACCAATAATAATAGTAATAATAGTAAATAAAGAACAAAATGTATTGAAATGCGTAAAATTTGCACGGACTATGGAGTATCTTATTGTATAGTATGACTACACTCTGATTTATATAACAAAAGTTTAGCTAAGGGCTTATGAAAACATTGGCCTTGTTAAACCAGAACAATTATCACGTTGAAATTTAGATGTTACAAGAAGGACTTGAGAATAAACCTCCTGCCTAAAATGATCGACTACCAAATACACATATTCTTTGGGTCCTCGATACCCAAACTGAATGGGAAATGTCTCATACTTTATACGTATATATGTATACATATTTATATACTTCCATCTTACAGCTTATTCCACTAACGAATAAATTTCACTTAATCTGTTATCATTTTGCTTTGCTTTCAAGCTTTGCCGTCAAGGGTAAACAACCTTCAGTTGGTTGACGTTTATGAAGAAGGTTTCAAAATCTCCTGGGATCCAATATTAGATGAACAGGTCACATATAATGTTGAAATCAGCAATGATGCAGGCAGATGGTGGAAACCTGTGCTCACCAATTTACTTGACGTTTCAGCAGATATTTCCAATGATATGGCAAGTCCATTGAATCCAGTGCAAATAAGAATAGTCGCTGAAAACGAATATGGTCTTGGTCCTCCTTGTTTTCCATTTATTCGTTTACCCATCCGAGCATGTCTTCCTCACATGCAAGCTATTAAACCGGAAACTGAATTCGAAGAGGCGACAGCTGTTAGACTTCGATGGGCCCCAGCTGTACCATCCCTTTCAACTAGCCAAATGAACAAAAGTGGTACGCTAGATAAATCTCATTTACTTGGAAAAGTAACCTATTCAGTTGAAATTCGAGAAGGGTCACAGTCAGAATGGTACAGAGTGGCAAGTGATATATCTGGTTTATCTTACACCTATCACTTAAAGCCTGGTGTTAGTTCTGCCATACGTATTGTTGCCAAGAATAAGTATGGTGAGTCATGTCCTACCCCAATGACAATAGTTCAGCTTGATCCAGACAGCCTTGTTCCAGATCTCTCCTTGGATTCACCATGGGTGGCAGTAAACTATCCGGTCGATAACATTCAAGGAAAAAGACCTAATGTAAAGTTATTCTGGAAAGCCGCCTATATGCCGGAGTATTGTGACAGCTGCATTAAAGGTCTGAAGCCATTGTATCGTATTGAATGGCGTCGCGGGAAATCTGGACCATGGCTTGAGTTGGCTCGCGATATTACAGAATACGAGTCTGGTTACCCCTTACCAAAAGATATAGTGGATTTATTAATTAACGAAACAAAATCTACACCAGATTTGCTTTTAAACAACATAAGCTTGAATCATTCTGTTGAATTTCGAGTTTTTTGTTATAATGAGTTTGGGGAAAGTGGACCAACTAAGTCTTATAGACTAAAAGCCTCTCAGTTATTCCGAGGTCAATGTTATCGAAACAACTTACAATCAGTAGATACATCGAATGGGATGGATCAGTATGAACATTTAAGTATATTAGATAAGCTACCTGTCATTTCGTCAGCTAAAGTTCCAAAATTGGAAGTGCAGGTGACGTCTATTGATCCCAAAGAGGGGATAGCACTCAAATGGGCTCCTTGTACAAATTCATACCTGAGTAACGGTGTTGATAACAATCATGATTCACATGGCCGGTACAGAATTCAACGTATGTTGCCAAGTTCAGTCAGTGATAGTACATCACTCGATGTGCGGAATTGGACAGTAGTTTGCAAAGAAGATGGTCTCATTTACGGAGAGGAATATGTTCTGGATATTAGACCGAGTAAAATGGAGCAGTTTGTGAGAATTCTAACTCTGAATGAAGACAGCGAAGGCAATCATATATGGTTAGACAATCATGAAATCATACGTATACCTGCACTCTATGAAATATGCCCACCTGCACCATCAGGAATCGAAGTCAAATTATTACCTCCCACTGAAACATCAGGTTGTACAGGTGTATGCGTCAGCTGGAAACCACCTAATCACGAGTTTATTTCAGATAACAACTATTTAAAGCATGTTAAAAATCATGATCAGATTGACTATAGAATAGAGGTGCGTACAACTTTAAGTGAAATGGCACCTTGGCGGCAAGTCGGTTTAGTGCCGGGATTACTTGGCAAAATAGAAGATCGAAAAGCTGAACCTGGATCACAGCTTATTTACCGGATAACACCAATTAATCAGTTCGGTGAGGGCCCCAGCTTGTGTTCGTCGCCAGTTAGACTCCCGCTTCTGCTGACGAGTTTAGAAAGGTAGGTTGGACCATATTTAATTTGAGATCCTCTTTTAACATTTCACCCCTAAAGATTATTTGCAACTTTTTGAAAAAGTACAGGTGGTAGCGTGAAGACACTTATTTGACCGACAAATCACCTATGCTGCAAATCATAGAGGCAGATTTAAATCAAAGACCTCGATCACATTGCTGCTGGAATACATATAATGTAAACAGTAATCTACCGAATCTGTACACTTAAATCATTACATTTGGTTTTACGACGTCTACGTGACTTATCAAATATTCAGAAAAGTATTGTCATCAACCAGTCAAGTTGTAGTTAACTGAAATACATCATTTATCTTTTGTTATTTAACAAGTATATTCAAACTTATTTATCAGTCTAACTGGGACTGGTAGTACATCATCAGAATCATACTTTCTATGCAAATGTCCAGGAATACGTGCGTAAGAGATACTGACAAGCGCTTAGATAAACGACGTAAAATTAACAATCGAAGGATTCCAGAAAAAGAATAAAATCTTCACCAGCAGAATGTACTGCCCAAGTGTACAACAATATTCTTTCCACCTTGAATTTTTTCTGGAATATTTTCTGAAGCACCAATTTATTCCTAGGTGTCTTTTTTCAAATATTGATACATACAAACAACAAATGGTAAAAATTTGTTCCGCTTAGTAAAGTGGAGAATCCCAATCAATAGAATCTAGAAACGTTGTTCGCTTCTTGATGACTGGTCTTAACACTAATCGACAATATTCATAGATAAACTAACACATAAAGCCTGTCAGAAGCAAATTTTGGCACAATAGCCAATGAGATTAAAGGTTGTTAGATCGAATATTGATTGTTAACGGTAAAATTTCAATAAGGGTAGACTTTACTACTGATTCTGTAGGACGAAATCGAAACTGGGAAAGCACTACATTCAAGTTATTTTATACGTCTTAAAGTCTAACATTTGTACACCACAAGTGACCGGTATTTCACTTTTATTTTTGAGGAACAAATTTGCGATAACCGTAGAATAACGGTAAAGGCTGAAGCAGATGCTGGAGTCACCTGTCATATATGATTGGAGGATAAACTTCCATGACAGTTAAATCTGACTGGTTATCTATTTAATATGTGAGATAGATGATGATTCAACAAACACTGAAATAAGGATTTGAAAATCCACTGTTTCTAAAAACTTATGCATTTGAATATCATGGAAACACGCTGTCGGTCATGTGAAATGGTTTCAATTGTAATTAACCATTTTTGAAATAAATAATAAGTGTAATAGCTAGGATGGTCTTTGAAGTTACTCAGGAAACTACTATCTCCAGAGCAAGACAACAGCTGATTACTCATCTCAGTGAATTTAAAGACGCTTTTTCAAACCATGAGTAGTTTGGGGGAGAGCTTTTCATTCTTAGAGTATAAATATGTATGGTCAGCATAATTATCAGTGGAAAATGAATTGCTAAATATCTTTTGTGGATGCTGTGTTTGCTTCAAAATTCTACATTAAGTTAACTTGGTTTGTATTTTAAAAAGTATTCAATAAATTGTTTGTTACTGTTTTCCCATTCTGAAGCATTCATTTCGTTAGTTTGACAAACTAGATTCACCCTAAAGTGTTTTAATACATCTAACCAGGAACTATCAACAAACTAAGCTATACTGGATAGCCGTCTTTTTCCGTTTTCATTGTTGGTCATACATAAAACTGTTTGCAGTGCTAAACAGTTTGCAGTTAATTTATGAAGTTAAAATTTAAAAAATCCAGCGTACAAAATAGATGGATCATCCAAAATTCAATGTTAGCCGAAGGCATAATTTCAGATTTCGTATGTGTCGGTGGTTTAGCGGTTAGGACGCTCGCTGACCATGCACATGGTCCGGGGTTCCATCCCCGGCCGACGCACTACTTTACCTCGTTGAGCCAGAAATAATGCTCGTAAAGAGGAAAGGTTGGGCATGAGGCTAGCAACCCCATCCTGTAAAACAAACAGTGCTACAGAAACTTGAAGCCATTAGCTTGAAGCCCTATGTTCCACTGGGGAACGTGAAGGAAAAAAAAATGTCAAACAACAGTTCCATTGTTCTTACATACTAATAAGTTGAACTGCAACTTACGTTACCACTAATATCCCAGAGGAACTATGAGATATGATGTTTCGATAGGAATATAAGATTTCCAGCAGCATATAACCATTTCACTTTATTCTCTGCAGTGCTGTCTAGATGGCTACACAATTCTCTTAAGCTTTCACTCCCTCCTCATATGATCCATTCCATGTCACTCTTGGACTCCCAATTAGTCTTTCTTCATTCGTGTTCTACTTGAGGGACTGGAGCTAGATGTCACCATGTTAACCAAAGGGAACTATCACCAAATGGTTATGCAGTGTATGTAATTTAAGTGGAGTTCACCAATGATGATGAAAAACATTCGCAATTTTTCCCATCTACAACTGTTCCCCCAGTACTGCTTTCTATTACAACTGGCTTCAAAAAGACCCTGTTAGACATCACTGACTCAGTAGTATTTAACAATCTATATTTATATCCGATAAAGCATATCTCCTACTTTATTCAGCCCATCATCAGGCAACTAACCTGGTTTCAAACCTGCCGAATTTTCCTTCAGTCCTCAGTCATCTGTCATTACGAAAATTTCTGTTGATTCGAACTTTAACGATATAAATCCTTCTTTCTTCCTCCGTCTGTCTTTCTCTCCTAATCTTATCACAGGTGTATTGAAGACTTACGCTTTCTAATACTAGGACCAAGTACAATTCAATTACGCTGGCGTCTAGGAGATTCAGTAATTGATGCACTGGGATTTAAAAAGGGCGAGAAACAATCAAACAATACCACAAAACAACTGGATTTTGATGAGTCTGCAGAAATGTGTGAACGTGTAAATTTTTCTGTTGAAAGACGGGATGGCTATGCTGGTGAATGGTATCCTATCTATGAACAGATTGAAGGAAATCTTCTCAACAAGATTTTACTGAACGACTTTTCTTATTTAGATAAAGATATTTCCTGTAGAATTACTGCATATGTAGACGGACAACAAACGAAGCCAAGTCGGCCAATTAGCATAAGTATTAAAACTGGTAGGTGATTTCTCTAACATTAATAATTCCGTGTATTCATTAATGTATTATAAGATTTAGACAAAACCAATGTAACGTATGATAAAATGACTACCAGAAGATTATCTCACACTATGACAGAATACTTGTAACCCAGATGATATAGACGTATAATGAAACCATCTTTCAAATTTAAATGTTCATACCATGAACAAAAGACACAGAACTAAACTAAATTCAACGAAAGGAAGTATTCAATGAATTGTCCCGTGGTTTCAAAAGCTAGTGACTCCATTTGATTTACACCAAACAGTGGCTTGTTAAATCCTGCTTCGTGGATCAGACTGGTCGATAAAGCAAAGGTTATCATCATAAAAAATACACCAGTGCCTTGCAAGGAGAGAATATAAATATAATGTAGTTCCATAGGATAATAAATATCACTGGTAGTATCATTAACTGAATGAAGTTTCATAAACAGTTGATTGCTCTGTGACAACATCGTGGGCTAATGTTGTCTCATTAAAGGTGCCGTTCCTTGAGTTGCTACCTCTGTTATATGACACACTGATGCTGATCCCTTAGTTTGAACAAAAGCACAACAGGGAGTTAGGAAAACCCAAACAAAAGTAAGCCACCCTAGTCTTTCATGGTGCCGGAATGATTGTGATATGCTGAAACTTTCAATTATTAAGTGTCTTGTAAATGTAACTACAGAAGAAGCAACTGTAGTACAATGCTTGTTAGATGATATTTGAGGGTAAAATAAAAATTTGCTTTTTCCAAGACCACAGTTCAGTACCAGTTCTTAAACTGAGAACATCTAACAAAACTAATGTGACTGCGCGGTCTCATATTATAATAAATTCAATGTATTATTCACTCGTTTCACTTGTAAACATCGTATTCCATTGGCGTTGCAGCATCCTGAAGATGTACATGCACCAATGAAAATGAAGACAATGCCCAAAAATAAATATCGTTTGGAAAATTAAAATTGATACCAGGTTTGATATTGTATTAGATACTAGCGAAGGTTATAGACTAATAGCTAATTTTGTTTACTTTCCCACCTGGAATTTTTAGATTGAAACTTTTGACATAAATGTAGGCCGATTCTACAGTGTTGCTTTGCACAGCGTGGAATAATAATCTAATAATAATAATAAAGCTTTCTTTCAGACAATATGTGAACATATGGTACAAATTTTTTCAGCGTATTTAGTTCCGAAGTACTTTTTTCTTGATACAGAATTTACACGTAAAGTAATAATCTGGAGTGTATTTTCATTTCGTTGAAGAACTGCACAGCATTTATCTGGAACAAAGTCAAGTCAGAGCGCAAGTCCATGTATAGATCATTTGATATAACTGGACGGTTAAAACATGATTGATCCAAATGAAATTAAGCATTTTGGTGGAAAGCAGTTTTGGTAGCCCAGTGATTTAATCAGGCCGCCTCCTTTACTGTATGACACTGTGTGATTTAACAAAATAAAATCTTATCCATAATGGAGAATAATTATTTGCATTACTTTTCGAAATTTCGTTATACACTATTTGTACTTATCCTCATTGAATAATTTCTTTTCCTACTAAACAGATTACTTGGTACCAGATTTCTCAGCATTTAAGCCACACGTCAATGTTACATCTGTTGAAGAATATGTCATCTCGTGGGAGGATCCAGATGTACAATCATTGTATACAAGTCATATTTTAAATCTTACCATGCCTCAAGTACTACACAAAGATACTAGTTATTCGATACAGGTAACATGCTCTATAATTATATATATATACGTAAAACTACAAAATGAACTAAAATATTTTATAGTGGGTAGATATGCTCAGGCGTTTCGCTAACCTCCTGAGTTTGAGTGCAATTACATCTTTGGACTTCGAATGAGCAAATAAGTGCGAATGAAATCGCTAATCCCGCTTCGTGACTGGTTGATACAATTAGATGTAGTGTATACGTGATTATCTCTTGCATTATGATTGTGTGATGTGCGACAAATAGTATTATGGCTTTAGGCCTGGGATTATATCTAATCATAATGTATTGGAAACTAAAAAGGCAAAATAATCATGCACGTAAGCTAAACTTCCTGGAGTTCTCCACAACAGTGAAGTTCAGAACTTTTCTTCAGAACTCATTTGGACCATCAGATATAATTTAAAATCTGTTGCGATAATGAAATGTGGCTGGAGGCTTTTAATCGACAGAGTTCAGTTAGTATTCAAAAAGATATAGAACAACACTGGTCAATTTCTTTGACTCATTTATGTAAGTGTGAATAGTGCATTATCATTATTCACAACTTGTGTTTCGATTGGAACACAGGACCTCAGCTGCATATGTCCATTGCATCACTTCCAGATATCTCCTTAAATGCCTACAAGCTCTTATTTCTCAGTGTGAATAAAGCCTAGTCTCAAAATGACCAAAAGTAATGTAGCGTTATTATTGCAATTATACTTGTTAAAAAAACTGCAATTTATTTTGTTTTCATTGTTTCAGCTAATTCTGGTAGTGAAAACATTTAGCACTAATTTGAACGAGTAAAAACTTCAGCTACCTTTACCAAAAGCTTTTTTCTTTGTATGACAGACTTCTAGTCTCTCTGAATGTATATAAACACTTAATTTCCAACGCAGTAACGGTAGTTTAGAACATCCACTGTTACCTTGTACCTTAAATTTCGCCAACAAAATGAGGAGTAACTGAACTCTTAAGAAGACTTTGAGTAGTCAGTCCTAAGTGCTACAAAACTTAATAAATTGTGAGACAGTCGCCTAATAAGTAACATCAACTTACCACTACAACATTCCATGTACATAAACATCATCAGTTAACACGCTTTAACAAAGATTTTATTTTGAAACATACCTAATTCGAAGCACAGAAATTTAGAAAAATGGAAGAAAATATAGTCTGTTGGACAGTGAATGGTATAAATAAAGAATGAAATTTGGTTCCGCACACTGACTGACTGAATCCTACAGATCAACTCATTTTTCCGAATCAGTGATAAATGATATGGTTTGAAATCTCAAGTAAATCTTGGTGATTAATAATCGATAGTCAAGGCCTAGTAGGAGAATAACTTTTACCCCATTTAATAAATTTAAGTAAAACGAAAAAAACCCAAACATAATTACTTACTGAACTTATAACTTATAAGTGTAACTAACTAATAAGTTGTTTATTCTTCAATTTTTTTAATAGTATGTGCTGAGGAAGTAATGACTTTATAGTCACTTATTTAGATCACTGATTATTCATCACAAAATAATTCTATCGATAAGTGAAAACAACAACAGAATGAATCTGTTAGTGTCCTATAAAGAAAAAAGAGAAATGCAGTGAAATATGGACAAATGCACACAAATGGGTAAATCTGTTGTACAAATCAACTCGCAAACTGATCATCGCGTAAATAATCAACGTTAACATCAGAGTGTAGGATTATAACATGGTTAAATAAGATATATTCGAATCAGTTAAAGGTAAAACTGACTAATCTTGTTCATTTTCTTGGGTAAAAAAGCAGCGGGTGTTTATTTTAACTCTCTCTTAGGTTTTTTCTATTTCATAGCTATTTAGCATCCTTCCCAGGTTAAAGGAATGAAGAAAACATAAGAGGTTGACCGTATCTACTACAAATTTTAGTTATTTAACAATTTGATTGACTGATTTCAATAAGTAACACTTTTTCTAAGTCATTCAAACAGTTCCTAATTTTGTTTGATCTATACTTAAGATACAGCAAGAAGGTTCAACAGATTGGAAAACTATAGCATCTGATCTACTCACTACCCAATGGACATGGAGTAAGCCGAACCCATTAGTGGGATATCATATTCGTGTTCAACCGTTCAATCAATTCGGTGCTGGACATCCGACTAGAAGCACGTTAATATCACCTCAAGTCGGTAAGATATTTGTTTATCCAGGAATTAAATCATTTTTTCAAAGTACTCTTTGAATTCGATTTCGATCCAGTTAAAAACAAGTTGGTTTATTCATTCGTAAGTAAACAAAATATAATGGTTAGGAAAGACATTACTTTCAGTGTTCAAACAGTAAAAAAGAATAATGAGAAATTCATAAATTTTAACGGATAACAACTGACAACCACTATATGTCAAATTTTTATCATGGATTCATAGCTAATGGGTAGTACTATAGTGTTTGAATATATCTGTTTGTTGGTTCCAGTCCTAGAAGAGACAAAATCACTAACTGAGATCTAGATAAGCCAGGCTGATGAGTTTCAAGTACCACAATACGTATTGGATACTAATTAGGGAGACAGCAAAGAATAGATACCAATAGATAACCAATCAGATCAGTCAACGTTACAAAAGGATGCTTTTCATGGTCTTCGTGTTAAGTTTCACCCTGGTTTGGAGTTAGAGTTACGGTTGAGGATAGTGTAGGCTTAAGGTTAAAGTAGAGTTTCGGTGGTATAGTGGTTAGGACGCTCGCCGACCATGCACACGGTCCGAGTTTCGATTCCCGGTCGAAGCACTCCTTTACCTCGCTAAGCCAGAAACAATGCTGGTGAAGAGGAAAGGTTGGACATGAGGTTAGCAACCCCATCCTGTAAAATAAACACTGCTACAGAAACTTCAGGCCACTAGCTTGAAGCCCTATGTTCCACTGGGGAACGTGAAGGAAAAAAAAAGGGTTTCGGTTAGGGCATGGTTAGGTTTAGATTAGGGTTATGGTTGGCGTAAAGTTGGGGTAAGGGCTAGAGTAGCGTCAAGGGGAAACTTACAAAAAAGATTATGAACAACAACTTTTTGAAATGTTGAGCGTTGTGACTATCATCGTTGAGATATATTCATCATATATTCAGTCATTCATTAGGACTAGTGGGCCCTAAATTTGGTACTCATACAATTTTTTGCAGCATATCAGAGGTATATACATCGTATCGTTCATTTTTATTACGTATGTATATTATGTAAATATAGTTTATGCTAAAACACCACCGCCTAGAGGAATGTGATTGGTTAGTTCAAGGTCATTTATCTTTGGTAACTATTCTTTACTATTACCCAACTGGACCTTAAAATAGTCACGGGTTTGTATTAATTTAAACGATAACTGATATACGAAAATTAATCACTGTTTTGGAGACTTTATATTTGTTTAAACTGCTGCCCAACATCCTTAACGAAAGGAAAATGAAGTAAAACCGTTTAAGATTATTATACCTCTAGACATGAAATATGAGGCAATACTTTCATGTCATCACTCCATAATATCAAATGAAGATATAAAAATAAGTAGAAGTACAATTTTCGCCAAATTTATGATCGACTGCTTATCTCCATAAATATGTATTGATCTATACGTAGAAAGTAATTGATATCATCTCCTTTCATCTTGGGTACTGATTGGTAATGCTGCCAGTTTTCCACTGTGATTGTGAAGCTAACTGACCAGTCACAGTAGTGCACTTTGTTGGTGTAAAGATGCTATAAACAGTAGGCAGAAAATCCAGAATGTAATCTTTTGTTTGACAAAACCCATCAAAAGGGCTCTCAGAAACCAAAAATACATCATATTTTGCTGTGTGGTGAGCTCTTCGAATGGAGAAGTGACTTATGCATGGAGCATGAGTATCATGTCAGGACTTTCCACTAATTAAATCCCAGCATCAAATACCTACATAGTTGTATAAACAACAAAGGCAATAATTTGTTTACTTTAAATGTAATATACAAACGAATTAAATAACTCTGAATTTAACTTATATCATCCGGGTTTTCCATTCATTTCAGTCATTCCTGATTTAAAATTCATGAGACCATCTATAGAATGTCCGTCAGACATTCTAGTGGGTAGGGTAGCTCCAGAGTTGGTGTGGCAGATACCTAAGTCTTACGCTTTAGACAGAACATTTACACCTTACACCTTTGAGGTCCAAGTTAAAGGTGTAGAAAAGCCGACAAACCGTGATTATATTAAATCAGAAACAGATCCTGACAGGTCATCAAAAAATCAGTCTGGAAGTATCGGTGGTGAGCAGATATGGAGAGTTTTGGCATCCGGTCTGAAACGTAATCGTCTATCTCTCGAACATTTGGATCCAGAACAAGAATACTGGTTGCGAGTTGTTGCTGTAACACAATACGGTAGGGGTACACCAAGTCAACCTGTCCGAAAGATGGCTGACCTAAATGCAAGTAAGTTCAAAAAGTCGATTTAAACTCCAGTTTTTCAACCCATCAGGTTTTCATCCCATATTAGTTTAGTTAGGTAGATATACCGTACATTAAGGTAACAACAATGACTAGGAAACATCATGAGCACAACTTATAGTTCGTAGTTTTAAAATATAGATGAAACAATACGTTTGGACAATCGAGGCTAATATTTATCAACATAACTTAAGATAATTCCAAGCCGTTTTAGTGAGCGTTATAAAAAAACTACAACTATTTAAACTATTTAACGTGTGAACATCTGCGTAGTGTGAATTTGGATCCCTACTGCCTAGTACTACTACAACTAAAGTAAATTCCAAAAGGCTGTAACTTTCAAACTGACAATTGATTTTGTCGGAAAAATAATAACTGTTTCCATTGATGTCTGGATAAGGATTATTCATGGAAAAATAATTATGTGCGATAATAAGAACTGATGGAATGCTTAAAAGTCTTGGTGAAGTGATAATAGATGCAAAACCTTTCACCTTCTACAATGAGTGATTATATGGTCTAATTTAGTCCTAACGTTAACATCTCAGCTTTATAGTAAGCTCAGTACAGTTGAGGTGTCGGGTAAAAATCCAGCAGCACGCACCACTTGAATTCAAATAATTCCATGCATTCATTGGGAATACAGTGCATTCTTCACGTGAACAGAGAATATCTGGCTGCTCGCAAGCAGGCAAATAACTTGCTACAGATGTTGAAGCAAATAGATTCTTACTGACAAATTTCGTTGATAAGTTATTCAACATTTCGTATACCTTAAGACAGTTTGAAATGTCGAAAAAATGAAAATTTTAACAAATTCAACAAATATATAATCAATCTCTATAAGCGATGATTACCTTTATTTTACACCTTTTTTCATTTCTCTCCGCTATTAAAGGACGTAACAGATGCGCATCAGCTAGCATAGGAGTTTTACATGAACCTACACCAAGTGAGTTATTTCTCTTATTCACTTCTTTCTTTCTTCCCTTATTAATGAAAAAGTTATGTACTTAAAAACTTGGAGTAAAATGAAGAATGACAAGCCTTTATTGACATTCCTGACAGGTGAGCTATGATCAAACAATGGCTAGATACTTGCCTTCTAGTGTGATGCTAGTCACAGTTAGAGTCTCACTCTGTTATTTAATAGAAACTGTAGTCATAAAGTCCAGAACGTCTTTTCCAAGCTGAAACTTTGACTCACTATCTTAGAGTTAAAAAAAACTTGTTGTATGTGGCTCAGTAATTGTTTAATTGTGGAGTTTAAAAGCCAAAGAGATTTCTGAAATATTCAAAAGGTGAATACCGAGTACCTGAACAAATCAACTTTTTGTATGCTTAGTTTTCTCATTATTTATAACCTTATGTCACACATTATCTCATTAGTTAAAGCTTATTACACATTTGTTGCACATCTCAATGCGTGAAGAAGTTATCTGATTGTTTGAACCACATAGGATCTTTCAATAATAACCAGATTATCAAAAGTAAGAGAAAACAGTATCATAATTGTTGGACGTTGAACAATAGTCCTCTTGTCTAAAAATTGATGCACTGTATGAATTTATTAATCTTATTTACTGTCTTTAACAGTAGATATAAAGTTAGAAATGTCAAGTAAAAGGTACAGTTGTTTATATATCCATATACAATATCACTTACAACAAAATTTCTACCGCTTCCACTCAATTTTCACTCACCAATTTTCGTACTTCAGTTAAAAAGGAAAGCATTTACAACTCTGTTGAATGGGCATGTTAACCTAAATATGGGAAACACTTTCTGAAGACCCTTAAGTATATACTTAATCATTTTGTGCACACGGTTTTCTTATATGATCATACCCGCTGTTATTATTGTTATGATGATCAATGTAAGCTGCCTGACAACAATCTTGGATTACTCACCTCCACTTATATTACTTATTGCTAGCTTTAAGTCGCCTTTGTTCTACCAACAAATACCAATAATCAAAGCGTACCCAGTACTGTTCTACAAGGACTTGTAGCACTCAATGTTGAATTCCTGCAGTAGACTACTGAAGCTCTTGTCGGCAAGTTAGCATCCACTACTTGTTAGTGTATCCGAACAGTTAATGAAACTTAGACTGTAATGAGACTCAAAATATGCCACTTGATGAAATAGTTTAGAATTTAAAAATTAACTTCTTCGAATAGTTAATAAACTGCAGTGTTTTTTTATTAAAGAATATAACGTTACTCTCAGAAAATTAAACTATGGACATTATTTTACTCAAATCGGCCTTTAGAACAAGTCTGTTAGTTTCACTGTGATATTTGATATCATCGGTAGACGTTAACGCCAGTGATCTGTTGCAGTCAGGAAATTCAATAATCGATGCAAATGACCTGTTGTTGTTGTTGTGATATGCTATCAGATTTGTGAAATTGTTATGAGCAGTATAATGGCAAGTTTATTTCAATTTGATCAAATAATGCCCTCTAAAAACATGTCAGCTGTACCCTCCCATCTTCAAACTATTGTTCATTATTACTGTTCGTTGAGTTGTGAGTGGACCATAGGGCTTCAACAGCTCACGCCCACTGTGTCTTTTCCTCTGAGGTTGTCTTTAGCTGGCTCCACGATCACCTATAGGCTTCCATCTCCCCCTCTCACGATCTCTTCTATGTCACCCTCGGGAGACACACTGGTCGTTTCCCATTCGGGTTCCGCTAGAGGGCATGGTGTGCAATGTTATTCAACGGTTTGTTCACCATATGATCGATCCATCTCCACTTTCTTTGGTATATTTCTTGGGCGACAGGTTATTAATTGGTTCATTCCCAGAGTTTTTTGTTGTTAATTCTTTCTGGCCATGTGATCTTCAATATGGGGTGAAAGCAGCTGTTGATAAAAGTCTTTTGTGTTGTGAATTAAATTAGCTGTAATGGCTTTGCAAACCTCTTGTAGACAAAACAAGCATAAAATTCTGTTAAACTGTGCTACAAGCTAACTAAACAAATTGCGCTCAAATAGGAACTTTTATTTCTGGACTGGAATTTCATTTCTTACATTTTCAGTTACCAGTATCCCAAGGGAAATTTTATTTGACGTTTCATGTCTTAGATGTCAAATAATAGTCAAAAATAATTCATGGGTGACCAAGATTTAGTTTTAACACCAGTAAAGATCATATGCATATTCAGGCCAATTAATGTTGTTGTGGTCCCTGAATGTTTGACTCATGGAAGTAGCATCGGACGTCACCACTAAGTCGTTAACATCAATGACCACTGAGTTAAACATATGGAGCCTTACCAAAAAAATCTCTTTCTGCATCGGTAATGGTACATCTTGCTTGTTAGTGGAAGAATTCCCGAAATTTTCTTTCTTTGTGATTTCGTTCTAATTGAATTCTACTGTATAATATGAAATCAAATTGAAGTATGTGCTGAAGATATTGCCTAGTAGGGCAATGAAAGCTTCGCAAATAAACTCTCCAGCTCAGAGAACACAACCACATCAAAATCATTCGCCCGAGCTACAAATCTTCTCCACTAAATCGAAATGTATTACACTGCAGTATCCTGTCACTTAGCCGAATGACCATTTTATCCACCAACTTTGATTAGCACTTAGAATTACAATACCACATTGAGGAGCGAATGTTAAACCATTTGTTTTCTTTATATTTATATCCGTTTTTATATCCCCTGATTACTGACAGCTTACATTCCCAACTAACTGGTTTTGCATAGCTCAGTGTGGAATAAAGCTGTCAGTGTTTAAGAAAAGAAAATAGTATCCTACTATGCATTGTAAAATAATAACAGTTAAGTGTTCGAATTGCTACACTTGGCAGATGAAATTTCGTCTCTGAATTACTTCATAGTAAAAGTTTAAAACTATTTTGCTAGATTTCGATTTATTATGATGGCTCTAACAACAATCAGTCAGTATCGCGGCACCGGACTTCATGACTTGACGGATAGCCCCAATGGCCTAGTGGATAGTAAATGGCTGGCTCGAAGTTAGGATACTCGCCAACCACACAAGTGGTCTGGGTTCGATTCCCAGTTGACGCCGTCCTAAACCCCACCCAGTAAACTAGCCAGTAGTACCCCTAGAAAAGAAGGAAGGTTGAAAGTGAGGCTAGCAAGTACAATGAGTACAAAACAGTGCCGACGATAGTGAAACTTCAAAACTTGAGGCCATATATCTCACTTGGAACGCGAAGGAATAAAAAATGACTTAACGGAATTAATTACAAAAATCTTCATTCTTGAACTTCCAGATATGGTTGTCTGTCAGTTTCAGGTAGTTAGCAAATATGACGCAGAAATGTTTACCTACTATCAGGTGAAATCAATCGTAAATCTATAGAATACTATGCCCCAGAAACGGATGGAGAAAGGTGTTTATTAAGCCTTAGAAAAAAAATGAAACACAGCTTATATATTTCGTAGTTTGACTTAATGTCGACATTTGGTATTGGTGACTTGTAATCTTGGGGAAAAAAGTAGTAAAATTAAGTGGAGGTAGTGTTTTATGTTTTAAATGATTCTTTTTAGTCTGACATTTATAAACCGTCTGCTGGTTCTAAAATCTCTACGTCACTGAAAAGAAACTTTCGCCTAGTCGAAAAAAATTACATATCAGTTAAACACTGAGGATATTTCTTCTGAACATTTTTTCAGCCTTCAGGTAGTTTTAATAGACATTTTAGTTTTCAATTAGGTATATCCTAATTATCATCACAGTTGTACTCTATATGTCACACAAACCGGTCAGAATTTTCACAAAAATATGACCAATGAGAAGAATTGTAATATGACTAGCTTTTAAAAATATACGTGCATAGCTTATTTTTCCATCTGTTCTTCGTTTAAATTGATTAAAATTACCAATGTCTTTTCTCGTGTGGACATAATATCTTTATTGTCTTTAGCCTCAGTCTGTCATTTGACTAGCAGTAGGATTCAAGACCTGTATTTCGTCCTAATTATTGGCGTGTATGTACGTCGTTGTGGATGATGAGTTTCTACTGGGTCATTACATTTAAAAGTGTTAGATATTATCAGCTGCACTGGTTACAGTAGTTAGTTTGAGTTATGAAGGCAATAAGGACTTGCCAGTTCAATCACATTAACTAAGCGGATTTACACATTCTAAATCCCCTTCAGTGATGGGGAGGGTTATTCTAGAACTGCACCAACCGTCTGTTCACAAAACATATGAAAGATAATTCACTAATTCACATATAACTTGAAAAATAAGAAAAGCTGAGGGGCTTTTAACCTACTGTACTAAAACTCTGTGCTGCATTGATTTCGTAATTAGTTACAGAAAATACTGAGCCCTGAATCTGTATTGTTAACACTAACATCAATGAATATCCTGTAACGCCGTGCTGTTAAATGAAAATCAATGAGATTTTAGGAGTTGTATATATAAATAGTTTCTACACAGGCAGTTCAAGTTTAAACAAAGTAAATGTGTGCATGCAACAGTAAACGAGTTACTTAATAAAGACGAGAGATGCGTAAGATGATGAGTGACTAATAAATAGGTAACAGTGTACTGAGTTCAACTCAAATCATAGAATTTCATACAATGATTCCCTTTTATAAATTTGAACAGAGAGAAGAAACATTGGCGCAGAATAATCTGGATCCATTTTATTTCGTTGAATCTCATCAGCTGCGTACAACCTGAATTTTTGTTATTAAAAATAAATAGTGTACAATTTTTTAACAAAACTTTGTCCATTAGCAAGCATAGTGTCAGAGCGTCATAGTAAAATAAGGCATTGAGATTTACAGGGTGTCTAAAGTGTCTCAACATGTATATATTATATCTTGGTAGAGAGAGGTTTCTTGAAAAAAATTAGTTAACAGTTGTGTTGTTAGGGTGGTAACAAAAGACAATTAGCAATGGTTACGTAATTAGATAAGAGAAGATCAAAATTTTTAAAATTACGGTGCACATGAGGTCAGATGAGAAGTTGATGATGTAATACAGTGAGCAGAACTCAGAAGATCAAGAAAAATTATCTCTTAAGAGAGTCAAACGAAACATAAAGGGGAGTGGTGGAGTGAAAAGATAAGTTAACAAAGTTAACAAAATTAGAAAACAAAGAGTTACTAAGATGTCAGTTACCAGGAACAAGAGACAAGCAAAATTACACTATATATCAAAAGGGGGGGAGAGATTAAAGCCAAAGATTACATAATCCAGTGAAAGAAAGAATAAAGACATCCAGTTACCAGGGCAAGGAAAGACTAATAAGTGCTTCTTTCTGAAAACATAAATCAGGTTTCAGGCGTTTGATAGAGATTGCTCCGGCAAACTTGAAGAGAATTGAGCTTTTTTGTCTATTGATAATTTTAAAGTATTTTGCGATTTCCACATCAAGAAAATGCATGGTAGTGGCACTATTGTAAGTGTTTGTTCCCCTGATACGTAGGCTTTTCGGTACGTACTCAGAAAATCGGAGGTGTGTCCTTCTTTCTGTTCTTCCAATATAACTGCTTCCGCAGATACACGTAAATTTGTACACACAGTTGGATTTAACATGAGAAGTGTATCTGTCAGCTTTTGACTACACCAAAGAGCATGCTGTCCTATAGACGGAAACCAACTTAGTTGCAGAATGGGCTCTGGCTAGTGGCGTCCTCAATCTTCTGTTGACTATCACTGCAATATTTTCACCTTTAAAATCGAGTTGAATGAAGACAGGCTTTTTTCCCACTGTGATTTGTTTGATGTTTCAGCCTTCACATCTCCCATATTTGTTAATGAATCTCTTGGGGTAACCGTTGTTTTTCAAAATCTTTTTGAGAATTATAAATGTTTCATCTAATCTCTCTACAGAGCATAGTCTCCTAGCTCTGTAGTATAGAGTAATTTATACACTACTGTTAAAACATCAGTTCAAGGCAAACAATAAAGACTCAGTTTGTATATATAGTTACCGAACATTAAAATTCCAAAAGAAGAATACGGTTATTTCCCCTTGAATAAGGATGACCAGTTTCTCTTTAAATGTGTGACTGCCAGTTTCAGTTTTTAAACCCCGAACACTTAAATTCACCTCTTACACCTTCTTTGGAATTGTAGATTAACTCTGATTGCCCTTGCTGTTATTGCTGCATTTGATAAAAATATTGATTATTGATATAACTTGTTAAATAGGTACATACTTAATTCACAGTCTCCTCTTTTCTATATTATTCCCATTTTCGTTCTTCTCGACAGTACAAAATATTGACAATTATTTCATCATTCTAAGAAGAATATTGTACTACATTAGGAGACATTTTAAAACTTGTAGATAATCGGTCTTTGTTTTTTCCATATTTTAGGAACCCACCCTTAAAATAAAATTTAGGATAACTGACTCGAACTCGTATTCACAAACGTCACTACAAATAACTGAATGTATCCTATCCCATTATGCTGTAAATGATGGTATATGAAATTACTCCGCCCACCTTTCGTTTTTGTTAGTCTTTCATTTCATTTCGACCTTCATATTTTGATTTCTTTTCTATTTAAATTAGATTTCAGCAGTTTATCAAATGTAATCCTAACATAAAATTTACCTCCAAAGGTCCAACAAAACTTATGAAAATAACTAGCAGTGATATGTCATAACTACTTATATCTCATATATTTTTTATTATTATCAGTCTTTACTGTTGTAACAATAACAGAAGAAATAAACCTTTTTTTAAATTTAATTTTACTAATCGTAAAAGTTTTATTCTGTTCTTATACGTACAGCCTCACCTACTTTCACAGAACCGAATACAAGTGTGATTTATGCACCTGTTTATGGTCATTTAGATCTGAAATGTACATTTCGTCCTGTACATTCAGAAAATGAAACACGTTTCAGTTGGTATTTTAATGGCAAACTATTGGATACAGATGGTAAGTTAAGTTAATAAAAGAATATATATATATATATATAGACAATATAGCCTGTTTACACACCCGCAGTAGAATATGAATAATTCCGGGCGAGTGTATCAGAAAGTGGGATTTGAAAGGAGATGAAGATTAAAAAGACAAAAATGTCTTATGTTTTAATAGAAAAGTTAACAATGATAATCTTATCATATTTTGTAGTTTCTACCATCTTTTTCATACTGTGGAATATTTAGGGAGTGAAAATAGCTGTACCTGTTTTATGAATACATCTTTTTCACTTTTGGAAACTTGGTTTAAGTCAGTTCTCAAGACTGTTGAACAAAATCCCTCAATCTTTTCAATTTAATCTTTTAAAAAAGTAAATAATCTTAGCTCGTTTTTGTTTCTTCATATTCTGTATGGGAATTATACAACGAAAAGTTTATTCAAAATTTAAACCGTTGTTTTCCAGGTGTAAAATATAAGGACTCAATAAATTCATAGACAAACAGCTCTACATCACGTATGTTTAACACCTCTGCTTCAACCTTAACAGGTATAGCAGGTTAGAGAACACTAAGAAATTATTTAACCGACCTTTGAGATTGTACAAATGCCCAGGGGAATAGAAACACAATCCTCCACTCAACTTCACATGTATTTCTCGTAGTCATTTAAAGAAGCTTGTAAATTAACCTCCAGATAAACATTCTACCAAGTTACACAATAGACATTATTTGGAATAAAATGGCAATAGGTGAATTGAACTTTCAAAGAAAATCTACTGAAGACTGTTGATATGAATTTTGTAGCACTTGAAATTCCCGATGAAAGTATAGGCTTCAATAGCAGTTTTTCTTCTTGTAAGACAGGAACTGACATTTCTTGGTTCTTCACTCAAATATGCTCATAGTGTAAATAAGTTACTTGCTAACTGTATTTAGACCTTGAAAATAAAAGCCAGTGGAGAGTTTCTATTGATCTCATACCATTTACCTCGACGACTAATTTTGTAACTGTTTCAAGCGATATTACGAGACCAAATGCAAGTAGGTAATTAAATTAGTTTTATAATTTACAAAGAAAGACTTATTAAAACATCATTTCTTTTTAAATTCCTCCTTAGTAAATACAGCTTATCCTACATTAAATCAAAAATTCTACAGTACAGTATCCAAATCTGGTGACACAGCTATCTTACACTTGAATGGGGTTGGCGAGAATGATTTTGGTTCTTACGTTTGTAAGGCTGTACATATGATGGGAACTGGAGAAAAAGAATTCCTTGTTAAGATGGCAGGTGAGCTTTATGCAATTTTATAAAAAGTAATAATAAAAATCACTGCTGACTTCCTATTGAGAAATGTACATCTCATTATCCTAACGGTTCTTAAGATTTCCCTTGTAAAAACACAATTACTTTTTGAAATACTTCAGATGGTGTCTCTTTCACTTTACAAAACCTGCTATTTTCTTCATATTTTCAGACGCACCCGTTTTCTTAGAGGTTCCTACTCCACTACTGACTGTTAAATTACACTCTCGTTTTGAGTTGCCGTGTTTCATAGATGCATTACCACCACCAACAATAATTTGGACCAGAGATTCTAAACGAGTTGTCGAATCACATCGTACACAAATCGGTAAGGAATCAAAACAGTCTTCAAATAGAAAACCAAGTATTTCAACCTGTGAATTTAGTACAGATGCAACACTGTCTGTGGATAAATGCATCTATCAGGATGCTGGCTTGTACACATTAGTAGCTGAAAATATAGCTGGTCGAATAATGACCAGTTGTCTCATTCATGTTGAAGGTAAGTCTTTGTTCACATCTATCACTGTGCACATTTTAATATGATACATTTCAATTAATTACTGGTGGAAACCTTTGTTGTATGATAAACAGTACCATATAAACGAAATGCGCAAGCAGACGGGATAGAATAAACCGTTAGAAACCACCATCGGGAACACTGATGGTTAGATTATCATAGTTAAGATGCAGAACGACACTTTAAACCGTTTCAGATCAAATTTATCAATAATCTACTTAGTGCTGTTTGTACTTAATTTAAGAATTGTTCCTCCACCCTAGCGACTGTATTCTTATCTTGTTTACGGTGTCAGTTAAAACCAATAAAGACGTTTCTATGCCTTCAAACACTAGCTTCGATTTATAAATATTATTGGTGAATTATTATAACTCCCATATTTTTCATGATGTCCTCTACTTGCTTCAGCTTACAGTCTAACCGCTGCATCATGTTTCGGTTTTGACGGTGTATCCATTCATTATTATTAAAGGTAAATTTCTGATGATTAACCCTTTTTTACATCATAGACAGAATCTCATATGGACTAAGTTATCCCACTGGAATAAGTTTGAAAACATTCTCTAATTTTTAAGCTAATAACCAGTAGTTTGAGGATATTTATTTATTTTATTTTTATATTTCTCATGCAGAAAATCCTGTTCCCACCAACATAACACTAAGATGGACAAATATAGAAAAGCATTATTTCGTACTAAGACGGCTTGAAATGTAAGTGATTTTTATTGTTTGATTGACACAGTAGTTGAATTCCTTAGACTTTTTGTTGACAGTGACAAATAACTTTGTGGTTTAATCTCAGCAAAACTATCTTATACTATAATCCTTTTTGATTTAAGAATTGCTGAACTGTAAAATAATAATCATTATTATAACAGCTTTATTCTGGAAATTGATATTTACATAAAATATAGAATTCACAGCATAGTTTCCGGTAAAATATTTACTCCTCACAGGAAACTTTCAAGTAAAATATTTGTCGACGGTATATCCTATGATACAATACACAGTTTTCTACTTCTTGAAAACCAAGATGGTAGGTTGGAAGTCAATCAAAAACTTGCGTGAGTTTCTGTCACAACTCAACGGCATAATCGGAAGATTAAACCAACAAGAAATGGAAAAGTAGATGTATTACCCTGGATGAAAATCGAATTAATCCAGAGGTTTAACCCGACAGTCAATTTAACCAGACAAGAAATTTCAAGTAGCGATTACTGTCGATAAATCCCTGATAGCTTATGCTTATTTCGTAAATAACACCGTAATGAATTATTGTTTATTGAATGATGTTCTAATCACAACGTACCAATCATATTCATCTAAAATCTTCATTATTTCTTACTATTTCAGTGATTCATCTTCAGAAGTTCGTCTGCTAATTGATAAGAAGACAAATCGTGAATACATTGGAAAACTCTTTAATTTAGACAATCCAACAAGTCGTATAAATGGCGCTCGTGAAATGGAGTGTTTAATGCGTTTATGTCATAAAAATGTACTAAAACTAGTTGATGCTCTTATCAGCGATAATGTTTTGATTTTAGTGTGTGAAAAGTAAGTTGTTCCTTTTTTAACATTGGAGATTTATTCGCATATAGAGACAGAAGTTACTCATTATCCTTCAGTTCATAACATTTAACCTTGCATAGTAATAGACAACTGGGCTTTCTTTGTAAAAAAAACGACTTATCAATCCATTACGTAATTTAGCTTGTTAAAATACTTCAGATATTCTTGAACATATTCAAAAACTCACTATTAATTTCTGTTATCCTTAGAAGTATTTTTTAAACAATAGGATTTACTACCATATTCGAGAAGATGAATACGTGTGTAGATTAAAGGTTTATCAATACTGACACCACCATTAGGTCAGTTAGGATATTCCACTTTTGCTCCTGAAGTGAATTTGCAGTATTCTTTCGCATACGGTATCATAGTGGTACTTTTCTAAAGAATCTAAATAGTTTTTCAATAAGTTTGATAAACTGTATCATTGAAAATATTTGCCAAGAATAATTCTTAGTTTGAACAAAGAAAAACCGAACATATTTGAAGGATAATGTGAGGTCATTTTATTTCGTAGATTGTCTTCAACTGTGTACATCCTAAACCAAATCAAATTATAAGTTACAAAATTTCTAAACATAATGTTTTCACAGTGACTTCAGGTTACAGATAGAAAGTATACGAAACCTAATTCCAAAAATGATGTAAGTAGACAAATTATTCAGTGTTAAAAGGCTGATTATTTATAGGTACAATTAGACGAAACGGTGTTAGAGTTTAGATTCCACTTGGAAACAAGGGTTGACTAAAGAAAAACGATCAAACAACAAAGTGAATTTATAAATATTATGATGAAGAGTTCAAGAGAATGGGAGTGAATAGTAAAGTAAAATTATGACATAGACAAACATAGTTTTTAAACCGTTTTGGCTGATAAGAAATTAGATCTGAGCAGAATTCATACCAAAAGTAGTCTCCTGTGTTTACCAAAAGTTTGGATTCTCATCTATAAGGCTTCAGGTACAAGCGTCAATTCTATTCTGCTTTTGTTGATTTATTTTGTTATACATTTGTCCTCTTCTTCTAAACATGCCCAACTAGATTCGACATACAAAAAGTATGTACTGCCTACGCCGTCTATGCAGTTTCTAGCGTAGATGTGATATCCGGCTGTCGACCAAAGGGCGTGTGTACTACTCAACAGTCCGCTCCGTCCTCCTTTATGGCTGTGAGACTTGGCCATTGGAAGTGGAAGACATGAAGAGGCCAGCTGTCATTGAGCATAGGTGCACGCGTTCTATCTCCCGTGTGAACAGGTATGATAGGGTGAGAAATATTGAGGTTAGGCGTCGAGTTCTAGGTAAGGAGGGAAAATTAATAGATGAGGCTGTGAAGTTACATCTATTGAGATGGATGGGTTGTGTGTTACGTATGCATAGCCATCGCTTTCCTCGACGGAGAATGTTAGCTGACATAGGATCAGGTTGGAGACGAGCTAGGAGTGGTCAAACCAAAACATGGCATCAGTCAATGAAATCACAACAGTTAGTTTAAGCCAGCCACGTAGGAAGGTGTAAACTTCCTGGTTGGGGTCCTCGGGACAGTAAAAACCAATGGCTGGAGACAATTGGTGATATGGCTCAAAATCATTCTCAGTCACAACGCAGATGCATCCATTCCTTGTAACTTATAATACCCATTAAAACTATATTGTTCTTCGACATGACTATTCTTTTTGCCTTGTATCTCTGTTTTTTGCATTTCTTTTTAATTTCTCTTGCTTTGTGTGCTACATTAAGTGTGGCGACTCGAACCAGTCAGTCGGTCACTGCCTAAGAAATAAGTCGCATTAGTGTATACTTGATAGCTATTAGAATATGTCTTACTGAGGTATTATTTTCGTTGATAATTCCTGTAGAACTGTTGCGAGGTCTCATGCCCAGGAAAAGCATTCTTTCACTAGGAAATTAATTACTGTTCCTGATACTGTGGCAACTAAATTCTCTTCATTCAAACATTTTGACTCTTTTATGTTAAACTTATATAAACACAATTATTGATTGCACAAGTAAAGTGATATTTAGAAAAGTAGAGAAAACCTAAGGGCTTTAGAATAGTTAGTTGACGTTATCAAACTTATAATTATCAACCTCCTTTCACAATCCACTTATCTTTGGTATTTATTCGCTTTGTCAAGGTTATCTGGTTCAAATCTTCTTGATTCAGTTCTGGCATGCGAAAACTGGTCCGAAATGGCAGCAGCAGCCATAATTCGTTCAGTACTAGAAGCATTAGATCACATACACAAACAAGGTGTAGTTCACTACGATATTCAAGTAAGTGATACATCATCCAGTTTAATTTATGATAATTTATTCTTTATTCCAAGATACTTCTGTATGCTTATTGTGCTATTATTTTTACTTAAGTGAAGCTGAAAATTAGCAACACTAATAAGTAACTATCAGATAATATATTTAAACATATAACACCAGGTGAAATACATTCTCCAGCATTTTAACCAATGTAAATATAAACGTAAACTCTTGGCATTGAGTAATAACGTTCAGAACCACATTATCGATTACTCATCCTCGAGGTAGACCATCCTCCTATACCAGTAAATCAAATAATTCGCGGTTACTAATAGAATTACATATCTTCTTGACCACCTTAATATCACGCTTGATTTGATTCATTGAGTTCCTTATCTAAAAATCAAACTTATTATATGTTATTCAATTATAAATACTGCACTATATATTATTTCATAATTATGTTTTGTTTATAGCCCGACAATCTACTTTTTGTAAAGAAAACAATTGGCGATAACGACTATGCAAATTCATCTGACAATCCTGACCTATTACGTGCCCTTTCTTCTTTGGTAACTGATGTTTTAAGCCAAACCGATCGACATAAAATGAACGTTTTCAGTAATTTGCTAAAAGTTATAGGATTTTCTACAGCGCAAACTTATATTACTAATTCTCAGAATCGTATGACATGCATGCCTCCAATACGATACAGACCAGAATATGTTGCGCCTGAAATTCTTTTATCAATAAAGAAAACAGACGGAACAATCACCGATGCCATTCAAGCATATTGTGAAAATCTGGGTCCATCTGCTGACATTTGGAGTCTTGGAGTGCTAACATATATCCTGTAAGTCTACGAATAGAGTTCACTGAGAAAAATTTTTGTTAATTATTTTTTCAAGTCAATATGAGGATTAATTTACAAATCTTTACAACAAATTTCAGTTTCATTTGGTTGGTAGCTAAGAGGATATGAATTAATTCAGAAACGATTTCATTATAAATCAAAATACTTTTTAGATAAAGCAATAAGACTACATAATTTGTCTGAATCGTGTAATGTATTTGCGCAACACATTTCGAACAATCTGATCACACACAGACTTGTCATAGGAATATATATGAAATTAATAAAGAGGTGAGAAAATAGACTTAGGTCAAGTTAAAAGGACATATTCAAGGTCAAAATAACAATGAAGACCACTAAACCAAATAGCAGAGGTAATAGTAAAACTGCTATGGTATCAAAACAAAATTTACCAAGGAAGGTTTAATGTGATGACGAATTGTTTTTGACCGCATAAAGGTGGCTTAAACTTTCTAATTACTAGGACTTCTACAAACTTTAGGATACGCCCCAAACACGCTTTACAGATAGGATTAAAAGATCTGTTAACGTCAATTTTATGTCCTGTCTCTATAATATGTTTCGCAGTAGAAGAGCTAGGTCTCCTGTTCTCACCGTTAATAGGTTCTGAAGATTCCATTTGTTTCTGGAGCCATTTAGGAATATGCTCTGAAGCCCTTTGCAATAACTGAAAATCAAGAGAAATATTAGATGAGAAAGTTCCTATTGGTGTGAGGATATTCATGTGCAAAAACTGTGAAATCACTGACGAGACGAATTCAGAGTACAAACGTTTTAGAATAACGTAGATACTAGTGACATGATCAAATATTAAAAAATTTGTCTTTGACTTTCAGTGTTGTCTTGCTTTCTGACCAAAGGAATGAAGACGAAAGCTGACAAACGTGTTTGCTGTGAACTGTCGGAGTTCTAGGCTTCATTTTGAACAGATTATAAAATGCTAAGTATTTCATAGATGTAGTTAGAAGGAGACAAATCTCTTTCCCGTTGCTCCGAAATCTCTCGCTATTTATCAGTCTCAGTCTCAGGCATAGATTCAGGTTTTTTTCTTTAATCGTTTTTTAGTTATTTTATTCGCTTAGTAAATACAATAATACCAAGTTACAAAACAACATAAAATCTAACTCAATATTTCACTGCTTCTAATCATACGAGATCTGACAGAATATCTTCTTATCCCTACCTTAGATAACTTAGTGTAGTGCAAAACTAGGGCTGAAATAAGTAGATTAAGTTAATTAACTGAGTAAACTCTTGGCTGCTCTTTGGCTGTATAAAATGCTTTAAGTCTTGTTTTAATGGGTATCCATCCGACCAGGGTCTGATTCCATTTTGTACTTTTATTGGTCCTGATTAACATGCACATTTTCGGAGTCCTTAGCTCGTACATATTAATCAGATATGTTCCAACGCTTTTTCCCATCAGATTTATTATGCACATATACTACTACTCAGCAGAGCGAATTAGAAATCAACTGACTATTTCTGACTGATGTCCTATCATTGGCACTTACAGGTTACGCTACTCACTGGTTAACTGAGTACTTGAACATATCGTGTTTAATAAGACTGGTAAGTGTTGCATATTAACATTACATCAGGCACCTTACAAAGTTACCAACGCGTGAATGTTCAACAATAGAACTGAAAGATGTCTCCTTGATGTTGATCATGGTGGACGAGTAGCTTTGAACAGGATGAACTATTACTCCTTGATGTCAGTGACACTTTCAAAAATCAAAATTTTGCCACAATAATAAGTTGAAACTGGAAGAGAGTATTTCATATTCTGTCTTTACAATAGCTGACTCTTGTCACTCCTACCCTAGTTATTTCAAAGTCTTATCTGTTAAATAAAAGTTCAGTATTTAATGCTTCATTAGTTATGAGCACGAAACGCCAGTACTAGTAAGTTCCCTTCATATGCCCATTTTTTATATTTGAAGGTTGGTTTGTAGGGATTTATTTGATTTCAGTTAAAACGATATTAGTGTGATCCTATATTTTTCCATATTCTTTCCTTCCCCTTAAACATGTAGACTTGTTGGATGGCCACCATTTGTCGATTACGAGTCAGGCGATATACTAACAGACAACATTTTACAAGCAGTCATTCCATTCGACATTCCTGAATTCGAAAACATTTCAGATGAAGGCAAAGACTTCATTAAACAAACACTACAGGCAGATCCAACGTAAGTGCTAGTTAAACATTTTATGGTATTTTCAGTGATGAGGGTATTACGTTTATGTCGCTCAACAGAAAGAAGCTCAATAATATCTTCAACAAGAATTAAAATAGTACTGTAGAATAAAAAATTTATCTGATCGGTTGAAAGACTGTGAAATAACTAAATCCAATCCACCAAATTTACCCTACAGTGTTTGTTCCGAAGAATAGTTGTCTTGTTTATATGATGTTCTCGTTAAACGTTATCAAAAGAAATATATCGTGGTCTTTATCAAGTACGTCGTTTCCCAATGACACATATTCAAACATCTTTCCGAAATTAACCTTTTGCCTTCGTACAATATCTTCCAGTAAAATATTAATTGACGGTAAATCCCATGACACAGTGGTCTCTGAGCTGAAGCGCAGACCATTGCATTATGATATATTTGCTTTGTCTCTTTCAAGAGATCTACGATATCTGGTTGAAAGCCATTTGTACGATTTTTAGAAGTACATTTTCGGACCCAAGAACAAAACTGAAGAACAGTTATCTCATGTATTGGGATACGTTGCCACTCATAATCAGCCCTTTCCTCAAGTTTAGTTGGAACTTGCGAAACAGGAGCTTGTAAACACTTTAAATACACACGAGCAGATAATACCAATAGAGGCCATATCGCAATCAGTTAAAACAAACCGATCGAGAGAAAATATATGCAATAGAGAGATGGAAGTTTTCGGTAGCCCAAGTTTTAAACAGGCCGCCAACGCTACTTATCAATTTTTTGTCATTCTTTAAACTTACATCCATCATGTCCAATTAGTTTGTTTATTTCTTTGTAGTATTAATATTTTCTCTTATATCATGGACTACAAAATAGACCTTGAAACATGCATTTTTGTTACTTATCAATTTGAAAATACTTGTCATTCAATTATTGAATTTTATCTCGTGTTCTTAATGACTATACGTTTTATATGTATCTAAATGATAATCCAAAACCAACTGACTACTATTCAATCTTATTCTTGTACCACAATACAGTATTTGATACAGTTTTTACTTGATTTGACTGGCTAGTGTGTGCTAATAATTGATCAAGTTATTGCCTAATGAAAAAAACTGTTTGCTTTAATTGTTCATTTAGATTAACCTACCAAAAAATTTCAAAATATTGAAGATTAACTCATGGTAATAGCTAAAGATTTTCATTGTAGTTGAAAATTTTGACTGAATTCTATCTAATCTCAGCAAATAAGCAAAGAAACATGAATTTCAGCCACAGTACAACTGAATAATCGAGGTAATCAGGTAACGAAACACAGTCTAAAAATGCATAGTATTTCATTATTCTGCAAATTATCGAACAAACTGACTGATGCAGAAATTTCAAACAGTACTAAATATGGTGAATCAACTTATTTCACTAAAATTAGCTGCAGTTAGAAGGCAATACATTTTCTGAAAGGCACTTGAAAAACTCCAATTTTTCGATCATTTTACCTGTAAATATAAATTTGAAATTAACAGGGAAGTTAAATTTACATTTACTTCTCCTATCTTTGAATTTTATAGAAAACGACCTTCAGCGAAAGAATGCTTGTCTCATCCATGGATTGAGATATTCTCAAATTCGGAAAATAAATCGGAATATATTCTGAAGAAACTAAAGAAGTACAAAACATTTTATGACTCAGTGGTGAGTGAAACTTTCCAGCAGCTGTTGTTTTTATGTTGACAAGTAAACCCTCTTTAAGACTTGTCAGATGTATTCACTTGGATTTCGTTATTCTTAAAAAGAATGAATGACTAAAAATACCTACTGACCACCAAAATCATAAACATTCACTATTTGTAATTATAATTTTCGTGCAATTAATAAGCCTCTGTTGATACGGAGAATGCTGACACAGACGTCTCTTATCAATAATTCAGAAATTTTTTTATTAATTAATCACATGACACTTACCGCAATCGAAAGGTATTCTGTTTCACGTTCACATAACTGCTATTTTTTCTAATTTTCCAGCATCCAGTTTGCATCGTGAATGACGACAAAAATTATGGTATCGACTTGAGAAACCGCTTAGCAACCATGGTAAGACAACCGACCCCAAGTGAAGATACAGAAAGTGTGTTGTCTTCTCGCTCATCATCAGCTCTTGGTTTCCAAGATAATTCGGAATCATACAGGTGAAATATTTTGATTGTTTCATTCTTCCAGTTAAACATGACAGTAAAAATGACAGTACTCACCTATTTTATTTTGTCTTCTATCATAAACGAAGCAAGGTTTTTAGTTAGATGATATAGGAGTGTGAGTTTTCAGTAAAAACACTACCGACAGGAAAAATATATTTCCTATTCGTTCTGAGAGCTTAGTGAAATACTGGGACGTAACGAAAACCCTTTCATTTGAATGGTACTGGTGTGTTATCAATTTACGCGAAGGATCTGCACTTTGCATTCATTATGGCCACCAAGTGACAAAAATATTCTACAAGGACTTGGTCCACTGATAGATAACTGATAATATTAATAAAACCTAAGTCGACATTTTCGCCTTAGAAATGAACTAACAATATATTAAAAGCATGAACTGTAGGTAACTTAAAGATGAAAGTTCTAGTAAAACAGAACAAATTTGTCAGACAGAATATTTGGATAGATATGTAATTTCAAACTTTTACATAGCATAATAACTTCTAAACTGTTTTTATTTATTATAGCGAAGATCAGTCGCAAATGCTTGACCGGTATGGATCACGTGACTTTACTGACTCAATGTCTCTGATTTCCTCAAACCCAAATATTCCTACCGCAGCAGATGCTTCAGAATCAATTTTAGAAAAATTTGGTTTGGAAAGACAAAATACTCTCACGGAAGCCACTCAGTTAGGCGAAACCACTTATCCCCTTTTAGAAGGACAAGAAAGCATTTCAACGAATATTGAGCAAGGAAACCAGACCACTTCAGCGTCACATGGAAAAATCGGAAACAAATTCAGTGGTGAGTTTATACCATTTTATAAGATACTCATAGTCTTAAAGTAGTCATCGTTATGTGCCTCAGAAAATCCCAACGCTGTCGCTTTTAGTAAACATTCAGTATTTTCGAATAGTTTCGATCACATTTGACTGACAGTCACAAACGATTAAGCAGTATTCGACAAGTTTTTAGGTTGTTTCAAATCACTATGAGATGTCATATTGACCGCTACAAACTAATGCAGCAGTATAACATTATAAGTTTCCAGACCGTAGGTGTTACGAACTTACTGGAATAATTTGAGCACCGAGTCAGATTGATTCATTATAAATTATTTAAATTAATCCCAGCGTGTTAAGAAAATCAAAACAAGATTTTTCTGGACGTTTCGCTATGTAAGCCATAGCTTCTTCAGCAGATTTATTCGGATTTTTATTAGTCATCAAAATATATAGTCAAAAATTTTTTTACATAAATTATAGTCAGTTTATTTGAAGGTCATTTGTCCTTAGACATTTTTACCAATAGAAATATGTAAGCGGTCATCACATATATTTGTAATGACTAGTGTCAATACTCTTCTATAGTTGATTTGTAAAGATTAGTTTTGTATGAGTGTGTGTGTGTATGTATGTTATTTATCACATGGAAAATACATGAATTCATATGGGATATACATGATCCTACATGTTTTAAAAGCTCGTGGAGGCTCATAGAGTGTTCGTTGTTTTTTCATCTGTCTTGCTTCATAAGAGTTTGCCATATATGTGATAAGTCTATCCCTTCTTTCCTATTCACTGCATTCTGTGTGGTTAAAATGTGCAAGGCTTCAGAAGTCAATCTTCCTTTATGTGAATGAAATCCTCTTCCAAGAATTTCGACGTTGTCGAAATCAATCTTATGCCCCCTGTCTATCGCATGCATTGCTATAGCCGATCTTTTTCTAGACTTTTTAATTCTACTTCATTTCTATGTGGACGTTTCGTGCATAGTCTATATTCATTCACTCTGACCTTCACCTGTCGACTGCTCTCCCCTATATAGCATGCATCACATTCCGAACACTTTATCCTATAGACACAATTACTTTGTGACATTCTGGGAACTATATCTCTGACATGCACCAACGCTTTCTCCAGAGAATTAGAAGGTTTGACATAGACTTTAATATTATATGAAGCAAATAGTCTTTAAAGTTGTTCAGCTGTGTCCTTTCGATATGGAATGGCTATCGTCGATAGCCAAGATTTTCCATTTTTTGTTTTTCCTTATGCTCCTTTTTATTGATAATATTATCTAGTAACTTTTCAGGATAACCATTTCCAATCAAAATCTTTTTTATGTTGGATATCTCGTTCTGCATATCGTCATTATCTGTTATAATGTTTCTAGCTCTGTTAACGAGATTTAAAGCTACTGAAACTTTCATTCCTCTTGGATGATCTGACTGAAAATTCAAATACTTGTTGGAATGTGTCGGCTTTCTGTATATGGTAAACTTTAGTTTCTCGTCAGTTTGTCTTTTTACAAGACAATCAAGAAAGTTTAGAGTTCCCTCAGCCGATTCTACTTCATTAGTAAACTCTATATATTCTGAGATTAAGTTAATTTCTGTTAGAAAGTTTTCTTTTTCAGCTTTCTTTATGATGATAAATGTGTCATCTACATATCTGTACCATATTCCAGGATGACAACTGAAACTTGTCATATATAAGTTTGCTACAATTGGAGATGCTGGTGAACCCATTGCAACTCCATTTGTTTGACAGTATAGTTTGTCTTTAAAGGTAAAATATGTGGATTCCAAACAAAGTTTTAAGCATTTTATAACTTCATCTATTGATAATAAAGATTTAGTTAATACTTCTTGATTGTTTTCAAGTTCATATTTCATAATATTAAGTACAACACATATCGAAATACTAGTAAATAAAGAAACCACATCAAAACTTGCCATAATTTCGTCTTCTTCAATAATTATGTCCATTACTTTCCTTTTAAATTCCTCAATATTTTTAATGTTTTTTATTTATTGCTTAAACACTTTCTGCATTTGTACACAAAACTTTTGTTTCATTTCACATATAATTCTATCACCGATAAAAAGGTCAAAACGCAGGGTTTTAAAACACTGTTCAACTGAAATACAGTTCATCAGCGAAAAAAGTCTATGAGATATTATTTTTATTTTCTGGACCTTACTAGGATGAATAAAATCACTCCCTTTATTATGATTCATTGTACAACAATATGTCAAACCTAAATAAACAGAAATGATCACGGTTACCATACTGATCAGTTAACTTCTAAAATCCTTGTACATAATGAAGAATGCTTACAGTGATCAAAATATTTTGCCAGTAATTTGCTTTACTCTGAAAAAATAGTCTTTTCTCTTTTGTTTTATAATCAGCCCCAGTCTTTGCTAGTCCACTGAAGGATTCATATTTCAATGTACACACAAGAGAAGCCCGATTTACTTGTCAACTCGCCAATGCTCCTTATATCCCAGAAAGCATTCCTGGTCATGAAGAAGCACTCAGAGAACTGTATCCAAGTGGTCTGAATTTTGGTAAGATCAGCAGAAGTTCTTCTTCAGCTGCTGCATGGTACTTGGGTGGATGTTTACTATCCGATGGTCCAGGTGTCAGCTTAGGTGCTGGGCATGGTGGATGGTTATGGCTCTGTCTTAGTGACCTTCGTCCAGAGCAAGATCGAAGTGTAGTTGAATGTGTTGTTAGAAATCGAGCTGGTAAATCCCGAACTAAAGCTCGCCTTTTACTTGGTGGTAAGTGAAGTTTATTCAACCAGTATATTCCTATAACTCATGCAGATATTTTCTAATTCTCTACAATTTATATATTTTAACTGGCCAATAATACGAAATATGATATGGATCCCTCTATACTCATATGTCCTTGTGTTGCTAAACAACTTGTCATACACTATTTTTGTCATCATACGATAACATTTCGACCATATTTGAAGTTATATAGTGAGAAATATACATTTTGCTGTATCTGAGAGCTACCTAGTTGTAGGCGCATTAGGTAACTTTTAAAAAGAGCCTACAGTTTCATTTTCCCTATCATCTTTATGTATCTTTTAATAAATTTAAGATGTGTAGATAATGTTGAATTATATTTCATCTCATATTTACAAAAGTCATTTACAATCATGAAGTTTCTCGATGAAGCGAAATTTCGTCACAAATGTAAGAATAGAATACAGACGCAGTGATGGAGTGTTATTCCCTTTTCGAAAAGTTTATCTGACAGTATAGTATTAATCAGAGACCAGAATAACAATTCACATAACTGTATTGTCATTTAACTAACTTAGTCGACCACCTAGAGTAAGAAAGTTTTCAGTCACTTAACAGAATTATTATTATTATAACAGATGCTCGTAAACATAACGTCAAAGGTCATTTAACCCATCAATGTATTTGTTAATGCGGCAGATTTCTACATACACGATGATAATTTTAATGTTAGAAAGCTATCAATTTAATTTATTTATGTCTCTTAGAAAAGGGATAAAGGCTGTATAAATCACCTACAAAATGTCTCAGATTCTGTTTACATTAGTACAATCTAAGAAGCTTTCAGTTATTCAGCAGCGTTAGGCTTGGAATTAAATAATAAGAGGACTACTGATTACGTGGACCAAGAATGCCTAAAACTGAATTACCCTCATTTAGTTTGAGTAATTACTGCTGTGGAAATCAGGATATTGATCTCTGTAATGTCTTTTTTCTTATCATCAGTGTAGTGGGAAGGATTTTATCTGGTATTTTTGAACTAAATAACCAATCAGTTATCACTGCTTGCTTGGAATCCTACAGTTTTGGTGACCATAAACGTCACTTTATTCTAGTGACTTTACAGACTATTCCACTAACTACTTTTGGTGTATTCGACTGACAGTATTCATCATGTCTTCGGCGCTGAATGAATTAAATTCAAATTATAGGGTGAACATATTATGCATATTAGTGCCAATAACCACAAAACACTGGTCCAAAAACCAAACATTGTAACTGTTTGCGTAAGTTAACTATACACAATTTCTCTAGTGCTTACAAGGGACTTATTCCTTTTTCACGTGTACAGTTTATTGACAAAAAACTTCTCTCAAATGTTTTTTTTCATATTTCAGATACACCCAAACCTCCTGGTCGTCCAGGTCTAATTGATGTTCGTCCAACGGAGGCCCTAATCAGTTGGTTAGCTTCAACACCCGATTCAAATGAGGATCTCATCTACCGTGTAGACATTAAATATTCAGGTAACATTTGTGAAATGTATTCATACATCTTGCGAACATTTATTGTACTGAGATATGTACATTCAGACTGAAATTGTACATCCATGCCTCTTGTATCTCTTTTACTGAATAAGACTAAAAACTAGTGATCATAGAAATTCAATTTTTCTACTTTTAATTTACAGAATACTTCCTTTCTGACTTCCAGAGAAATTTTAGTGACCCTGATTTCGCTTTTTACAATGAGTTATGTATTGTAAACTTGTCATTTTGCCTAATACTGTTTGAAATTATAAAGCTAAAATAAATGTGCAAACACTTCACTGGAGCTTAAACGCTTGCACATTTTATCAATACAAACAAAGAACTCACTAACAAGCTTAAGGCTTACAACTACACTATACTAGCAGGTAATGAATTTGTACTGTATTTTCCACTGAGGCCATTCAGACACGTCTATCGACTTCTGTAGTAAAAAAAGTGGGTATTTGTCGAATTATAAATTTATTTAAAATAACCTCGGCATGTTTAGGAAATCAATTCATTTTTCTTAACTCTTCACTGTGTAAACCACAGCTAGTAATGCTTTCATCAGAGTGGGTGTTCAAGTAGATCCTGGACATCCCTCTAATTGCTCTTCATAACTATGACTTCACTAACATATCTACTGATAAGTATTAAACAGACCTGCAATATGTTTTCACTTAATGATTTACCAGCCGGCCATGCACAAGGTCCGGGGTTCGGTCCCCGGCCGACGCACTCCTTCACCTCGCTAAGCCAGAAATAATGCTGGTGAAGAGGAAAGGTTGGGCATGAGGCTAGCAACCCCATCCTGTAAAATAAACACTGCTACAGAAACTTCAAGCCACTAGCTTGAAGCCCTATGTTCCACTGGGGAACGTGAAGGATAAAAAAAATAATGATTTACCAAACGCTTATATTAACCTGAGACCACAATAACTTTTGATTCTGATCAAGAAATTTTTCTGCACATGTTTATGTGTATTGCTAAACTCTTTGCCTTACGACAGACCATTTGGTAGCTGCATAAGATTTCTTCTACTTTTTTCTTCGGCGTTGACTGACACTGTTCATATCTCAGTAATAGTTTTTGATTGAGCTATCTTTCAATTCATTCTGTCTATCTTTTATATAACCTTTCATCTGATATAAAAAATGCATCTATCTTCTTTTACGCTCCATCTTTAGATCATGACAATGAACCACCTACATGGCATCGACATGGATTTACTGTAGACTGCCGTTATCTAGCTACTAATCTCAAACCCGGCATATGCTATCGTGTCCGAATTTCGGCAGGAAATACATTCGGTTGGGGAAATTATAGTATTGCATCATCTGACTTCCGCACCCCTTTGGGTAAGTTAATGCTCTACTCTGTTAAATGTGTATCACACTATTCTAACAAATTTATTCTAAATCTGTAGTGAGTACTTTTAGACGATGGTAAGCTTGGTAAGATTTGGAATTTATCACTAAGTTATAACTGTGATCTGAAATTTAAGTGCAGTTCTTCTAAAACCAGATGCTTTATTATAAATAAGAAATTGACGTTTAACTAATAACAGTTTAGAGTGTTTTAACAACTACTCCAACATTTTGTCCCTAACAGTCAACCCTAGTTCTTTTCACTGGGGATTTTTTTAAACTGAAGTAAAACAAACCACCAGCTTCTGATGGGTCGATTTAATTATTCTAAACTGCCATGAGTAATCAACTTTTGTGTACCTTCACATCTATCACAAAAATAACCGTGTTCAAATACTCTTCCATTGGAAATTATTGTAACAACAGAAGGCAAGACACAGAAGTCAAGGTATATTTTCAAGTGATCAAACGGCTGCCTATATAGATACAGTTTTGTATTCTCTAACCAGTCATTGAGAGTGGGATTTCGGCTTACATTAAATGACATGAAATAGAATGTTCAAATAGACATATCGTATTCTGTTGCTAATGCTGCACTGAACTGTGGGAATATGTGAGAATAATATTCCGTTGGAACCCATTGTCTGTATCACACCCCCACACTATAACTAAGTCATGTGATTCAGCCATTCACTGTTTTTACTAATCAAAAATTAGACAAGTGGATGGTATTTTAGCACAGCAATGACATAAACCTGAACATGTAAAGAAATGAGAATATAAATCAATGATTCTGCTCTCATATGACTTTTCTAAGAATTAATCACCAATATTCTTGATTAACCATAAATACCATAACACTACTAATTGGTATTAGCAACCCGCGATAATTTCAATCAAATTACAAAACGAAGGTAAAGTTAGATAAAGCAAACAATAATTTCAGCAGGATAATACAGCATGATTTCATTTTCTCAACTACTCACTATCTGAAAATATTTCCCCATCAACAGCCTTAATAAATACTTCAATTTCTTTAATCAATCAAAAGACAAAATAGTCTCTTAACATCTTAGCTATTTGCCACTTATATTCTACATATGCAAGGACAAGTCCGACTAAAACCATGAAAACTGAATCACGGGAAAAAGCTTTTTAAGGTATATTTTTAACAGTAACCATTAATTTATTTTCATTTAACGCGAAACAAATTTTCTGTGGAAACAGCTACACACTGTGATTCGGTATAGTATTAACCGTTGGTTTGTCTATGCAAACGTTGATCTGAGTCCATCCCTTCTGTCTCATTTAGGTGCTATTTTTACTGACGTTTCTTATCTCATACTTTTCTCATTGGCAGCCTATTTCGCTCACCTATTTTAATTTTGAAGATATCGAGAAGTGAACACATCGTAAAACATAGTGTTTACTTTTATCATGGAGAAACTTCATCTGAACTAACGGCTTCGTGATTAACTTTTTTCAAAACACTTCCGTTCAGTATTCAATGAAACTAATTGTTACTCTGCATGATATAGATCCCTTCAATACTGTTTGCCTTCATATAATTGTCACTTCTATCATTTGATTTAATTTCCAAGGATAATTTCATTAAGACAATATTTTTTCATAAAATGCATATAACAGAGTAGGATTCGACAATTCTTATCAGTGATCCAGGGACCGAAATCACCTGTTCTTCTTAAAAGTAATCTGGAGTAAGTGTAGCTCAATCGAGCCATTGCTCCTATTACAGACATGTGAGTTCCTAACAATCAACGTTCGCACCCATAAGACCGAATCAGGTTTACAAACTAATATTTAAAGTGCTTGTTTAATCGCATAGTTTAATTTTATCGGTAGGCGAAAGAAACGGTGTCATTAACATTAAAAGGAAGGAGAAGAAGAAGCAAAACTGTTTTATTCATGAAAACAAGACGTATGCAGCGATGTAGTGTGGAATTCTTATTAGCATGCATATGCTGCATTTAATGCTCGCTTCACATTAAGCAGGAGAAAAATAATTATGGGAGCTTGATGATGTTTGCAATAATAGTAACAGGAACAATCACAATGATACATTAATGACGGCAAGGATGAAAATAACCGTTTATTTACTGTTACACAGTAGTTTAGTAACTCCGCACGTGCAAAATAACTTATTGCTGAGCTTTTACATGTAATTCTACCGGTTTGAGGTCTTATAAAATTGTTTCTTGTCCTACGTGTGGAGATGCGAGATGAGAGCTGTGAATAAAGATTTTCAGTGCCTGACAAAAGGACTTTAATTGATTTATTGCATGAGTTTAAATGTCTTTCAACGATAATATCTACAAGTTTTTTTAGAGCACACAACCTGTCCTACTGATGGTTTTCAGTGTTCTGTCCAATTTAAAACAGTTTAATTAAGCAACTTAAGAAAGAATAAAAGAAATAGTAGGGAAGAGGCAAAATGAAAGAGATATGAAACTGTATAAATAGAAACGGTATTATACCGAAGTATCTTAACTTCCTAATGTAAAATTTTAGAGGAAAAGTTTTTTTTAATAAATCACTGGAATATGACATTCCAGGGAAAGATCAAAAGAAAGATTTAATCCAACATGGTTAACATTCGATTTAGCTTTTGCTTCATTGAACTCTGTATAATGACAATAATGAGAACGAACTAAGTCACCTTAATCTCACTGAAGTAGTTTGGAATTTGGAAGGAATTAACTTAAGAATATCTGACAAGTTCCACTGGCTAATTTTCATAAAAACCTATTCATTTTGAAAAATTTTCTCTAAGAATTTAAAGGCAATCAGCATACCTAACGGAATTAGTTTCATCAAAACACCGTAAATTATACTACAGGAAAACATGGCACCTTGAGGAAGGCCGATTTTGGCAAGCGATGAAGTGGAAAACTTTTCTTTACAGAAGAATAAGAATACGGAGTATTTTTTCAAGGTATTCATGAATGCAGACACGGACAACAGCATTTTCCCAGTAAACAGCTACTTCAGCTGTACTAGAATTTCTTTTCTAATCTTTTGACTTTCTTTTTCTCTCAATATTACTTCAAGTTTCTACGGATCAGTCACCGAACATATTTTCTGTAGCCGAGAGAAATTGGATATTCACCTGGCGACAGTCTGCAAATATCTATGCTCTAAGTGATCACCCCGTAGCCCTCCAGTATGCTGTGGATCAAGCAAGCAGTGTTCCACCACCGCCAGACAAAGTTTTACAGAAATTGCACCAACATAATGGGATAATTGCAAGCTCAGATGTATTGAAGTCTATATGCAAACCGATTCGTCTGATTAACAAGTAAACTAAACTTACTAGGAATATTTAAATAAGTTTTGTTTTCAATACTTATCGATTTTAACGAAATTTAGATATTACATATTTTAACTCACAGCATTTGCGAATAAAATGAACAAGAAAGACAAACCACGGAGAACGTACTCCTTTCATTTGAAGATACCATAAACAGAAAGTTGTATTGACGAAGTGAGACAAATTAACCATTAAGAAGCGTGAGAATTTCCATCAAAACAACTTTAGTCCCAAATTTCTCGCTTCAGTTTACCTGTCGTTTGTATCACAGACACAGACCTTTTCAACTGTCCTTTAAATCAATTCCAGAATGCTGATAAGGAATCAAAACTGCTTTCTATGTTAGATCAAACGTTATTCATTACGAGATGAGGGATTTGAGTTTCTTAGGTTAAAAAAGCTTGTTTTATGACAAGGTATATATATATATCACTTAGGCAGAGGCGAATGAACATATTTACTTACACTCATGTGGTACAGTGTGCGTCGGTGGCAGGGAGGTAGAGTGCTCACCATTTTAGTGGTTGACGGGTATCGAACGTTCACGAGTTGTACGGATTATACTAACGCAAGATCTTATACCAACAACCACTATAGTGTTCGTTCTTCGAGTACCAAATGGTAAAGCAAAAGACCAGATTTTGTCGTCCAAATACGATATATATTTTGGGACCAAATCGCGGGTAGGAATGAATGCTTAGCTAGCTAGTAATCGTGCACGCACGTGACACGACGAAGAGCACCAAATGGCGGGGATGCTTGACCGTAAGCCTTCAGCTAAACAAGTCGACTTAAACAGTGATGGTCAGCATCCAATGTTGAGTGATGATTGCTGTGGTTAATAATTTTGGGGAATTATTTACCGCTACAGCTCACTCCCCCCCTAGTGGGTTTGTGAGGACCCTAAGACATGACCAGCCGGAAGTAAAAAAAAAATCTCGATGGTTCCCTGATGGGTGAAAAAAAAATCTTCCGAGCTGCTTGATGGAGAGCGTGCTGGTCTGTCTGCCTATGCTAATAGGGTGTCTGTACATAGCTTCCTCAGTGTTGTTCGTTGGATCCCGTGCTTCGTTTGTTTCCTGTCCAGTGCCCGTTGCACCTGGAAAAGAAAACAAGAATGCTGAGAACCTTGTCAAGAAAAATGTACCAAATAAGCGTTTTCTTTTACCAAAAAAAATATGACATGCATCTACTATACAGTAAAATAATGTAAAGTTCAAAATTTCGGGAAAAAAAAATATACATCTTATATAATTTTATGTACGGTTATAGGAAAAATATCATTTACTTGTGTTAAATGACGCAACATAAAAAAAAAATTGATGTGTCACTCAGTTATGTGAAATAGGTGTGAAGGTATTCTGGGAATCTAACGTGACGTCCAGAACGCGTTTTTTTAGAGTGATCGACAGAAGTAGCCAGTGGGCGAATGCCCTGACAGTCAATAGCGTGACCCAGGAAGTCGAGTGAGTCAACGCCTATTTGACACTTCTGTATATTGATGGTAACACCGTGTTGGCGTAACCTTTCAAATGCCAAGTCCAAGTGTCTAAGGTGAGTTTCCTTGTCTGGACTGGCAATGAGGCAGTCGTCTAAGCATGCGTATACAAAGTCGAGACCGCGAAATACTTCGTTGATGAAGCGTTGGAATGTTTGGGCCGCATTCCGGAGGCCGAATGGCATACGTAGGAATTCGAAAAGTCCGAAAGGCTTAATGATAGCCGTTTTCGGAATATCTTCCGTTGCCATCGGGATTTGGTTATATGCTTTAACCAAGTCGATTTTGGAGAATATGGATGCTCCAGATAACGTTGCCGTCAAGTCGTGTATGTGAGGCAAAGGGTAGCAATCAGGAGTTGTTTTGGCGTTCACTCGCCGGTAATCACCAGTGGGTCGCCAATCGTTGCTATCCTTTTTCGGTACCATATGCAACGGGGATGCCCATGGACTATTCGATGGCCGAATGATGCCAAGGGTGAGCATATGATCGAATTCGCTTCTGGCAATTCTCAGTTTGTCGGGGGCCAGTCGTCGTGCTTTAGATGTCACGGGCTGTCCTGAGGTTATGATGTGGTGCATAACATTGCTGGTTATACACGGGAGATCGTTAGATGGGCAATTCAGTTCCGGATATTTGTCAACAATCGGTTGAAAAGTTGGATCGGGGATTGCTTTCATCTTAACGATTGACAAGCTGGGGCCTACGTAAGTTATGCCTTTGATAGACAAACTAGTAGTGTTGTCAATTAATCGTTTACGGCGGACGTCTACGAGCAAATCATGATGATTAAGTAGGTCCATGCCAATGATGGGCATTGTGACGTCAGCGATTAGGAAAATCCACCGAATAGGTTTGCGTAAACCTACGTTCAGATAGACGTATTTCCGACCATAGGTTGCAATTGGTTTTCCATTTGCAGCCTGTAGGTTGAAGTTAGGATCCTTCTGTCGATCTGCTGCTGTAGCAGGAAGGACGCTGACTTCGGCGCCTGTGTCGACTAGATATCGAGTCTGGCTCATCACATCATGGATGTAAAGTAAGCGGCTAGTGCCACCGGCGACGGTTGCCGCTAACGCGTGCCGGCGGGATAGTTTCCCACAGACTTGGAGTCTTTGCCGAAATCACAAGGTTTTCGACAACATTTTGCTTCCTTGCCATAGGTGTTGTGATACCAACACCAGTCAGGATTTTTGAGAGAACGTGTGTTGGACTTAGATCGTCCACGTACGTTTAGCCGTTGAGGGGATTTAGAACGACGATAGGAAGAATTGCTAGGCTTGTTTGACCTAAGCATCTGCTGGACGGAGTTGCATAACTCTATCATTGCAGAATCCTTCCTCGAAGTCTGTTCGGTAACAGAGTATACTTCGGTAACTGGCCGTTTCGTTATCTCTAGAATTCTATCTGCAGAGACAGCTAAATCATCTATGAGAACACTTTGAAGTGTCACAAGTACAGTCGGAACTGACTGTGGCAGTTTGGATAAAAATAGTTCTCTAAACAGTCCTTCATCGAACTGACTTTGGCCAATGATCTCTTTCATTCTTGCCAGCATGCTCACGGCTGACTGATCTCCTAACTCGATGTTACGAAATAACTCATCCAGACGTTGTCGATCTGTGAGAACGTTTCTCTTGAGGATGGATGCTTTTAGCAACTCGTACGAGTTACTTACCGACATCTGCAGAGTTACGCACTTGCTGAATTCCCGCGGTAGGGCGTGAATAACTGCAAGGAACTGTGAACGTTGATCAGTTATGCCATGTTCACAAAAATCAGACTCAGCAATCTGAAACCACGTTTCAGCATTATCTGGCCAAAATGGTACTAGCTGAATTGTTTTGGCGGTTGAGCGAATCTGAATAACTTTGGGGCTAGGATCACTCATGACGAAAAGTATGCCGATAACAATATAGTACAAGAATAAACACAAAAAGGAACGAACTCACCGGGTTTATCTGCGTGTGAATTGAAGATGTAGTTCGTGGTCGGGCTCACCAGTTTAGTGGTTGACGGGTATCGAACGTTCACGAGTTGTACGGATTATACTAACGCAAGATCTTATACCAACAACCACTATAGTGTTCGTTCTTCGAGTACCAAATGGTAAAGCAAAAGACCAGATTTTGTCGTCCAAATACGATATATATTTTGGGACCAAATCGCGGGTAGGAATGAATGCTTAGCTAGCTAGTAATCGTGCACGCACGTGACACGACGAAGAGCACCAAATGGCGGGGATGCTTGACCGTAAGCCTTCAGCTAAACAAGTCGACTTAAACAGTGATGGTCAGCATCCAATGTTGAGTGATGATTGCTGTGGTTAATAATTTTGGGGAATTATTTACCGCTACACCATCGACGCAGGTGGTCCGGGGTTCGATCCAAGGCCAACGCACTCCTTTACCTCACTAAGCCAGTAACTAGACTGGTTAAGGGGGAAGGTTGGGCATGAGGCTATCAAACCATCCCCTAAAAATAAATAACACTGTTACCGAATCTTCAAAGCTATAGCTTGAAGACCTATGTTCCACTGGTAACGTAAAGGAATTAAAAAATATGGTACAGTCTTCTAAATAACAGTTAAAAATATGAATGTTTTGGCATGTTCCTCACCCCAGTCGAATGTTAGATTACGTTACAGATCTGACCAATACGCTGACCGCTTCACTTACTTGGTTATAAATCAATAACTTAGAGTATTCAAAAGACCTTGTCAGTGTTTTCGATCAGAATGGCTATATCTGAAGAAATGTAAAATAAACCAGAGATTTTTGTGATAACGGACTGTTTCATATCCATCAGTTCTTTTGTAATAATGTTAAATGAGAATGTGTGCTCTTATCGAGAACTACGGTTTGTCATCACTTCAAATGACATCTATCCATCAACCGATAAACGGCTGCAAGAACTTGAGATAGTTGACTAGACAAACATAAGGTTCTCTCACAGTACTTGTTTCAAGCGTAGATATCACCGCAACACAATCTGACCAATGAAGCTGAATAATGACCCTAAATTAAGAAATATGGCATGTGTTGGATACCAATATATCTGTGCTGCTAAACCTTTCGAGGAGTGAAGAGTTGCTTATTCTAATCTGATGCAGAATTAGAAACCGTTTGGTTATCCACCGAAAAGCGAATCAGTGGCTTCGTATAATATGATTTAAATGGTTTAGCAGGCAGCCTTTATCAGTTATCTCACAGTTACTTTTCTCTCACCATTTCAGGGGTACATATACGAAACTTACTCTAGGAAAATCCCACCCAATGCTCAGTGAAGGAACCAACTTTAACAATATTAGACAGAACAGCCTGTCTCTTCCACCTAGATTGCTTTGTAAAACCACATATCTGGATCCAGGAGATAAGACTTTGTTACAAAAGGCTCGCCGTGAAGCCCTGATACTTACTATCCTTCATGGAGCTAGTGGAGGGATGTACTCTTCGTTTGAAGACTATTTTGGTGAACAGGATAATTCATATCTTTTCACTAACCGACGACAACTATTACCGTCTGGATGGTCTTTTGGATGGTTGGCAGATGATGCAGCAAAGCCAACACAGGGCATAACAGTAATGCAGTGGATCCCAGGGGGACGACTCATCGACGTTTTATGCAGTAGAGTGGAGTATACTGAATTTTCCGTCATGATGTGGTGTCAACAGATTCTTATGGCACTGAGATGGTTTCATACATGCTTTGCAGGACAGCCACATGGAAATGTTTGTCCTGAACATATACTTGTTGCTCGTCGGACATCTTCACTTCCAGATATTGTACTGAGTGGATTTGGCAAGAGCACAGATTCTGGAGAACCTCACAACTATTTTGCAGGTAATCTGCAGCTTTTTTATTCAATTTTTGTCAATTGATACATAATAGTAACACTTGATGCTAGATGTCATAAAATAGACATATCAGATGATGCCTAGTCTCATTTAAAGATTATTCTAAGATAACATATTGAAAGTAGTTAACTTTTATGCTTTATTAACTTGTATATCTCCTATTATTTAATTAACAAATAAGTGCAAGTGACCTCACGTTACGCTTTTGTTTAAAATCTACTTTGTATCTAATAATGCCTGCTAATCACATGTAGTGTGCTTTAATAATGGGCTTTGGGTCTTGCAGAATTATCCATACTACTAAACATTATAACCTTACATACATAAAGTATTTGTAGGGCCATTTTTCTTAAAATCAGCTTTTAGGCATGTATCCAAAACACATCTTTGGCATAACAGAGTTGCAGATCTGTCCTATATCCACTTAATAAAATGATAATGACTTATAAATGTAAGAGGTATCACTCAATCAAAACAGAGTGGACAAAGTTTGTGATGATTGTTTTTCGTCCTGCAACTAATCGTAAAAGCATAATTTATTGCAATCAGCAGTGATGAAAGCGTCGGTGGCATAGCGGTCAGGACGCTCGCCGACCATGCACATGGTCCGGGTTCGATCCCCGGCCGACGAGCTCCTTCACCTCGCTAAGCCAGATATAATGCTGGTAAAGAGGAAAGGTCAGGCATGAGGCTAGCAACCCCATCCTGTAAAATTAAACACTGCTACAGAAACTTCAAGTCACTAGCTTGAGGCCCTATGTTCCACTGGGAACGTGAAGGAAAACAAGTGATGAAAAGATCAAATATAACATTTCCGATGGGTAAACTGCAAGCAAAGAACTCTTATCCATCAGACGACCAACATTCCAGTTTCCAAACAAGCTACTGAACCACCTTTTAGAAAACAAGTTAAGGTTATTGAGTGTTAGATTCAGAGCTAATCACAGAACACATTTTGAGGTCTCTAATGTGGATCTAAGCGACCGATTCATGATTATGTATTTTGAATCAGAGACAAGATCTGGGACAAGCACTTCACGCCTTTACGAATCTTAAGCCGGATGTGCCTGCGTCCAAATATATGACAGTGTTATCTCTGAAAAACAAGCATGTCCTTCACCATTTAAAATACCTAAGATTTATGCACAACTTCAGTGAGTTGCAACATTCCATTACGATTACTGGTTGGTTAGCTTAGTAGTTAGTGTTACAGAATTTTAATATAGGCACTGGTTCTCAGTCATATTTGGAACACCGCCGATTACTGTAGCATAAATAAAACCGATAAGCCCAGTATGGGACGGGGTTCGGATTTTTAATTATCTTGGATTCGATAAGGACAAGACACACACTTAACTTACTTAGGTGATCAATGCTCTGGACCTACATTTGACTGAGGGTCTTGACCAGCCTATGCAAATTAAGCAAACTGAGGATAAGTAAGTTCATAAACAGTGAGCATCAAGTCTCATTATCTAAACTGGTTTCTTTTTAAAACTTGTCTTACCTAACAAGAACTAATAAATCTACTGGGTGTTAATCAAAAACGTACAATAAGTCAAAAATGTTTATTTGTCTATTTTCCTATGGTCATACCATTTGTATATTAAAAATAACCTAAAAGTTCATTCATTTTTTTCCTCAAATTAGCTCCAGAGTTGAATGAAGATCAACCGAAATCTACTGCTGCTGATTTGTGGAGTGTTGGAGCTGTTATCAGATTGCTGTAAGTATTATAGAATAAAAGTGAGCTGTGTATGTTTTGATGTGATGCCTAAATAAAAAGTCAATATAAAGTTCAATAGACATGCGTGAAATAGAAAGAAAGATAAAGTACATTCGGAAACACTATTCATGTTATCCATTAATATAATACAGTGGCAATCAAAACGAGTGTTGTTAGTCTATAAGATGTATTTTAGTACAATAAATAACTTGTTAGAATCATATAATGTGAATTGAAATAAATATTAGCATTATTTGTTATCCTTTGATTTGATTGGTAATAATATCTTTGCATTGAGTCACTTCTATGACATGTGTTGGGTGTAGACTCGATGAACAAGGATTCAATAATCTATCTTTCCCTCCATCTACCTATATTACCCTTTAGACTTGTAACTCTTCCCCACCATATTGTGTGGTTATGTGTCGATGCATGCAGTGCAATCGCTAAACTTTTTTCTAAATTACTTAGCTTCACAGGGTCAATCATTCTACATTTGGCTAAATTCTTTTGTTCTGACAATCTGACTACCCGCAATCTACTGGTAGTCGATGTCACGGTCATTGCAAGGTATTTTGTAAATTATATTACTTTGTTTAATTGGATTCACCGGGTCCTTTAGCCTACAGAGCTTGTCCCTGAGTGAGTTTGTGGTTTTGAAAGCCACTCTAATTCCTGCTTTATTAAGAATCCTACGTAGGGTTTCACATGAACCCTACTGATGTGGCAAAACTACAGATGCTTTATATTCTCCCTTACTTATGTTATCAACATTAGTTTCACCATTATTTTTATTTTGCTTTTGACATTTTTTGATCGTCCTAATGAATTTTATAGGATAATTATTTAGTGCCAACACTTCTATCTGCCTCATTTCATTATTTAGGTTTTTTGTTGTACTGCTTGGTGCTATTGTCCAGCTTTTTAGACACTTAACTAGGCCTGCCTTCACAGATAACGCATGAGATGTGTTCAAGTCTAAATATCTGTTAGAATGCGTTGTTTTTTATAAACGCTAGTATAAAGTTTACTTTATTCCGTTCTCTCTGTTTTACAGTCTAACGTAGCTGATTCTCCTTATTCACTCTTTGGTTCAAATGTGAATTTTTTTCCCTTTACTGTTAAGTTTATGTGCGTGGAGAAACTAGAGATATGTCCTGTTTTTAACCCTGTGAAAATGTCATCCACAAAATGAACGGTTCATCTACGCATTATTTCGCCTGACTAATGTATTGTTAAATAAAGTGATAATTGAACATCTTGAATGTTTCACGACTCCTCGAAGCAACACAGACAAATCCATTTAATTTGTTCGTGAAACGCTCAGAATCAAACATCAAAATATGTAGAATAACTTAGACGTTCATCCTGAATTACAAATCGTTTCTACCTAAATCAAACCGTTCTAAGTATCATTTTCCAAAATCTGTAGTTTATTAAAGATGGCAAATAATGTACAGATTTTCATCTAACATAACTATAGAGGTTGATTGGCAGGTCTGCACTCAAAATGAGTTCAACCCCATTATGGATAAGATTTTATTTTCATAAATCACACAGTGTTGTACAGTAATATTAACTGAAGACGTTTCGAACAAAAACTATTGCTCATAATCATATCAAGTCACTCACACAACTTTTTACTTCATTTATTTACATGAGTACTCATGACTCATGTATATAAATGAGGCAAAAGTTGTGTCAGTGACTTGATATGATTATGAGCAATAATTTGTGCTCGAAACGTCTTCAGTTAATATTACTGTGCAACACTGCGTGACTTATGAAAATGAAATCCTATCCATAATGGAGTTATACTCTACCACAGTGCCCAATTTTTATACTTATATCAAAATGAGTTAGTTTCTCAAATGACTCCGGAACCGTTTCGGCTATGAGTAAAATTACCAGTATGCTCATACTCAAAGTCGTTCAGAGTTTTTCTGTAACCCGTGATTTCAACTACAGATAGCTGATTACGCTTTGTATTTCGTATGTTTTATAATCTTAGATTAACTGGAGAAAATCCAAGTGACATCGGTATCCACAGTAAAAAGCCTACATCTAATGAATCTACTGAACATCACAAATCAAAAGTGAAAACATCCCAGGATTCACCATCCACAATTCAGTCGGAAGAAAACCCCACCTTTCCACAAAGTCATATCAGTATAAAGAAGTTAAAGAGATTTTCGAAACCCGCACGGAAATTCGTCTACAACTGTCTAAGTCCAGTACCAAGGTAAGATAACTTTTACTAAAGAATTCTTCACTAACCAATAAACATCAGATAAACTGAAACAACACCCCAGCAAAACAACAGAAAATTTGGCTGGTTGTAATAAACAAAAACCGCTAGAACCACTCTACGGCATTGTTTTACAGGGTTTTATAGATACTAAATGTGACGAATAACATTCCTTTTGACAGCTCACCCATTTCGCCAGCCGGAATTCAGAATGTTTGGACCGGTCCGGCACCCTGAGTTAGTCACTAGCCAGTCCAGCTAGTGACTTCAAACCTAAGCATATGAAAAGGTCATCTGATAATTAGGTCATTACTTTCTGGAGTCAGTGATTTCCAATCAACTGTATACACCTTATTATATAGAAACTGTTTACTGCATATGTTAAATGTAACATAGGAATCTGGGTAGTGGGTTAAGGTCGAGTACAAGACTGGTTAACTACCGAACACAGAAACTTGTACAAAGCTAAAGAGCGTAATAATACTATAATGAAAAATTCTTACGGAAAGGAGTAATTCGACGAGAACCAGTTTTAGAGATGGTAAAAAGTGAATAAAGTTTCCCATCCTTTATTTATAACACATCCGAAAGCACAACCTACATCCAAACAGGGAGCTTGGATCAATAGTCAGTGACTTAACGTAATGATAACATAGAATGTTGTGTGTTTTCGTATCATCTACTTTAAGTCTCCACGTCTTTTCTGCTCCCTTTGCACCCATATGTATGCTTCAAGCGCATTTAATTCATCAAGAAAACTTTTCTGACAACTACAGTGATTCCTACATTCTCCACAATCTTTCTTTGGCTTTTGCCAAGCCCTTTAGCCAAAATTACTTCTAAGTGCGTCAAAACACCCTGCACAAGTAAGTCAACAAGGAACAGGCGTAGAACATCATAAAGTCTATAAGGTGAATCACGTAGAAGCACCGTGTTGATTGAAAAGACTATATAACTAATACATCCATCGCTACTGAGACCTGTCGTTTGGTCTCTGAAAACTTCAATATGCGGTTGTCAGTGAGGTTTTAGGACATTAGGGATAGTGTTTCTTTGGTCATAAAGTTAAGCAAAAATAAAAAGAGTGTATGGGAAAGATTACTGAAGTTTGTAGAACAGAAAAAGACAAAGAGGATAGGTGGTGAACAGAACTTTGTGTACTCATGAGTGTGTCGGCGACTGGGAATTCCCGACTGTCTACATTATGAGAGTGTATTTCCTTTTGTAGAACTTGAAATAAGTTAGGATTAGTTACACCTCACCTCAAAATTCAGATGATGATGTCCTGTAATCGATCACTCGCTACCATTTAGGATGTAATGGGATATACTCTATGTAAAAAACTACGGAGAGTCTTAGGGTAAGTAGTGAGATATGGCTTATGCGTTAGTGTTAGGAAATTAGTAGAGAATGCTTGTCAATCTCCCAACATAAAACTCCAACTTCATTTCATTCCTGCATCGTAATGTAAACAGTCTACAGTGTGCTGGTAACATTTTTCGGTATTATTAACATACAGTCGACCTCCTTGACGTGACACTACCTAACCAACATAGGTAGTTGGGTTATTGTGATATGCAAGCCCAAACATCCATATCAGATGTGCTTATTTGATTCCTTGTTTAACATTTTAGCACATTCTTTGTTATTATCGACAACGACAACAAATACAGGCAATAAATTGTGCACCAGACTTCATACAGCAAATAACAATGTACCATCGATCCCTTTCTTAGTTACAAGTTAATTTACGCTAATGGTATTGTGCAGAAAACTTTAACTTCTAGACTGGAAGATACAATTTGAATATTCGAGGGAATTTAAGTATCCTGAAGTTGGGGTTCCTTCAAATAGCCAACGTATTATTCACGCTAACAAGAAACGGTATTCGTTTCAGATACAAATACTTTTAGCCAACTTTCATACACTGAGTTACATGTTAAGACTCCATGGCTCATGGACGTATGTAATAAAAATGATGGTCTTCGAGTCTTTGTACAAGTCATAACTTTTGACGGTCTTCATCGGACACCTTGACTAAACTTGTAGGAAGTTTGCACTGCTATATATCACAGTCACAAACTTTGAAGAAGCAATGAAACGCCATTCCATAGACTTATTTTCGATGCCAATTTCCTTGAAAGTAAGGTAGTATCACTCACTTTGAGTGATAGACATACAGTACATAAAGAGAATATTCTATAGCTGACATACGAATAGTCAAAGAGCTAACAAGAGCCCTATTAGTTTAAGACTCATTAAAATGTTTCAAACTTATTAAAGCGAAATTAATCCGGTATACTCAACTCAAGTGGAGAAACCAACGAAGCCGTTTCTAAAATTCTCAACGTAACTCACTCATGCGACTTTTCCCATGCTCATTATGCTTATTATGTAACACTGTGTACTTTTAGTTTAATAAGTGAATGAATCAAAGATCTATTTTGCAGAGAGAAGTTAAAATAGCTTCAAAAACTTCCACAAGATGACTACAGAAGTCTAATCTCCTTCCTCAAGACAAAAAGGAACACACCGTGGGTTCCAATGGGAAGTCGTGAGCAGTAGAGTGCAGCAGGTCGGGTGTGAGGACAAATACTCGCCGAAGACATTGGCTAGCGGTTGCGCTATATCGTGAATTGGGAGAAGTTAGAATTCACGGGCCATTGGATCGGGTCCCAGTGGCTTAATGGCATACGAGCTCGCCTTGTAACCAGAAGGTCCTGGGTTCGAACCCCGGTGGATGCGTACTGATGAAGAGTCCCAAACTAGGGGGAGACAGCTGTCCAGTACTCCCAGGTTTTCCAATGGTTCTCTAACCAATGTCAGCTCATGATGAAATCCTGGAACACACCGTGTTTTTTAACAGCATTTCCTATACTACTACTAACAGATATTATACAGACTTGTTTAGGCTAAGTAACCTGAGTAATGGAAGATAAAAACAAAGAGCTGGGAAAGGTGATAATATTCCAGTGAATCACTCCTTAAGTTTCATCCCTGCCTTTTTACAACATGTATTCTGCAGAACTAAATCTATTTAGATAAGGAACAGTGTAATAACCACTAGAATAAAAGTAGTTCTGAAGTTAAAACGTTACAAAGAAAAGCTTTGATTGTATATAAACATTGAAACCACCTATGATCCAGTTTTTCCCATGGCTTCATTTGTCATCATTATTTTGTATACTTCTGTTATTAATTCTCTTCTCATTTCCATAGAAAACGTGGAACAGTAGACTTTTGGTTGGATTCCCACTGGTTCGATATGAATGCTGAGAATGTGAATAACCTGACTTCAGCGATCATTCCTACAAATTTACTACGGTCATTTAAAACTACTTTAGATGCTAGTGTTAATTCCTGTGCAGAAGAAGAAACAAGAGAACTGCAATTTTCTTGAAAAAGCCAGTACTTCTTTTTTTGTGTATCTTCGTTATTCTGCATGTTTTGAAAAGTTTACTCCCCTCCCATAATCCTCCCCCCATAGATAATTAATATACACATACTTGATTAGCCCTATACAATAACAAATCCACATATCCCCTTCTCGCTTTCTGGCCAGTCAGCAATGTGTAGTGAGAAGACCTCCTTTTAACACACTGTTTTCTATTCAAAGCTATTACCTATCCCTTTCAAATAACTTTCTACTTGGAATAAAATGTTTTCTCAGCATTTTTTTAAAAATATACCTGAATTGATAAAAATAACTGATAGAAATTCAAACTTACCTTCCCCTGTCACCATGTATGTGCCTTAACCTTATTCAGTAATCCCAAATAATACGGATGATCCTTTATTGATACTTTTCGCATATTTTCGAATTCCTTAATATTTCGTGCTTATATTGTGTTTACAATTAAAGGCAAATTTAAAACTGCACACTACAACAACTTCACAATGTGTTTTTCGAGAAAGGAAAGTATTCAACACACTGTTACACTATGATCATGGTCCCAACCTTAACAATAATTGTTGTTCTTGAGAAATAAAAAGGACTAACTCTGCAAGTTTCTGATGACTTCTACTTTAAAATCTGCATAGAGTGACTGTTAAATATCACTAGTCCAAAGTTGATCATTGTATAAATCATAGCTAATCTACACATTTAATTCATATTCAATGAAGCTACTGAAGACACTAGTTGAAGTAACACTGGAAACAAAGAAACTCTAAGTAAACCCCAATAATAAAGTTGCAACTTTTTTGGAGATCTCATTATTATTATTATACATTGAGGAAACCGTCGAATGACATCGGGCGCCAGGCCCTGTAGTGAAATCCAAATGGGAAGCGACGAGTGGGTCGTCCTAGGGTGACATAGAGATCGTGTGAGGATGAGATGAGAGATTGTGGGCGATTGTGAACCCAGGTGAAGAGAATGGCAGAAAATAGAAGAAAGCGGAAATGTGTTAATAAAGTTCAATGTTCCACTCGGAACCCAAGGGAATAATTATTACTATCATTAGTTAGGATTATACATTTTCAATAGAGAAAACAACTCCCTGACTTGAGATTAAGCGCTAATATTTGAAACTTATTAAGCGTTATTTCTGATTTCTAAAAGTTGTGAATTGTAGCACAAACATCAAGTTCACTTAAGCTAAGAACACATCAACCCAGTGTAGAACAAAACAACTTATTAAGGATATAAGCTTAGCATATCGCAGTTCTCCATAGTCAAAGTAATCCTTTCAAATAGCAACTAGAAGCGATCCAACTACAAAAACCCACTGGGAATCCTTAAGCAAACTGAAATGTTCATAACACTTTAAGACATTGCTAACAACAAAAACAACAATATCGTTTTGTTTTTCATACATTGGGAAATACAAAAACCTTTATTATAATGAATATAAAATACCCAATGCGTCGGTGGCACAGTGGTTAGGACTCTCGCCGACCATGCACATTGTCCGGGGTTCGATCCCCTGCCGGCGCACACCCGATATCTATGGTCAGCCTGAATTTGGGCTACCGGTATCCATGCTGAAAGTTCCATACTTGTACTGAAAATACGGTGTGGAATCAAGCTGTAAATCAAAATATAAATATAAAAAAATATAAATATTTTTTCAAACCGTCAAAAATGAACTTGGTTTGGAACAACATAAGAAAGTTGGTGGAAAACCTTATAGTATAGCGACTGTATATATAAGAATCCTTGTTATATATGTTTAAGTTAAAGAAAAATGTTGTATCTCAATATACACATGGATTTCACTCATTATCCAAATTCAAGAGTTACTGCATAAAACCCTGCTATTCACTAGATGGTGAAGCGTAGTCCAAATGAAGAAAACACATATACACCCATTCATTTAACTAACTTTATATGATAGGATTCTGTCAAATATTCAGCCATAAAGAACTCAACATTCAACTTTAAGAGACTTTCCTTCAGAAGGCATTCTGATTGAGTACCATTTTGAAATTGGTAGTGTGTTAATTACGGCAAGAAATAACTGATTTCCAAGTATTGGTTTGTAGGGATTTGTTTGATTGGTTACAGGATTTCGTCATGAGCTGACATTGGTTAGAGAACCATTGGAAAACCTGGGAGTACTGGACATCTGTTTCGTCCTAGTTTGGGACTCTTCACAGTACGTACTCACCGGGCCTCGAACCCAGGACCTTCTGGTTACAAGGCGAGCTCGTATACCATTAAGCCACTGTAACCAATAACTGATTTGTTCATATTCTTAAACCAGCCAACTAATTTATCCTGCTACAAACAGGCAGTCTAAATTGGCGGAATTTTCCTGCATAACATCCGTGCGTACAACAGACACAAAGATACCAATATCACAATGCTAATTCATTACAGAGCTTGTTGTGAATAACAAACGCGAATGCATAAAGTTGAAATGCAATCCAACTTCTAAAAGATACTTACACTTCCAAATTAAAAGCTCTTGTCATGAAGTTAGGATAATATAGAACGTATACTGATAAGATGTTCATCATTTGTAGAACTGTAATCTAACTAAAAAATACCAGATAGATTACTTTGTTACGTCAAAAATCCGTACAAAATAAATAAATCCCAATTTTAGATAGCAAATCTGAATATAATAGAAGATCTGTAATCGATTTTTACCAGTAACGAATATCTAGAGATTGAAAATATACATGAATGCAATCACTAAAAGAGCACTAATATTGTGGTGGTGTGATACAGCCAATGGGTTCCAACGGAATACTATTCTCATTGTATTTGTTGGTGCTAACGTCTGAATACTATTTCCACAGTTCAGTACTGCATTAGCAACAGAATGCTATATATATATTTGAACATTCTATTTCATGTCGTCTAATGTAAACCAAAATCACACGATCAGTGATTGGTTAAAGAATATAAACTGCATAGATATAAATAGCGGTTTGATCGATGGAAAATATACCTTGGCTTCTGTATCTTGCCTTGTGTTGTTACAATGTGATGAGAAACTGTGTGAGTTAGGCAAAGACACTATGAGAAGCATTAAAATGGTGTTAGTTCTCTAAGGAAAGCACATCATAGCCATGCTACGAAATATATGTAGTACTACACCAATAGCCAGTACACAAGTGAAAGATAAACTTCTATTGATCATCTGTTCCTGTTGAATAAAACAGTTAGATCATGTGTTGTGACTGGGTTGCCTAATACCTAGTACAAATAAAGTGTGCTAGGACTTATAGATAACCTTAGCACACATTATTCGGTTGACAGTGATTACAACTTCTAAGTATTTACCAGACATAAGCTACAGAATTCCTAGCAATAAAATGCTTGCATTGTATTTCGAAATCCTTAGACACTTATAGCTAGGCAGTACAATTTGTTCAAAAGTGATTTCTCGATCCACTTCACTTCACTGGTGAATAGTGTTGTTTATTTGTCTCCAACAAAATATGATTATCTGGGGCTTAACAAAATCTCTTAACAATACCCAACGTTTTATTTTAAAGGCAGAATTTATAATTCCTTCTTCATTACTTATTCGACTATAAATTATTTCTACTAATTTTTTAAATCTTCGACTGCGCTCACTGTGTGGTATACAAAAATATGCAGATTCTGTCCCAAAGCACTTTTTTGACCAACGGATAAATAGACATTAACTGAGACCAATGAACAAACAGTAAATCATCTGGAATGTTTATTTTGTGACAATAGAAATAAACAAATGAAATACACAAAATTTTGCACTCAGGATATAAATGTTATCTTGGCATGAATTCCAGTTAACTAAAAAACAGCACCGACTCTGAAATGGCACTTTGATCCTTTAATCCTTGTATTCAGTATATTGCAGAGGTTTGACAAACTGACAGAAGACTTTATATATCTGAGGCCATAACTCGTTTGTACGCCGTCCATGGAACACATGCAAAATGTTTTGTTCTCTGAATCAACCATGCAAAATTAAACAAAGATAAACATAAACAAAAATAAATAGTAAGTTGATTTAAGATATATTCCATGTATCAAAGTTTGAGTTAACACAATAGGTGTAACTCATATTCTACTAAAACAAACCTCTGTCAGATAACAGTACTCTGGTGACACCCATTCATGTACTAGACAGAGAAATTTAATTACCAAATGAAGGCTGATGATATTACCTACTTGTTAAAACCAAAATACAAGTTTCAAAAGGGTTGAAACAATACCATAAAAAAATTTAAATCTCAATATTCCCAAATGTAACTCTTCTCTGAGTGTTCCTGGCCAGTTAGTATCTTCTGACTGTAATTTACACTTGGTAAAAATAATGAGTAACTGTATCCAAGTAGAATTAAAAATAAGAAACTCATTTTGCTGAAATTATAAAGTATCTTTCAAGTTGTGGAACAATCCCCTAAGACCTTTGCATTTATTCCTCTACGAGAATTGGTGAATATCTTAAATTTTTGAACCACTAATTTCATTAGGCATTTTATTTAAACACATGGAGATTTTCAACATATGCTGTGTCTGAGAAACGCTATTAAAACAAACCGTGTTGGTAGGGAAGCTTCTCAAAATCATCAGGATAATCTGAATAGATGTTGTTATGAGAAAAATTAATTTGGCGATGGCGATGTCCATCCCAAGCAAAATACCAAGCCGGATCATCCTGGAGAGAGTCAAACATGCCCTGGATGAAAAACTTAGACCGTAATAGGCTGGATTCAGGAGAAACAAGTTATGTATTGATCAGATCGCCACATTACGGATCATCATTGAACAAAGCTTGGAATGGCAGTCACCTCTCTATCTCAACTTCACCGACTTTGGAAAGGCCTTCGACAGGGTCGATCGAGAGGTGATTTGGAAACTACTTCGATACTACGGGGTGCCACTGACAATTATACATCTCATCCAACAGCTGTACGACAATGCTGCATGCCAAGTAATCCACAACGGGAAACTTACGGAATCCTTCGAAGTGAGGACAGGAGTAAGACAAGGCTGCCTACTATCGCCAATGCTTTTCCTGATTGCAGTAGATTGGATAATGCGACAAACAGCGGGCAGTGAGGAAACAGGCATAAAATGGACTCACACAAAAAACTTGGAGGATCTAGACTTCGCCGATGATATATGTCTGATTTCCCACAAACTGGAAGATATGCAAGCGAAAAGCAACAAGTTGGAGAAGAAGCATCAAAGATAGGACTTCAGGTGAACATAGAGAAGATAGAGGTGATGAAGATTCCTGGGCAACAACAGCAACAACAACAACAACAGACAACAATCAGCATAAATGGGAGGAACCTGAAAGAAACAACCTCCTTTACCTACCTTGGAAGCATCGTTTCAACTACAGGCGGACACTACTGACGAGGATATCAAAGCAAGAATCGGAAAAGCAAGACAAGCTTTCACTACTCTCAAGTCTGTGTGGAGGTCAACAACACTCAGCATCAAAAATAAGATCCGGATTTTCAACTCCAATGTGAAGTCAGTGCTATACGGATCAGAGACTTGCACTGCGCGTCATAAAGAGCATCTCAAACAAACTACAGACCTTCATTAACAGTTGTCTTCGCTCAATACTCAAGATCAGATGGCCGGCCAGAAAAGATCAGCAACAGAGAGGGATCTCTGGGAGCGAACCAACACAGCAGGAACCGATTGTGAAACAAATAGGCAGGAAGAAATGGAGATGGATTGGCCATACTCTGAGGAAACGATCAAGTGACATCACTAGACAAGCCATTGCTCGAGTGGAACCCGAAAAGGAAGCGGCGAGTTGGTCGTCAGTGCAAGGGTGACATGGAGGAGGTCATGTGAAGAGGAGATGAAAACGTGTGGGCAGACATGGAGCCAGGTGAAGACTCTAGCAGAGAACCGAACTCAATGGAGACGCACGACTGAAGCCCTATGTTCCTCTAGGAATTAAAGGATACAATAATAATAATAATTCATTCAATACATACATATTAGAAACTGGTGTAAAATTAATAAGATTAAGGAACAATTTTTTTTAAAACGCCTGACAGAGTGAGGAGTTGAATAAGATGTTGTTTTATTTTGTAAAAAACTATTGTACAGCTTGATAATAAATTAGTTGAAAACAGCTTCTTCACTGAATGATAGGATCATATTCATATAACTCACGCTAGTTAGCAAGGAAAGAAACATACCTATAAAAATCTAGCAGTGGCAGAGTAGAAAGTTGATAGACATCCAAACGTTTGCGAACAGCTACTGGATCATCATCTTCTCTTCGCACTAAAGGTTCTCCAGTCACATCATCAAATCCCTGTACAAAAATTAAAACACTTTTGAATTTGAGAAATGATTGGATAGTAATTATATGTTGTGCAACAACCTTTTTTACTACTATAATATAAATACGAGACTAAGTGATTCGGTGGGGATTGGTTAGACTCAATCGCGAAGCTTACGTTGTCCTTCTAGACAACATCTACAGCGCAAGTTTTTTTCATAATGAAACCTACCCCGAAGATGTCATCTAGAACTACAACTAAAGCTTTGCAATTAAATCAAGCAACTCAGAGAACACAACTAAATCAAAATCATTTTCCTGAGCTACAAATTTTCTTTATTATTTCATAGGTTAAACGTTCAACTGCCAACCTATAGGTCCAATTCATAGTTTACCTTTTTCATCATCGGTAACCGGACAGAATCACAAACTCTCAACCAATACACATGACTTGGAACATAATCTATTAGACAAATAAAAACCTACAATTTGTGGGTTGTATTAAATTTACACTACTTGATATTATATAATCAAAACTCAAACTTAAACCACATTAATATGAAATTAGTAAGCACCAAGGATTAAGACGTCTGCTATATGGAGTGTTAAAGATTACCTCTATTTCCAGATCAATCATAAAGCCACCAATCTCATATGCCCTACGTTTCCATTTAACAAAATTGCAAGCAATGTGCGTTTTCTTTTAACTGCGATACCGTCAACAGATATTTAAAGAACATTAAAAATTGAGTCGTAACTAAAACCTTTAAGGTACATTTTTAGTATATATATATATATATATCCACGAATAATATAAAATTTACGAGTAGTGTTGAGTAATTACTTTTCCAGTAAACAATAACGTGATCAGTATTCTGTAATATCACTAATTTTAACCTTGTAACTCTATGAATAAGAAAGGGAGTTGAAGTAATTAGAGAAAAGGAGCAATTTGATTACAGTTACAGTAATCTTAAAGAAGGCAAGAAGAGTGCATTTATGAGAAAACATATAGTCAGCGAAAAAAGAAGTATGCTAGTCCAAGTTGCAGCAATTCAAAACAAAAATGAGTAGAAATAGAACGGTGTCACAGCAAACAAACATAAATGTATGAAGGCAGTTTTAATGCCAATAAATAAGTAGTATTCAGAAAACAGGTTTTTCCTCAGTTTAATTAGGTTTCAATAACTCTAGACATAGTAAACCCGTTTACTCGAAGTAGTGTCAATGCATTGCTTACTGTAAATGAAGAAAAGTAACTGACAGTGAATGAAACCAAAAGTGGATTTATGTATCAGTTGTTTTGTTCTACTTGGCTTCACCTTCGCTTGTTATTCACCAGCCTACAAAATGATCCAATGTTAAGATATAATACTACGAAATACATAAGGTATGTTCACTGATGCGAATAAATTTATAAAACTGAGTAGTATTTGATAAATTAAAACTTTAACTGCTTCATCAGTTATTAACTTTAAGCTTAAGAAAATGAAGTATCCGCTGCTTCTAACAAGAGCTATGGAAAGATCACCTTTAAATTACTGCATTTGATTTTACACTTAGTTGTATCATCAGTCTAAGTCATGCACTAAGACAAGAATTACTTAGAAACTACAGAGAAAATTTGCAACACCGGATATAGATAAAACATGCTTGTTCTGAGAGCTTTGTTATTTGAGCTAGCAGTGTGTCTACAGGAGATTATCAGGAATGTGAACACAAAATACCAGTAGGAATAAAAAGGGTCGCTAGGAATCTTATAAAAATGAGTGATGAACTAACATACTAGGTTCAACAAACCTTAAATTGAGTGGACAATTTACATGCTGAAAACTGGAAAACTTATGTATTGTTTTCAAGAAAAAACTTTTCTGTTTAACTACATTCAAAACAATTGTCATTGTTTGTTTCTCAATCATAGAAATGAATGTAAGATTAGATATTGGCAGTTTACCCACAACATATATTTTCATTACTCTCCTTCGAGTCTATACAGAGATCAAAGAGAAATTAAAATATTTCGTGTACCACTTTGTGGTCAATTCGCATATATAAACCAGTTGCAAAACCGTCTTTAAAGCACATTTCACTTGAAAGCCTTGAAGGAAACTATAGGTTTCCCACAGTACTAACAGCTTATTTGAAAAGACTGAAGAAAGACAAAAACTATAACACACTAGAAGCATATGTCAATAAACCAATTACAATTAAAAGACTTTAATATCACGGCTATATGTTAATGGTATACTACTGAAAATTAGGTTATCCTGTCATACATTTGTGGATGATGATAAACCCTGGAGAGTTTTGTATGGTCAAAGCAATAGCCTGTTCAAACAAGAAGACTTAAACAAACCAGGAAAATACTGCAATGGTTGGAACACATGTTTTGTAGGTTTCACCAGGCCAGAAACGTCGCTTTGAAAGCGGTTATATTTATACTGCAATTTTATTACCACAGAAAGGTCTTCCGTTCATTAAAAACCATCTTCTTGTTTCCCACCGCCTACTGTTAACACTACTTCACACAACAGATCTTCATCTTTTCTTAATTGTGTGACCACTTTCAGTGACTTCACACAAAGCAAAATTTCAACTAGTCTATTAAAACCAAACTGACAGACTCGTACCAGAGCTTTACACGTCCAGGTCCTATGCATCACTAGCATATCAGAAAATGGATATTTTTTCTGTCTGGGAAACTCATACAAGACTCAAGTGTGATCATTCAACTAACCTCACTAGGATGACACAGCGAGTCTACAAAAATTATCTGTGACTATATCAGGAGATTCTGGGGCTAGTTAGCGTGGACTTGTGGCAGGCGTTAGAGAAACTGTCTACTCGACTGAATTTCGGAAGACAGTCATTTTGAAATATTCTCAAGAATGATTGAAGATCGTCATTTACGTTGATGCCTTCCCCGAATTTCCACTTACGCCTCAGATGACTGCAGTTTGACCGAAGTAAATGATGAATTTAACCTAAAGTTATCTAGTTTGTTGTTAAAAGCGAAATGGACAGATAATTATCCTTAACAGCGAAAGTGAGGTGTTTTCAGAAGTATACTGGGGGTACTGGAGGTCTCACACTGAAGAACCGAAAATGGTGATTGTCTCTTACGATTTTGCTCATATAAACATTCGTTTCTGGTTAGCACTCAGTTCAATCATAAAGAGTTAATGTCTTACCTGACAACCATCAAAAACAAGCCAACTTTGGACTCAAACGGACCATTTTGCTGAATTGTCGATCGAAAAGATCCGTGAAAGATTGTTATTTCTTCTGCAACACCTGCATGCAATTCATCATACAGAAGTCAATGGATGGACGTAGAAGACAAACAGTTACGAAGTCCTTATGTGTTTATCTTTTGGATGGGTAAATGAAGTCTATACGCAAGCAATAGATAACTAATAACGTACGCATATGACATCAATAATTATTGCGAAAGGGCTTGGCATCATATCCAGTCCGTTATAGTGGTGAAGAGTATTGATCAACCACCGCCAACGGACAGTATATGCTAGTGGATATCTGCAGTTTCTTCAGACATGATAGATGCAAGAAGACCCAATCCAGTGGTCTCTGGAAACAGTGAGGAGCAGGAAGCTGATTAAACGACAACCAACAGTGGTGGAAGAACTTTCGAGGACGGAATTTTAATTACGTCTCAGAAGGGACAACTGGAAAGCTGGATATAACAATGAAAAACAATTTGATGGGCCTATAGGTACACCAAAGCTAGCCAGCATCCAGCCTCCACTTGAATATGGTGTACAAATTTGTAAAGTGAAGCCAATGTGGCGGAAGCTGACTCTAATCTAAAAAGAAGCAGTGCAACAGGATGTGATGATTGGACTGCAGGTCAGTTATTGACTGCATTTACTACAGTAGTAGCTAATGCGCAGAATTCCGACATATTCCATCCAACTAGTGAAGATAGCTGATCATTCCAGTTTAAGAGAGGGAAGCCAACTCTTCCTGTGAGAGTCAAGCCAACAACATCTGGATTAACGTAGAATCTAAGACTCTAGATTACATAGTACTACGAAGACTAAGCAAGACTGGAATTAAAAAAACTTAAGAGAACCGAGCAGGCTTCAATCCCAAAAGAGAATATATTCAGCAATATGCACACTTACTGGTGTCCAATAATTGCAATACCTCTTGACCTGAAGACAGTATTTGATTCTACTGACCGAGAGGTACTGTGATGATGTCATGTCAGAATAAAGCGAGGGGGAAGTATATCCTACTATCAATTCACTCTACATGAACCCATACAGCCGTGTAAGAGCATATTGACAGTTATCTGAAGTGATACCAACCAGTGATTTCCATCAAGGGTTCTCAATGTCATATTACATTCATATTATATCTACTGGTAGATGTATCTTTGATCAGTTTAAGGATTAACTTGATACCAGGAAAGCCTGGCTGAATTGGCGTTATGGCATTATATCAGGTCTAAAGGCATATTATTCTCGTTTCTGATGGATAGTTTAAACACCAGTAATGAATGAGCATGAGCATGTGTGATTAGGTAAATAAAAAACCAACCTTGCGTTTCGGAGGGTTGAAGCTGTCGTTATATGTCCTACCACTTGGAAGGTGAATGTATCTACCACTTATTCTGTTGATAATTTCTTCAAACGGCACGTCCAAACAGAGCACGCAATCAATTGGGAGCTGCTTTTGAATACTCTTAGCCTGTTCAACAGTTCTGGGAAAGCCATCGATAAGCAAATTTCTGTTTGTATATTCCTGACACATTGATACGATCATTTTAACTACCAAGTTATCAGGAACAAGTTGGCCCACTCGTATAAACTCGCTCGCCTGGATTCCGATATCTAAACTGATCAAAATTTAAGCATAGATCTCTATACCTGTTTTAGAAGATACGTGGTTCCTCAATACATCACCACAGCTAATGTATTCCAAAGGAAAATCTTTTTGTAAACGCGCAGATATTGTTGCTTTCCCGGAACCTGGAGGTCCAATGATTATGGCTCTTACATGGTTAGCAAGCACTTGAGAAATCCTCATTCATATATCTGAAACTGCCTAAATTAGAAGTTCTACAGAGCTTATTTAGGTGCGCGATAATGAGAAACCACAAGACAATGATGTATAGAATAACCTTGAACAACTAATTCACGTGGCTGAATTGAACAAATCAATTTAATTCAATACCCATTATTTTCTACGAGCTGGTATAAACCAGTTTAATTTCTTTGTGCCCGCTTCTTGATTGTGTGGTTAGGGTTTCCGATCTTCGGTAAACTTCTGCGTAATTCGTCCCGACTGTCGTAGCTTTGGCTGACTCCAAAAGGAGTAGTGCTGGGATTAATTATATTTTGTTTGTAGTATGCGGTGTGTTGTTCTTTGTTGCCAGTGTGAGTGGAGTTGATCCTTAGATGTTTGCCCATTATTGGTGTATGGGGTTTTAAGGGGATAGGCCATTTGGATGAAGTCCTTGTGATGCTGCATGATTGTCTAGCTTTCGTTTAAAGCTGTCTACAGATGGTGACGTAGCTACATCTGCCGGTAAGGAGTTCCAGGGACGGCACACTCGCAGTGGAAAGAAGTGAGGGCAAACCTGAGTCCCTGCCATCTGATGAGCTATCCTTCTGGGATTTCCACGAGGGAGCCCGTACCTACTTAATGACAGATCACCTTTGTGTGATTCTGGTCATTTGTTATCTTATAGGCAGCAATCAAGTCCCCCCTAAGCCAATGGTAGCCAAGTGTAAAAATCCTAAATTATTTAGCCGTTCATCATAAGGTTTGTTCTGCAGACCCATTACCCATCACCCCATCACCCCGTCTTTGGATTCTTTACAAAAGGTTCTCATGTCTTCTAGGCAGTGGGGGTGCAATGATATTATGCACTTCAGGGTGTGATCTTACATATGATCTGTTCAACCTTAGAAAGACCTCAGGAGTGAATGCACCTAACAGCCTATGTGTAAAGTGTATGCTTGCATATGCCTTCGCAACATACCCCGTGTAATTTACACTTGTGTCCATTTTTTCGTTAGAACTAGCCCTAAGTCACGCTCCAAAATTATGCAGAACAAGCTTTCGTTCCACAGGGTGTAACTTGAATTCTCCAGCCTACAGATGCGTAATTTCACTACATTGCACCTTTCCAGGTTGGGCCATGGGCCACCGCTCAGTCTTCCAGAAGCTTCAGGCCTGTTTGAAGCCTATATGAGTCTTCCGAACACTTTATTGCTTTCCAAATCTTTATGTCGTTAGAGCAAAGAAGAGTCCGGCAGCTTAGACGGCATGTTAAGTGATTCATAAAAATCTAAAGATAATTGGCCTTGGGATAGAGCCTTGCAACACTCCTGAAGACAAGCTGTGCAGAGTTGATCGGACTCGATTGACCTTAGTGCAAAATTGCGTTTCAACTAGGCAGTCCTTCAACCATAACAGAAGCGGCTCCCCTTTACCTGCCTGACTTATTTTCTGAAGGGCTGGATGAACTGTATCAAATGTCTTCCCAAAGTCTAGGAAGGCCACATGGATTGGAATATTTATATCCCAGCATGATGTCCAGTCATCCTAAGCTGACAGTGGGTTTGTTACACAGGATCCGCCTTTCCTGAAACCATGTTGTGCTTCATGGAGTCTACTATTCTTATCGAGGTGCTCCTCGATATGGTCATCAATTATACATTCCAGCACTTTCGATACTACTGTGAGTAGCACTACTGGCCTATAACTGGTGGCATTTTGCCTATCCCCACCCTTGATGATAGGAGAAAGTGTGGTTCTTTTCCTCTCCTTTGGCGGTTTTCCCTGAATTCATAGAATGTTAGGAAAAGTCACAAAAAGGTCTACAGATGGCTTCGACGCACTGTTTCAGGACAGATGGCCTGATGTCGTCATAACCTGGAGACTTTCCAGATGTGAGACTCTGTAGATTCCCCAGTACCGTTGCCGGGCTTATTTGGAGAGTAGTCACTAGGTTTTCCTCCTGTGAAGTAGTAGTGCCGCCATTTTGGATCTTACCAGTAATACCCACACTGCCGTTTGGCGTAGGCTAAACTGAATGTTTCAGCCATTTCCAGACTACTGAGATATTGACCGTGTGGGCTAAGGTGAATGCCCTCTGTTTGGTTTTCCCTCTAGATCAATCGGTACAAGCTTTTGGGGTTCGTCATGGGTTTTTTGGCAAGGTTAGCCTAGAATGACTTCCTGTCATTCCTGACTCTTACATTACACCGGTTCTTGATTTCTAGGTATGCATCGCAATCTATTTGACGCCTGAAGGTTCGCCACTTAGACCAAGCCTTCTGCTTTGCTTGCAGAATAAGTCGCGCACCTCTCTTCAGACAGGAGGATCTCTTCTTCGACTGGGGTGTAACTAGGCGGACGGTGTCTGAGATTGCTGTGTGAATAATCTCTTCAACACTTTCCAGTGCTCATCCACAGATAACTCAGCCCATTCTATGGGCCATTCTGAGTCGGACAAAAGCCTCTGCATTTCAGCACAGTTAGCCTTGTTATTTCACGGATATGGTCGCATAGCGTTCGACTGTAAGTGTTCACGGAGAACGAGATCGAGACATATGACTGCGTGGTCACCATTTCCTAGAAGGGTCACGATATGGACATTTTTGACGAACAGTTGGTCACTAGTTAGAATATAATCTAGTTTCGATGACTGTCATTATCAGTGCCACATCGTAGTAGTGTCATTTAGGCTCGGTAACGTATTTAGACCTCAGTCTGATTCCCCCCTATGGTTTGGGGTCTGCTTCCGCAGGATTGGATGTGTCCTCCGAATTTACCCTTGGTCCTGTACTACCCTTGAAGTACTAGAGCCAAATGTTCCTGAGAGTTGAATTTTACACTTAACAGCCTTGGGAGTTAATCAATGTAGCTGCTAATTTTTATTAGTCCTACCAGCAACGTAGTTGGATTCACGTAGGAATATAAGTAGATTCACTTAAAAACTTGAACCATCCCTTTCAAAAATCCCGTAGGTCTAACCTTTGGTGCACTGAACCGACGCTTACCAGCCAGAAAACATGGGTAAAACCATTGAATGACCGTGAAGTAATGAGTGTACATTAGTGAATACACAAGAGTTTCCTCAGTTTGCTCATTACTTAAGACTTCAGCTTGTGACTTCTTACCACTATTTTCTCATTATCCCTACTACTTTACTCCTATTTCCCCATCTTTCCGTCTATATAATTACAAATTTTCCGAAAATGAAACATGCCATGACATACGACTATAGTACACGGAAAAACCTTTGTTACCATTTACGTTATTAAGTTGTATTTAAGTAAAAACAGTCCATCAGAGTCACCGAACAACGTCACAGTGTGTTCACTGCGTTCTTCATTCTAACAGTTTTGAGATTTTCAGGGTAACTTGTAAATTTATTGGGTAAAATTTAATGAAACGATGATGTCATGGTGGGTGAGTTTGAAAACACTACAATTTAGGCACCATTGACTTACGCTGATAGAATCTTGAAAGTTATCCGCTTGATATCTGAAATGAGTGCAGATATTAAATGAATCATTTATCACTAACTGGAGGTCCTGGTTTAGGATAGGGAATTCATTTCCTGCGAAACCGAAAAAATAATATTCATATTGCTCTCGTAATGACAGTGATAGTCTGAACTGCTATAACATAGCGACATCTATTTCTACATAGGCAAGAGATCTGCTGAAATGTCCTGGAAATTTAAAATTTGAGGAGACAATTGGAAACAACACTTAATAACTACATATACACAACAGTTAACATTATTACCAATTTCAATAATGTTACTTATGACCATACACATCATAAAAAGCTTTCAGTTAATGGTATTAGAAATGTTAACATAACATGCTTGCTTCCCTATTCATCAGTTGTGCATGGTTCTGAACTTCATTCGGTTGCCTGCTGAAATGGAATAATTAGAGATGTTAAGGGCAAAATGAGTGCAAACATACATTTTTATTGATGTATTCATCGTTGTGCTATCTTGATTGTGGTAAAGGTGACCTTTACAGGCTGAAATCACCTGAATTTCTCACTCCTTTGTGGTCGACTAGACAAATTCACCAACAGAAGTGTACAATCAGCTAACTTGAAGGCAGCTGTGTCCTTTGAGAGTACTTGATAGAAGGATCCCTGTATTAAGGCCAGCCTTGTCAGGGTTCAGGTACAACGTATAAAACAAGCATGAAATTCAATGAATATCTAGTGGAGGCTTCAGAGTTATGACTTAACTGACAAGACATTTTGGTATTTTGAATTGTATAAGCTTTGAAATAACAAACTTAAAATGAGTCCTTAAACTTCTCTTTTTTAAAGATGTTTTAGACACCTTCACTCCATTTTCTGTCGTTGGAGGGAAATGCAAATCACCAGTAACTACCTTGGGATTGTTCTACAGCTTTTGCGTCAGTGTCTTGGGGTTAATACACACGTCCCCGAAAACCTCCATGATTTTATCTGCCCTTCTAATAAAGTTTAGAATGATTGTGTAAGAATGGATGTGACGGTTTGATAAGCCATTGTTGCCCGAAGCTCTATGAGATATTAAGTTGAAAAGCGTCTGAACTTACGGGCTCGTAGGGTTGCACGGTGGTAATATGGAGACGTCATCAGTATAAAATGTTTCATAGAAATGCTAAGTCAATGTTTAAATAGGATGAGCGTTTTCCCTGGCCGTTCTTGATAAAAGCCTATCCATGAAGTTGGCAGTCGGATACATTTTTGGACCTCTTGCTTTTACCGGCTTCATGTTCCCTGTCTCCAATGATCTGCAAATATACTGGGAATCTCTTCTGGTTGAGAATTCGGATGTTGTTAACAGTAGTTAAAGAAAGACGTGCTGGTCACATTTCACGTTACCAAGTGGTGGTGTACCTTCTTCTATCTTTACATATGGTTCTAACACTCCACATATTGCAGAGAACATCAGCAGCCATACACAGTGTTCTTAATGAAGCTGGAATTGGAATGGCATTCAAACTAACAAACTCAGGGACAAATTCTGTCGGCTTAAAAACCCGATAGATGTAAACAACAAGGATAACGTAATTAGACAAATACCAAGCAATTACTTTGATGACAGTTACTTATGTCAAACTGTCAGATCAGGGTCAATCAAACTATTGAAACATGTGAACTTAGGTACAGCTAGAGTGATTGACTCTTCTAGGATAAATAACCTACTGAAAACGTTTCCAGTGTAATGCATGCAATGTAGTCA